AAAAAAAAAAAAAAAAAAAAAAAATTTATCATCGATAGCAGATGACTTACCCAAATATAAACATGATCAGATATAAATAATTTTTAAAAAGAATATATATACATAGATTGGTAATTGGGAATTGGGATTTGTTTTAGTAACTAGAGTGTAAAAGAAAAACATGTCGTTGTATCAACCATTTACAAGGTCAATAAGTCAAAGAGGATGTTTAACTCCTAATAATCATCCGGAAATCGATCATGATAGTAAATTATTAATTAAACAACCCATAGCTACTTCTAATACTAGAAGTAGTATATTATCGCCACCATTATCACCATATCAAAGAAATCCAATTAGTCACAATGATGAAGTACCAACCACCCCAATTGAACAAACCACCAATTCAATTAAACCATATAAAGTATCCAAGAATTATATTACATCCAGCAAACCATTTAAAGTTGAAAATTATAAGAGTTATAAGTTAACTGTTAATCCATGGAATAATTTAAAATCCAATTATAAACAACGTCAATTAAATTTTTTACAACAATATTCAATCATGTCAAATCGCGAAAGTTATTCAAATATTCGTTTAATCGATAGAAGAGGCCCTTATAAGAAGAAGTTTCTCAATAGTGATTCTGATTCTGAATCCAATAATGAAAGAATTAGAACTCGTAGAATTATTAAAGAAAATTCAATTCAATTACCAAGCGACTCTGAAGCTTCCGCTTCAATTCCTTCTTCTCCCAAAAAACAAAGAAAAGTTAGAAAAGATCCTCCTTACGCAGGATCTCCCTTGGCTATTCAACAAGCTTCTTTCATTGATGAAAATATCCCCGATTATAGCCCAGATACTTCACTAACCTTACCAGCAAACAATTCAAGAGCTTTAAAAGTTGAATGGAAAGGTCAACCAATGGATCTTAAAAATGATCCAAACGCTTCTAAATTACATCCTGCTGAAGTAGTTTTGGCTTCTACTTTAAGATTACCTTGTAATGTTTACTTGGATTCAAAAAGAAGATTATTTTTCGAAAAAGTCTCCAGATTGAAAAATGGCATGCAATTCAGAAGAACTGATGCCCAAAAAGCTTGCAGAATCGATGTAAACAAAGCTTCCAGGTTATTTGCTGCTTTTGAAAAAGTCGGGTGGCTAAATGATGAACATTTTGCCAAATACTTATAGTTATTTAATTCATTCACTTCAGGTTGGTTTATTCGGTTTCAATTCTTACAGTTTATTTTTACAATGTTTTTACAGTTTTATTTTTTTTACAATGTTTTTACAGTTTTATTTTTTTTACAATGTTGTTACAGTTTTATTTTTTTTACAGTTGTTTTACAGTTTTATTTTTTTTACAGTTGTTTTACAATTTTTTACAGTTTTCCACGTTTCTGTGGATCCTTTTTTTCTTCCCAGTGTTTTAGTTTTGTTTTATTCTAGGGTTATCTCGGGTTATCTAGGGTTATCTAGTGTCTAGGGTTATCTAGTGTTTAGTGTTTATCAGGGTGTCGGTCTGTGTATTTCTTAGGTAGGTATATCTATTGGGTTGGCCCTGTATATATGTTTTAGGTATTATCAATAAATTAATCTTCAAATTTACATCTGTAGCTTAACAATGCGCAATCTTTGTATCGTAACATTTCCTCAAACTCAGACATTGTAACAATTGGACCCTTGAGATCTCCGTGCTGCCCCCACCAATCTTCCCGAGTCTAGTTGCTCTGCCATTCTCTTTGCTATTCTCTTTGCCATTCTCTTTGCCATTCTCCTTCCTGGCCCTGGTCTCCTGGCTCTGGTCTCCTGGCTCTGGTCTCCTGGCTCTGGCTCTTACCCAATCCAATTCTCTTAACCAGCCCAACCCTTCAAATTGGCTGGGGGATGATGCCCTTTTTGTGCCGTTTTCGGTTGCACACTCCCTTCCTTTTATTGTTGGCTCTTGCAAAAAAAGAAGGTCGTGCGGGTTTGCACCAGCTTCAAGCTTAGTTTTTTTTCGAAAAAACGCTAACAAAACAAAAAAAAAATGCTAATAAACCAAATCCCTCAGGGGAAAATCCTTTGATTAAAAAAATCGGTTGCACCCTGAATATCTTTTCAAATCAACAACTTGTTCCTTATCCAACTGTTTAGTTTGTTAGATCCACTCGCTACTGTACACCTTCGCTTTCTGTCGCTTACCTGTTATCTTCCGTTCGCTTTTACACTAGATAGTTGTGAGATTGTTATGAATATTCATCAGTTTCATTTGCTGTCTCATGATCAAGCATCTCTAATGAAGGGGAGCTCTCGGTCGATGAATCCTAATGATCATAGTTTTGCAGCAGCAGCCGCTGCTGCTGCCACTGCGGCAAACCACAGCGCTTCCGGCGGGAACCAGCTATTACCACCGCAACCAATGGTCTCGGAAGATGATAATTTGTTTCCAAACTTGATTGGTAATGAATCCACTGAATTGTTGAATAAGATTAATGGGTTCCACTTGCAGACTCCAACCTCGCAGTCTTCTGCAGTGTTCCAGTCTCCCCATTATGTGAATCATACTATTGTGACTCCAAATAATGCTTTTACTAATGAACACCAGGTTTTGAAAACTCCAACTTCAATCAATTCTTCTAATTCAATGCATCAACCTCCGATTAGTTTCCCTCAACAAGTTCTCACTTTTAACCAATCTCCAGTTGTTGTTTCTCCTTCAAACGGTAATCATATGGCTGGTGGTAAAGCTACTCTGCGATCGGGTACTTTATCAACGGTTCCAGAGTTATCTAATCAACATTTATTGCAACATGAATACTTGATTCAATCTCAGAAACAAAATCAGAAAAACATGGTTGCTGCTGCCGCTGCCGCCGCCGCTGCTAATACGGCACCTCCTCTAACTTCAACCACTCTTCCTCTACATTCTACCCCAATTAAAACAAAAGCAAAGAAACAAAACCAATCTCCTTCCAAACTCAAACAACAGACTAAAAAAACAACCCCAAAGTTACAACTGAAAAAATCAATGTCTTCTATACAAAAAACTAAATCTTACTCTAAGTTACCAACTGCTTCAAGTCATGTTTCTAAAGAAAATTTAAATGAACTTTTAAGAGATGAAATTATTAGAAATCCTCCTCCTTCTAAAAATAACAACTTTACTTTTGTTTCAAATTCAAGTGACGTTTCTTCTTCTTCTCCTCCAAGTTTCCAATTTGATAAATCTTTAAGTTTGACTCCAGATGATTTCTTATCTTTTGCCAACGATTCTCATGACTCCATCATTTCAAATAATTTCAATCTTGAAACTATCAATCCAAACCCAATTCATCAGGATCATAATAACAACGGTATCACCATTGATGATATCTTGAAAGATATTCCTTTTGCAGAATTGAAGAGCCCTTTGAATCTGTCTTCTCATAATTCAATCCAATTTGATGGTAATAATTCAATTAATGCCCCAGTGGCTAAGGATGAATATGAGGCCGATGATGATGCTACAGAACCAGATGAAAGTTTGATTTCTGCTATGATGGACTTGAATGATGAACAAGATATTGATACTTCTTTGGTCAATTTCGATTTACCAAACTTATCTCCAACCCAACAAAATGACCCCCCTGTCACTGGTTTAGGATTATCTTATGAGTTTGACAACATGTTCGATAAATCATTATCTGAAACTAATATTCCTCAATCTTCTCCGAAAGCACCTGGCGTGTTTCGTAATCCAAATTTTGGAAATACCAAATCTTATAAAAATACCATTTCTTTTAATAACAATGATAGTGACATTTATAAAAATAATATTAATCCTTCTCCCAATAGAAGACAACTGGCTACGAATGCTACTTCCAAATCATCTACACCAAATAAGGTACTTAAAAAGGCACAATCATTCACCGGATCCTTTAATGCCAATACTAATTCCATAAGCTCGGCTCGCAGATCATCCTCCGCCCTCAATTCATCATCTCCCCAATTCTCTTTAGAAGATTGTTGTAAAGAAATTTCAATAAAAACAAATCCAGTTAATAATTACTCATTTGTTTATGAAAATTCCAATCAAAAGAAAGTAAATGGTGAAAGACCGAAAATGAAAAAGGCAAACACTACAGCAGTTAGTTCAAATAATCCTTTAACCCAACGAAAGAACTCAATCAATCTCACTCATTCAGATGATGTTGGCAAGGACGGCAAGCGGGTCTTGAAGAATATGGAATCTGGAATGGTTTACTTTCAAGTTGACTTGAAAAATGGTCAATGAGCTTTTTTAAATTTTTACCCTACTTTAATGACTTTCCCTTCTACTACTGTGATATATTTGTTCCTTATGCTTTATTAACTTCTAATGGCCCTTGTATCATTCTGTGTATTATTATTACTTCTTCCTTTCCTTTTTTTTTTTTTTTTTTTTTTTTTTTTTTAACCATGCAATCATTTGTTTCATTCATAATTCTTTAATAAATAACCGTTTTAGAGTTCCTACTTGTAGTATCAACTTAGTAATTGTTTATTTGATTAATTGAATAAATTTTAAATGTACATATAGAAAAATGAAATAAATAAGCAAGAGAAATAAATATGGATGATGATATGACAAAATTAGTGTTTGACTTATAAATCTTTATCTCTTGGGACGTATTCATCGTCATCAAAGATCTTAGTACTTCTGAACTTTCTATGGAAGTTAAGTTTGGCATTTTCAGCATATGCCCAGTAGGTCAAACCAACTGGAACAATTCCCATCATCAATACATTGAAGAGAGCAGATCTAGTGGTGAAACGAAAGTAATGACCTTGAACTTCCTTGGCTCTGTTGAATCTTTGGAATGCTGGATCTGGTTTTAATGTGTGTGCCATCTTTTATTGTTCCTATCTATGATGGGGTAAAGTAACTGTATTCTACTTGAGGATAATTCGTTTTTCAATTTGTTTTATTGGACGAAAAATGAAGTAACAGAAAAGACTGAGAAAGAAAAAAAAAAAAAAAAAAAAGCTTACATACAGGACTATATGAATATACCCTTATATTATACAAGATAATCTACACTAATATACATAGTAAGTCGAACCCTAGAGAGAGCCGGCAGTGGAAGGCATTGAAGCAGTTTGAGAGAGTTTTTTGTTAAAGTCTTTAATGGTTTCGACATCAGAAACAGAAGCTTTTATGTTGGAAACTGATGGAGGAGGAGATGCAGAGGATTCATTCAAAGGTTTTAAAACAGTTGACAAGTTGTTCTTATCGAGGATTCCAACAGTTTCCAATAGCTTGAATGACTTAGCGTGTATATACTTATCTCTGAAAGAAGGAGCGAATTTGATAGAAGCTAGATCAGATAGCTGTTTGTCGTGAAGAAATTTTTTATTTAGTAGCACAACCTGAGAGGTTAAGTCATCAACTTGGCTCAAGATGAAATGCAAGTTATCTGAGATCGGCTGTAATGATCTGAATGCCGTTTTCACCTCATCTGCCAATTCATTATTTGACTCGAATTGATCAAATATGGTGGCTGTTAGTATTTGCTTGAAGCTTTTCAAACTATCGATGATTTTATCGGCCTTGATTAGTTGTAATTTCAAGATTCTTCTTAACTTCAATTCGAGGTTAATTTGATGGATCAAAGTTGTTATTTCTTCATCGAGTTTTTCGCTATCAACGTGAGTCAATTCCCCAAAATCAATATCTTCGTGATGCTTCAATTTTATCCAACCTTCCTCTATTAGCTCTTTGGGTATAGTAAAGATATTTCGAAATGCATACAACTCAAACTTATCGAAATTCTTATCGATCTGGTTATCAAGTAACGATTCTAATTTAGCAGTACCAGTTTCAATTTCCCTGGAAAATGTCTCCAAGTCAATCTCTTCACCTGCTTTTGACTTCTTTGACCCGCCAGTGATAACATCATTATCTGAGTTCTGTTTTGCACGTGCTTTCTCTTGTAGATCAACTTCTCGTTCTTTCAAATAGTTCTCTAATCCCTCTATACACCTAGCCAGAATCTTATTAACCGCGTTTATTACATTATCAATTAACGTGAGTGGTGGGTAGCCCAAGTGTTCCGTCAATATAGCTGTGGCTCTGTAGTCCGTGGAGTTCATGCTGCTGATCGATGAGCGCCTCCTTCTTTCTTTACCTCTCCTTGGCTATCGTTGATGAAGTTGGTGTACTTATACTCTGTTTATTTTGATTTTACTAGAACTTTGTTTTTTTTTTTTTAAGAAAAAAAAAACAGCATTAACTTAAGGTGTACGGATACATCTGGAGAGTCCAAATAAGAGGGTCTTTCAATAAGTCCAGCAGTCAGAAAAGCCGTTAGCAAGACAGGAAACCTGCCAGTAAGTCCCAAAGAGGCGGACGTAGCTTCGTACGAGTGCTTATAGAAAAGCTTTGTTGGTGCTGTTGTTCACAGGCGTTGATATTCGCTCAACCTTAAATTGACTCGCAATCATGAAAATTTCCCCGTATAAGTTCTAAATTCAACTACGTAGGTTTAAACAGCCGCCTCAGTCCAGTCATCCTCTGTATGTTTGGTGTTTGGTTGAAATCAACCACCGGCCCTTCTGATTAACAACAGCCTAAGTTAAACCACGCCATCTTGTTTGTTAGTGATAAGGCTAAAAGTCAGCTGCGATACGGTTCAGCATTCACCGCTCACAGAAAAAAGGAATAGTTTTGACATTTTTCTATACATTACTGGTATTGAGATAAAAGAAATACGTCTAAATTGAAGATATTTTTGAATACGAACAATCTGGAAGGACAGAAAACATTAACCCAAGTTACTTTACTGGTAAATTAGTCTTAGTGGATTCTCAAATCAGTCTCATCAAGCTTGCCGCCCACTCATTTGAACGCCCCCTCTCGTATTTCTTGAGGTGTTTCAAGATAACCATGTCGAATTCTCCAAGACTGACTGCTTCTTCTCCCGTTGGAGGACCCAGGACAGTTAAGCTGGGTAATGATGGATCTACCGGGTCATCAAACCAAGCATCAAAGACTTTGGCTCCTTCAACCCCAAAATCGATTCATTCAAGGTCATCCGTTTCGCCAATGTCTATATCAACCCTGTCGCCTGTTTCCTTGAAGACTCAGAGTCCAGTGAATATGGCAATCGACACACTTGAAGCTAAGATTTTGCAGTTCATTTATGCGATAGTCAAGTTGAAAGCGCTTCTGGCGGCGTGTAAAAAATTGATAAACTCAACGAATGCATCGAATTCTAATCAGCTTGCTCTAATACATTACATAATTCTTTTAGCTGGTAATTTATTTGCTATCAATGAACAGGCGTTTTCAAATAAGCTTAAGTTCCTTTCAAATTTCAAACTATTCAAACCAACACCCATAACAATAAGTTCTATTTCCACCCATGTCCCCTATGATAATTCAGATTCCGCAATCATTCCTCTTGAATCATTACCGCTTGCTTCTACATCAAACAAATGCTTGAAATTATTCGATTATTTGTGTGTCAATTGCATTCATGGATACCAAAAAAGATTGCAACAAGCCAAACAAGAAAAAGATAACGCCTCCTACCTTGATGATCTAGAAGTTATACTAGAGGAACTGGTATTTCTCCCGGAACTCAAAGACATTGATTTATCAATTGCAACTGGAACCACCAATGACGTTACGACAAGTCCCTTCTTATATCCAATTCCTGATCCCCGCGGTGATCAATTGAATGACAATAATTTTGTTGAAGCAACTTTGATCGATATGGATATTAAGACCCTTTTCACTATAACAAAACACCTACAGGATGTTGTTGATCATGCTAAAAAAGAATTGAATCGATTCAGACCTTTAAAGAATTTATCAAAATCTCAACAAGATAACTATATCAACAGTTTATCCCAAGGTCAATATTCCCTACATAAGATTTTGATGTGGACTTATAGATTAAATGATGTTTACTCCGTTCTTCGAAAGTTTGGTCGCAAAATCTATCTCTCTAACTATCAACACTTGTATGATCAGAAATTTGCATTCAATTCTAAAAATGGAATATACTTTAAAAATCAACAACTAAAAGAAGTTGACGATTTATTCAATTCAACGAAAAAAAACGGAATCTTGATTGCAAATTTAACTAGATTCATCAGAGCAAACTCACGTCATGAAAATAATGCTAGAACTATCTTAGATTTTTCAAACTTCTTGAACCAGTCTTTAAATATGATTGAGAGCTCTATCAAAAAGTTTGAGGAATTCGGTCACTCTTGGATCCGAACAGAAATGCATTTCAGAAAAATGTATGAATTGCCATCCGAAGAGCTTGTCAAAATCTATACCCAAAACCAAAAGAAGCCGATTGTGCCAAATTCCATTGTCCAGAATCCAAAATCTGCAGTGAATAAATTGAAAAGATCGGAAAATGAAAGTGCAACAAAAAGTTCAAATCAATCTTTGTCCCGCTCGTCTTCCGTCTCTAGCGGTAATAGCTCGTTATCAATTGGGACTAAGGAAAAACTAACCCAGCCTTTTGTACGTAAAAACTCTGTCTCATCTAATTCGTCTATATCATCGCCACAGCGACACTCAATGATTGGTTTTCCAACCCCTACACTAAGAGCAAACCCGAGCACTTCTGCCAGGCCAATGTCCACCATTTTCCTAGCTTCTAATGATTCCTTTCATGATGCCAAAAGCGAATCTCATCCACCAAATCCTAATGCTGAATCTGAAGCCTCTTCCTTGCCAGGTAAGCCGAATCTTGGCAGAAGAAGATCTAATTCTCAACCTATCTCAAGCACTGAGGTAATGAAAAGCTTGGAAACTGGAGCTGCTGCTACTGCCTTAAAGAAATCTTTTTCCAATTCAAATGGTCTCAAATTGCCTACTGGATCAATAAAGGATAAGTCTGAGGGGTTGACGAGATCATCTTCACTATCAAAAATTACAAACTCTAGTGAAGGGTTAAGTGCACCACCACTAAACAAAACGAAACCCTTGATCGTTCTCAAAGAATCAGAAGAAGAAGCTGTTAATGAATCCAAACGACCTACATCTCCCAAGTTGACGGCAAACCAAAGATTACAACTTCACATCAAACAGGCTGCAAAATCAGGATCTTTGATGACACAACAGAAAGAGGCCTTTTCTCACGTTGTCTTTGATCCTAACTCACCATCCTCCGTTAATCTTAAAAAATACCTGGCCAATTCCCCACCCCCGGCTGAATTACAGCCTGCTGTGGTAGTATCACCAACAGCATCCCCTCCATCTGAACCAGCCAAGGTGAAGCCGACTACCCGTGCACAAATAACTAAAATTAATACTCAGAAAAATAGCATTCTAAGTGATTCTGTCTCCGAAGATAACCAAGTTTCACGAAGTAGCTTAACTATTGCATCTGAGGCAAAAACCTCACGCTCAAGCTCGATTACTCCTAGCTCTTCTCCATTGAGTGAAAGTGCACAAATCACCGAAGCCATCAAGAAAGTTCGTTTCACTGGGGTTCCTGAATACACTCCAGAGGAAGACGCACCCACAAAATACTCAGCCCGTATCCTAAAGAACTTTGCAGTGTTTAAGACTCCCTCCTCGGCCTATAAACCAGCCTTCAAAAGAAAAGACCAAATGTTAAAAAAGGAAGAAAGTTTATTATTCAAAAAAAACTTATCAGAACATGAAAGTGATGCTGCTGCTGCCTCAACCAGTGCTATAGCCACCGCTCTTGGTGGGTCACCATCACCCAACAATTCGGCAGTTGGTGCTGCTGCTGCTTTAGCTGATAAAACCTCTATGAGTTTTTCGAAACCATTGACCCAAAGCAGACTATCGAAATTTAAGAATAAATTCATTTAAACTGGTGCCCGATTTTGCAGCTCAGTATTTTAACATTTTTATTACTCTTTTTTTTTCCAAAGAACACATTTCAGAACGATGCCTGCTCTTCGTGATGCTCCATGGCTACTGTAGCATCACGTGGCATTCGTAATACTAGATCAAATGATTAATTTTTAATGAATATTAATGTTATCTACAATTTTGCAGACATGTAGTCTATTCTGTCTCATCGGGCCATTTTATGTGCACTACTTTTTCACAATTTTTTTTTTTTTTTTTTCATTTGGGATGAGAAAAAATTTAAAACCATATCATCTCGATGATCTTCATGAAATAGACGTTCAAAATAACAATTAGCCTGGTAGTTCGATATGTCTGTTGAAATTAGAAAAAGACCAAGTGCATCAGAAGGGCCTGGAGGGGAATTTGGAAATAAAAAGAGACAATTCAACGTCCCCCAAAGCACTAACCCAGTCAATGATGAAGGTATTTCAGAATGTTTCCATACTGTCAGTACATCATTATATGTTTCACTTGCACCATGTCATATAGCAAATCCTATCAACGGTATTAAAGCCCAACACTTAGATCCTTTAATTATGACTTATTTCAATAAGGCAAAAGGAGTTGTTTTGTCATATTCTAATATTAAACTTTCGGAAGATAACATATCAACTGATAGCCAAGATCAAACGATTAGTATTGCAAAAATTTCTAACTCATCACCATTTACCTTTTTATGGGTAACTGTAGATCTTTTGATATGGAGACCTCAATTAGGTGATGTTTTAGAAGGATATATATACATGCAAACTGCTTCGCACATTGGTTTATTACTTCATGATACCTTTAATGCATCTATCAAGAAATATAATATGCCAAATGATTGGAGTTTTATACCTAGTCAAGCCGATGAGTACGCTGTTGAAGATGAGGAAGCTTCAAATAATAGATTTAAATCTTTTGGATACTGGGTTGATGAAAATGAAGTTAAAATAGAAGGTAAATTAAATTTTACTATTAAAGCGATTCATACCACTGGTAGAGTTGTTTCAGTTGAAGGTACTTTAATTCAACCTGGTGCCGAAAAAGATGCTCAACCTGTTTTCAGAGAACGTCGTTCATCTGCAACTAACGCAAGTGCACCATCTAAACATAAGAAATTTGATGATGATGATGTGCCAACCGTCGCCGAAATACCTGAACCTGCCAATGACGATGAAAATAATCTTCTTCCATCTTATGTTGGTGGGGAAGATGAAGATGCAGATGGTGCAGTAGTAAACAAATCCGACTCAGATGACGAAAATGAATCTGAATAAATAGATACCAAAAGTTAAAACAAATTAGCATATACAAACATTTGATTTACACTCAATCCCTCCTTTTCTTTCTCTTGTTCCATAATTTGACATTATTCTTGTAAAATATAGTTTATTTTTCATTTTCTTTCTAATTTACACTTTATATACGAATCTACATACATAAATCTATAAGTAAGACAAAAGTCACTGACTTTCGCCAAATATTTACAAGTAACTTATGCTTCATCTCAGATGTCTATCATTATTGATCATTCTCCAAATAACATCTTTCTCTTTGGAGGTTGGTCTGTCATATCTTGTTCTTCTTCCATAAAGAATTCTATACCACAGTCTTCTAGAAAACCAATTTTTTGCATTTTTCAATGAGCGACCAGAATCATAATGTAAATGACCATGTCCACCCATCATGGTTAATTTTTGAACTTTTGAAAGTTTTCTAAAATTCATGATTATAATCATTAAACCTTGAATAACAGAAAATACAACCACTGCACCAAATCCGTAGTTACTTTCTTCAATGTAATTTTTTAAATTCATACCATAAAAAGCAGGAAGAAGAGTTGCTACTGTGAATCCAAGGGTATAAATCGTTACTTTTAATTCGAATAACATCAATGAGTTTCTATTAGCATCCAAAATGATATTTACAATCTCCTCAGTAGCTTTGATATCATTAATAAGTGATCCTGCTTGTTGGACAAATTCATCACAGTGATTGTAGTAAGATTCCAAAATCATTTCTAAATCTTCAAAGTCGTCTTCGTTTGAACTAGTTGAAGGGTTGTATACTTTTGGGTTTGTCAAGTACATTCCGGCTAAATCCTCATCATTTTCTAATAATTCTTCTAACACATCTCTAATCAAGGCAGCTTTTTGATAATAACTTGTAAGTTTTTTCAGTTTTATTAATAAATCTTGTAACTTATTTCTATCAATTTGGTCTTCCAATTCACTTAAAATCATTCCACATTGGCTCAGATGAGTTTTAAATTCTGCTTCTAAATAGGACATGGTGCTGATCAAAATACTTTCTAAAGCTCTAAACTCGTAAACAGAATGACCTGAAGGATTTACAGAACCAACCGCACCTGGCATTTTCAATTTCATTTCCAAGTCATACATGAATAATCCTAATTTAGTGGCGATGGAAGGGTTTGATGTATCAAAAACTTTTACGGAATCTTTTTTAATAATGGCCTTTATATGAAGTAAGTTGATAAGGATTGCGTTTGAAGAGCGAACCATGATTTGAGGAACCACATCGATTGAAGAAGTATCAATTTTACGTAAATCACGGGGAAATAGGTTATTCTCTTTCAAAAATTTCATTTTAGGGTATTTTTTCGATATTGCTGTAATATTCCCACTTTTATCAAATGTAGTACAAGATACATATAAATCATTTGGTGTTATGGGTTTCAATTTGTTATAAATATACGTGGTATGATGAGCTAATGAATCCAGATTCAATTCTTCTTCTGGTCTGGGAGGAACGGTTGCTTTATCTTCGTCTAATGTACTATCATGATTTTGCTCCGACAAATTCTTCAAAAGTTGAGTATTCCTGCTACTCGTTGACTTAAATCTCAAGTTAGCTGCTGGTCTTTGCCAATGTCGAAGTTGGAACCGGGGTCTGATTATATTCTTGTATAGTAGACCTCTGACTGTCCGTGATGGATTTAATAATGACATTTGGCCAAGGTAAACGGGGAGAGCCTTGAAATATGAAGGATTTCTAACTCAGTTTTATTCTATATACGGGTTATAAACTAAAATTGGCCTAATGGGAGGATAAAGGAATTTTCAGGTCATTGAAGTCTGACAAATTTTTTTTTTTTTTTTTTTTTTTTTTGAAGTAGTAGTTTTGCGAAGCACAAAACATGGTGATAAAAGGTTTAATTGATCAATTACTCTAACTACAGAGGGGGAAATTGAAACTAGATAATGTATAATAATGATGAAAATAATCTGGTACAGATTATGGGAAGTAAAAAGATAAAGAAAATAGGGAAGAAACAAAAAAAACACAAACTATGATACTCAAAGATGAATCATGATTTATAAAGAATTAGACAGTTTTAATTTTATTTTCAATGAAAAAAAAAAGAAGGCAAAATGATAAGGACTTGTAATATGGGAAACGATTCTAATCGAAAAATTTTCTAGTAGCAGAAGGACCAAACAATTCTAATCTAAGACCAGGTAATGCTTCTTCAGATAATAATTTCAATCTTTCTTCTAAAGTGTTATTAACTTCAATTTTACCAGTACCATTAACAACAATGACCCCACCAGCAATGTCTTTTGATAAATAATCAGATTCATCGACTTGGATATCAACAGAAAACTTTGATTTTGATTCGAAAGCTTTAGCAGCTTCTTCAGCAGCTTCTTTAGCTAAGGCGGCATCTTGTTCTCTGACTTTAATGGTAACTTTTTCTTCGTATAATGCCAAAACCCCTTCTTCAATTAATCCAACAAGAATTGGTTTATAATCAGATTTTTTATCGGTGATTTTTTTCAATTCAGATTCTGCATTTTCAAAAATTTCGTTCAAAACTTCTTCTTTAGTAGCCAAAACTCTTAATCTAGTTTTATTTGCAATAGTAGATTTAGTAATTTGCTGAGCCAACGAAGCCTTTTTCAATTTTTGTTCATAAACTGAATCTATGGCTGCAGTTTCAGATCTAACAATAGAAGCTTTTTCAATTTCGTATTCTTCATCGGCCTTCAATTTAATTTCTTTAGCCTTTTCTTGTGCTTCCTTCTCAATGAAGGCCTTCATTTTACGAAGTTCATTACTCACCTAAAACAGTTAGTACCACGATATAACTTCTCCAATTGAGTGGCTGTACATACTTGGTCGTCGGTCAAAGACATCTTGATTTATTAGCTAATTGATGATTGATGAATCTTTTCAATGATAGTAGATTTATCTCCTTCGTTCAATTTTCTCTCACGGTAAATTCCACTCTTTATAAAAATTGGTGCCAGGGGCACGACTCGTGGTACCATTTATTTTCAAAAGAGAAAAAAAGGTACGGAGCTTCTACAAGGAGAGTTAATGCAAAATCGATAATAAATACATAAGACAGAAGGATCAACCTTGTATATATAGTACTTTTGGCAGAGATCAATTGAGTTTTATAATTTTTTTTTTGAAATTTTAAGCTTTATTTTTTCAGGCAACAGAATCTAAGGCTTTTCTGGCAAGTTCAACACCCAAGAATGTAGCGGCATTGGCTGGGAAAGATCTTGCTAAAGCAGGACCCACCCCTGGGAAGAAGGCCTTGATACCACCTTTTTTATAAATATTGGAAGTTGTTTTGAAAATGGATATGTTTGTGTTGGAGGATTGTTGAGTTGATTTGATTGTATCAATCGGGAAAACACCCAACCACATCGAAACCCCAGCAAACCCACCGGCAGTGACAATGGCACCAATTGACATGTCTTTACCGGGAGTAGACAATTTTTCTTTCAAGACTTCATAGGTGGCAAAGTACAAAGCAGAACCAGGACCGTCTCTGGCCAAAGTAGCCAAAGAGCCTTTAAAAATCGATCTAATCCCCCCGGTTTTATACATTTCCTTAATGACAGAAGCCATTGAAGCTTCCTTCTGTTGGATTTGCATCATAACCTTAACTCTTTCAAAAGGAGCAGCAACCAAGGTGGTTGGAACTGCAGAAATAAACCCAGCGGTGGAAGTATCTTGGATAGTGAACTTATCAGCTGAACGGCCAGTAAATGAAGAAACAAGTTTTTTACCAACGTCATAACCCCAGAATGAGACTGCAAACATCGGAGTCACCCCAATCAATGGAGGCAACACCCCACGGTAGAACCCTCTCAATCCATCTTTAACCAACGTTTGTCTAATACATTGACTGGTAGTATCATAGACCCCAGTCTGTAAACGCACCTTCACTAAATCAAATGGGTGTCCGGTTAAAACAGCACAAACACCACCGAATCCCCCAGCAGCAAATGATTTGACGTTATCCACTAAAACACTATCAACTTCTTCCATTTTGTATTTCTATAAGATCTTCTGCTCTATAACTCAATTGTCCGTGAAAAAGCAAATTTTCAAACTCGGCCAATTCTGATGATATCCATTTTGTTTTATATTCTGGGGAATCGACTTGAGAAAAAAACATTTTTTGTGTGACATTTCTCATGAATTCTTGCTTAGGCCCGCGGCTATGACTATCCCAGTAGATAAGCCGATAGATGTGCCCATAGACAGAAGCCTTCTCCTGCACCAGGCACGAGTTGGTCCTCCGTTCACCGTCTTCCATCTGCCACTGTCCAATACCATCTCTTAAAGCTGGTCCTTCAAGCTGCTCCTTCTGGTCGAGGTCGGGAGGGTCGTGTGTGTGGGGCCAAATTGTGGAGCACATTGTGAAAACAAAGCGATCAGTAGGTCAGAGAAAAAGGACTTGAGTCCTCGGTAAAATGGAGTGGCAGACTGCCAGCAGCAGTATAGGAGAGGTAAACATGTCAATGCGAGTCTTCGGATAAGTTATGCGGATAAACAACTGGTTTCGAGTCTGGGAGTAACTACTGGAAAGCAGGGCTTGGAAGAAGTCAACAAAAAGTTTCAGAAACAGAGTCACGGGCTAAACCCCATTTGGGATATCGGAACAACCTGGTTTTAAAGTCCTAACAATTGCTGTCAAAAAGTGATATCCTTCCATCCTGAAAGAGTCATGTAAGAGTCAAGGGTACTTAGAGTGATCGGCTTAGATCTTTTAGATCTAAATCGCTTTTCAAATCCTTGACAAATAGCTCTTTTGTGCTTTTAAAGTCTTGTAAGTAAGTTTGATTGTAGATTTGGTTGAACATCAGTTTTAGTTTATCATCGATGATTTCCAAGTCGTCGTCGTACTCTTCGTTGGAGCCACCTTGAAGCCCCTTTTCGATGTTGGTGATGGCGATGTAATTTCTAATTAGCATTCCAAATTCTTCCGATGCCTTAATGAACATGAAAACAATCTCTAATAATGCGTATATATTCTTGATATAGCTGTCGCCACTAACCTTACCAATCTGGTCTTCGCTGAATAACTTGTAGTTGGTGATCAGATGAATGTATTTCTGGTGGATTGAAATCAACTCATCAATGGTGTATTCGTTCATATTATGTTCGACTAGTTCTGGCTCCAATCCGATGATTTTCTTATTTTGAATGCTCTTAGCAAAAGTCTTATTGAAAATGGCTAGTTTTTGGTTATTTGAATTGGATGCATGTTTAGGGTTTTTAGATTTAAATAATTTTTCAATGATTAACTTATGAAAGCAATCCTCTACCAAATCAATGGAGAAAAACCGTATCATAGTAGTGATAAACATGATCATTTGATTTCTCATGATTCCAATTGTTTTGAAAGATTTCAATAACCATAATTGCTGATGTTCTCTTATATTAAGATTAGATGCTTTTTTCAATTTAATTGAATTTTTCAGTATAAAAGATAAATCGTTTTTCCAAATATCGTTATATTCTATATAACCTTCATTTAATAAATATTGTAAATGTCTTAATTTCCAAAAAAAATTAAACATCTTTAAATATTCTAATAATCCATGATCATAATATATGATGTTTTCAATCGGTAAATCATGGATCTTATATTCTAAGGTGAACACTTCCCATCCCATATTCCCATGAGTTAAGTCGAGGATTCTTGCATCTAATCTATTAACAAACTCTAGCGGGTAGTTCTTAATTGTTGATGAATTTATTGATTCAATTAAAACATTAGATAGTTGATTGGATGTCAAACTATCACTTGTTTTACTGAATAAAGACGATCCATTTTCAATAATTGATTCGATAAAATCATTTGAGTTCATTAAGTAGAATTTCTTAAAATTAATCAAATGATCAAACATTAAGTTTTTCTGAAATATTATTAATGTAAGATAATTCAATGTTTCGTCGAATTGAATTCTTATTAAATTATTGATTAAATTCATATTCATGGATTTTAAGCCCTGGTGGACATTGAAAATAAACTGGGTGTATTTAACATTGTAATTATTAATCCAATTCAACTCTTTGCAATATTTATTTAAAAAAATTAAATTTTTACCAATTTGAAATATTTTATATCCGATTTCTTTATTAACTAAAGTGAAAAAATCGGGTATTTTTTTGGAATTGAATTGAATAATATCATTTATATGATTTTCTTCGATATTATAACTAATGAAAAATTCATCATTATTATCAACTAATTCACCTTTTATTATCCAATGTTCAATGATCTCATAATAAGGAACCGATATCTGTTCAAAAATTTGCTTGGAAGTTATCGAGATATTTGAATCACCAAATTTCGAAAATTTCCACATTTGTAATAGAAATTCGTATCCATTTTTGTCGGTCATTATATTTTCTTTTGTTATCATATAGAATAATCTCAATTTTAAAATTTGGCCTTGGATTTGATTATACACTTGAAGTAATGATTGAATTTTAGAAGAATCATTAAACAATGAGGTAATATGGTTTAAATAATTCGATAATTCCAGTTCCAAAACTCGTAAATATGCAGTTTTAATGGGTGATGGTAATTTACCCTTTTTCATATCGACACTTGATTTCAACCAATCATAAAGAATTCCAGCTTCTATTATACTCGTTAATAAACAAGTATAACTATGATTTAAAGTTTCCGGGATCTGAATCTGAAGCCCATCTTGTCCATTTATCTTACTTATTGGAAGTAACTTTGAATCTAATCCGCATAAAGTGTAAGATAAATATGCCAAGATCTCGTTGTCACTTAAGCTCTCGTAGTATGGATGAATCAAATCTTGTAAAGGTATACTATTACTTGCAGAATTTATAAAAGTAGCTTTTGGGTCCCCATTTGAATTATTCGAATTCTCAGAAGTTGGCCTATTGAGATTGGAATGACCTAGAATTGGAGTATTGTGGTTCGACGTTATCTGGTCATTGAATGGAGATGACTGGATATAATTCCCTTGATTAACTTGAGAATTAGAATTCGAGCCGCTTTGTAAATGATATAATAAAATTAGATAATTCACTATAGAATCTATCGATCGGTGTTGGATCAACTGATCCAAAATTTGCTGGAATAATATCCATTCTTGCATGAGTCCTCTGCTTAAAAATTGTTTCTTGAAATGGTCCACCAATTGATTCACATCAGTATTCTTGGAGTCTTGGTTCATCCCAGTTAATAGGTACGAATGTAAGTCAGCGGCTAAGCTTTGGATGTACTCTTGACCAAATTCTTGTGGCACGAGAGAGCTAACAAGTCGAAGCACATAGACTTTTATTAGTTGGTCTTTATCTAGAGCCATGTTTCCGTAGGGTCTTCGAATATTAATGGAGGTTTGATGCTTTACTTGTTAGAACGGTTTTGTTTATATTTTGATCTCACCGCGTACTTTCTCTTCTGTTTTTTTTTTTTTTTCAACTCTTCTCGAAGGAAAAACCCATACATCTAATGTTGCAAAAACATCATTAAAATCATTCAATACCTACATCGCTACAATGATTTGATAGTTAGCCATCATAAATAAAGGTATATTTAGCTAAAGAAAAGAAAAAAAGTATAAAAAAAAAATGTTTTTTTTGTTTAATATTTGTTTTTTTTTTTTGATGTTTTTTTGTTGATGTTTTAGAGATACTTAATGAATGAATACTGAATAGATATAAGCTTAGACTTGAATACCGGAACTCACTTCCAAAGAGTCGATGATAGGATCAACAACGTTCGGATTCAAGTCTGAATCTTTCAAGCTCAATTGTTGGTCAGTCCAAATGTGAGGAACTTCTTCGATAGAGCCGACACCACACTTACCACCTTGATTAGCCCAGTCGCCCATTCTGGCCAATCCTAATTCATTCCAAACATCGTTAACGGCAGAGATCAATTGGTCGGCGATCTTAGAATCGTGACCAGGGGTAGGAGTAATTCTTAATCTTTCTTCACCCAAGGCAACAGTTGGGAAGTTGATAGCTTGAACATAAATGTTATGTTTATATAATAACAAATCAGAAGCCTTTTTAGCATCTGCAGCATTACCAACTAAGAGAGGAACAATATGGGAAGGGTTTGGAATAACGGGGATACCTAAGTTAACAAAGTTATTTTTAACGTAACGAGTGTTTTTTTGTTGTAAGATACGATCTTGTAAAGTAGAACGTTGATATCTAATTGAGGCCGAAGAACCAGCCATGATGGAAGGAGGTAAAGTAGTGGTGAAGATAAAACCAGGAGCAAAAGATCTAAACCAATCAATTAAATTTGATTTCCCAGTAACGTACCCACCAACGGTACCAAAAGCTTTACCTAAAGTACCAGTGATCATATCAATACGATCGACTACGGTAGGGTCAATTGGTTTAGCAATACCGGCTTTCAAATGAGCATCAAAATTCAAATGTTCAGCGACACCGGCACCATGAGGACCATACATACCAACGGCATGGACTTCATCTAAGAAAGTAAGAGCCCCATATTTTTCTGCCAAGTCACAGATTTCATTAATTGGAGAAATGGAACCACACATTGAATAAACTGATTCAAAAGCAATTAATTTTGGTTGATTTTTTGGATATTGAGATAATTTAATTTCTAAATCATTTAAATCATTATGCTTAAAGATTTCCTTCTTAGCCCTTGAATTTCTAATACCTTGAATCATTGAGGCATGGTTTAATTCATCGGAAAAAATAACTAAATCTTTTAATTTTTGACCTAATAAAGATAATACTGCATCATTAGCAACAAAACAAGAACTAAATACTAAAGCAGCTTCATGTTTATGCAAAGCAGCCAACTCTGATTCCAATTTAATTGCATGTCTATTATGACCAGCAATATTTCTAGTACCTCCTGCACCAGAACCATACTTATCTAAGGTTTTTCTCATGGCATTTAAAGTGTCTTCATTACGACCCATACCTAAATAATCATTGGAACACCAAACAGTAACTTTATCGTTTTCTTCAGCCAAATGAGCACGAGGAAAATCTTTGGCTAAACGATTAATGTTATTGAAATAACGATAAGATTTATCTGATCTTTTCTTATTCAATTCATTATTGACAAAGCCTTGATAGTCAAATCCATGTTCATTGGAACTCAAATCAACCTGATTGGCCTTTAAATGTTCGGCTTTCAATGAATAAGTAGAATTGCCGGCCGATGCTGCAGATGCTGCTGATGCTGCGGTGGCATTAACTGGTTTACTAGCACTACTATATTCTCTTTTAGAATTAAGAGCAGCTGCCATAAATGGACACTGACGTGCTTGAGTAGTTAAGGCTGAATTCTTGGATAACTGACGCAATGCTTGAGTCGATTTGGACTTAACAAATGGACAAACATTCATAGAAACTCGAGTAATAGACTCCATGGTTGATACTTGGCTGAAAAATACCTGAAAAAGAAAAGAAGAAGCTACTCCAATGTATATATAAAATTTTTCTCTACATTTTTCAGTGCGATGGTTTTGTTGTTTTGTTACTACTTAGACCTTACCATTTTTCGAGGTTATTTCCATTCCGCCTTTTTTCGCTTCTTTCTTTTTCTGCGTTGTCGGCTTCTTTTCAGCAGAAGATCAAATTGTCACAGGCATCCCTCCCATTTTTGCCATGACCATTACCTACTCTTTTTCCCCAGATCCATTATTGATCTATAGAGTCAGTCCATTTCCAGTAGCATTAATAATTCAAGCAGCAAAATGCGCATTTTGTACTCCGCTTTTTCTCAGCAAATCATGTCTCAACTAAATATAATCGGTTTGTATCTTTAACTAGATTGAGTTAAAATACCCGTGTAAACCGTGCTTAGCGGATGCTTTGCTCATTCTCTCAACCAAACCCCGGACTCATCGTTGGATCGCCACTTCTCGATCAAGGATTGGCTTCTCGTCTGAAGGTTACTTTGATAGGGATGAATGTCGCGGGCGACATTGTTGCAGCATTTATACCTATATTACTATAAAACCAATACACAAGCAATACTTACCTTAGTCGCTTTCAGTAAGAGTACCCCTCAAGCGTTGTTGTTCCTCGATGGTCTCGAAAAGGCCTTTGAAGGTGCCCTTGCCGAATCCGTTATGGTGATGTCTCTGGATGATTTCAATGAATAAAGTTGGTCGGTCATGATTTGGCTTGGTGAAGATTTGTAGAATGTAATTACAGCGATAACGACCGTGCTCTTCGTCGAATATGTACTTTGTAGACGGATCGTAGTCAACTAAGATCCCGTAATTTTCGATATCTTTGATTTCTTCGAATAGTTCAATGCGGTCTTTTTGTAATCTTGATTTCAAATTGGTGTAATAACGTTGGGAAGTGGTGTTGAATTCAATACCTCTTTTTTGCATCAGTCTTACACATTCCAAGATATCATATGTTCTTAATGCAAGATGCTGGACCCCGGGGCCTCCGTTGAAATCATAAAATTCTTCAATCTGAGATTTTTTCTTACCCTTTGCCGGTTCGTTGATTGGTATTTTGACTTGTCCGTTACTCGAAGCCATAACAATTGACCTTAAGGCGGTTTCTCCGGTGGAAACATCCTGTTCATCAACGGACCAATACTTATGGAGCCCCAATATTTGAGCATAGAATTCAGCTTTTGCCATCATTTGATTCCAAGTATAGTTTTCAACGCAATGATCTATTTTGACTAAGTTAATTGGTGGTAGTTTTGTTAAAGCCTTATCAAAGATTACGTCTTTTGTTAAAGATCTCCCATACCCCGGCAAATACTCCCCGTTGTAATCAATATTTTCAACTAATGTGTGTTGAATATCAGTTTGGGGAATTTGAATCGTTGCCATTTTAACTGATCCTTGACGATCCGAGTATACTTTTGGCGGCTTTACTATTTTGGCCCCGGCTCGAGTGGCCCTTTTGAAAATGCAGTCAGCATCTTCCACCGTCAACATTATATCGTAAACTCCTTCTCCATGGGTCAGAAGAAATTCTTGTATCGCATATCCATCAAAAATATCATACAATAGTTTTTCTGTTAAGTCAGTTATTTTGGTCAAGTTTGTTTGGTAATCCCTGATAATCTCTTTATACTCCGCCAATCTCGTGACTGAGGAAGTGAAATTGTTTATTCCAATTTCATAATTTACCAGTTCCGTATTATGGCCCATCATGATCCCAATATATTTCCCTCCAATTTCAAAGACAATTTTTTGTAATTTATTTAATATTTCTTCATTCATTGATTCTTTTATTGTTTGATAGTTTATAATTTGATTATTGGGATAATTCGGATAGTTTTCCTCCACCTTGGTTAATGTATTCGTAACTTCTATTAGAACATTCCCATTCTTCAATACATGGCTCGCTAACTTGGTCAGTCTGGTCTCTAGCCCTTTATACGCAATTTCTTTGAACCCCATTGTTAATTCGAAATACCTCGCAATGGCTTTGGCATTCGAACTGGCAATTCGGACAGCAAAGAAACCTTGAATCCCATCCTTCGCATACTTCGTATTTATATGACCATCTCTTAATAATTCTTCAGTAGTATTATCACTTTCTGGCATTGTCAAGTCATCGTTATGTACTTGAAAAGGCAAACTTTCAAAGGCAAAGCAATTAAACACTTGAGCAGACATTACGAAGCTATTTGGCGAGAAAATTAAAATAGCAAAATCTGAGGAAGATTACGGTAAAATTCAACAAGAAAGAGCAGCGGCTTATTTCATTTATAAGATTGGTTTTGTAATTGCAGCCATCAAGTGAGTGTTTTTCGCAATCTTTTTGCGCAAATCCCACAGAACTCTTTGGCTGCGAAATCACCAATGATCAAACGCTGGTCTAAAATCACTAGCGCTTGCTCAGAATCGAGTAAAGCATAAGTAGACAGTAAAGAAGATACAGTCTTTTTCAGCTACAGTGTACCGATAAATTTATTTCCATTATGTTTAATCTTTATGTATGACTATATATATAAAGAATGGACATTGTGATTGGATGATTCAATTTGCATACTTTGAGCTAACACTAAGCTTAGGACCGTAAAAGACCTAAGGAATCAATGCCAAAGGAATTGCAGTAAAAACAAGGATTGTACTACGCTGAGTAACTGGATAGTTAGGACTATTAACACTTAAATTATTATAGAGGGTGTTCACTTAAACAAACTAAACCACCAATCAATGGGCGGAAAAGATTATTAGCAGCCATAACAGATGCAACATATTTTTTGAATGAATGACTGAGGTAAGACCTTAAGGTTTGGAATCTCACATATGCCTAAAATCGCAACAAGCAGATGAATACTTATAATTGATAGGACACTCGCTTCCATCCATACATAAGCTACTCATTTTTTCATGCAAGAGAAGATGTCAGACTTCAAGGTCTTTTCAAATCTGGTCCATGCCAGATTAATCAAGAAAGAACATCAGTGTGAGGTAGAAGCATATATGTGACAAATTATTCTTTGTGTTACTTCTTCGCAAAGACATCCTATATATTATTCATTATATAGATTAATAGACATTTCCACTCACGTGGAAATGAGAAGAAGACTTCTTTCTCTTTATGGTGTGTTAGGAAGATTTAGGGCCAAAGAATAATTAATTCCAAATGGAATTGGAATTGCTCATTCTTCCACCTATATACACATTAAACTGCAAATGTATAATCAGTCGGCCTATCATGTCAGACCGTGAATGTCTGGCGGTGATGTCTGGGCCTGATTTACATCAAGGCAGATCACAGACATCATCAAGCTGTGGTTTAAGCAAAAGGTGTTATAAACATCTTTTGTGAAACAACATCGGATGAGAACATCTTTTACGGGAACAAGTATATAAATAAGTAGGCATTTCCTCATCTGATGGAAATGCCTAGAAGACTTTTGGTGGTGTGGACCTTCGTGGCTAATCCTATTGGTTAATGGATTGAAGAGTGGGTCGATGCCCTACTGAGAGTTTTCATTCGGTAATGACAATAATAATATATATATATTTTATTTATGGCTTTTACTATATTAGTATTAATTGTGATAAAGTTATTCTCCCTTTAATAACAGCTAAAAGATTAAACTAATTAGTAAATTAATCCACCACTAATCGTTATTAGTATGTATCTGACTAATAGCTAACTGCGTGTGTTATGGTCGTCCAGTCTGGTACAGGTATTTACTTCGTACATACTTGAGGACGACAGAGGTCTGATCTACCCACATAACCCGATATATCAACTCACCATTCAGTGGTTTTACACCTAGCTTCAAGGTCTGACATTATACAAATCTTCAAGATCTGCAAGGTTGAGCATTTGATCTATAAAATTTTTTTGCAGGATAAGTTTTTTTTTTGAGGTGCAAATTTGCAACCACGACGATATATCCAATTCTGCACCATGAGGGTGAGTTATACAAAAGATACTTGAGAGCTACATTCCAAACGGCTTAAATGACTGACCAGTACTTTCAGATTCCGGATAACTTGCTTACGTAAAGGTTTTCAAAGGTTTTCATAAACCCCACACAAAACCAAATTTTCTGATCATAAAAATGGTGATAAAAAATTTTAACGTCTACGGCCATATCCAGCATAAAGCATGATTACCCGTCCGATCAATAATTATTAAGCTGCTGAGAGCGATGCTGAGTACGTTAGTGGGAGACCATAATGGAAACCATCGTGCTGTAGACTTTTATTTTTTTGCAACTTTTATTTAACATTTTATGCAGAGCTGTAATGACACAATCTGAAATTGGGAAAAAAAGGTCAGAAACCGTCATTATTAACAAACTTAGAATCACCTTGAAATAAAAGATACTGGAATTAACTGAAGATGGAGAGTTAATCATATCACCCAAATTCAAAAATACGAGGGCGAGAAACGAAGTTGCATCTTAATTTTAGGGCCAGGAAGAAGAGGTTTTGTTGTTTTCACTGCTGAAATAATGTTAAATAATGTACTGAGCCTATCAAGGATTAATTCAAAATCTCTTGTTAAGTGTTCTTGTATAGTTTGCTTATCAGAATTAAACCAAATTATTTTTCAATTCATTGAGAGGGATAATTAGAAGTACTTAATAACAAATTAATGATTGATTTACTCGGTAAGATTTTACCTTAGGAATAAAGATATATTTTTCAAGATTAGTAAAAAGCAAACTGATTCTAAAGATAAAGTATCTACAAAAAACATTCAAGTCATAAGATAATGTATAGCAGCCTTTTAGCTTTGGGTTCCATTGACCGTTTTTTTCCACAGACAAACATAGTCTCACGGAACACGATACTTTAAGAAGCTTTTCGTATGCATTCAAGTATATAATATGTAATACATATATCGGCTTTTAAAGCTGTCATGTGTTGAAATTTAAATTACCAATTGACTGTCGATAAGTCAAGTGAAGGAAGAATAAAGGCACTGAATATTCACTTTAAAAGGGTTCTGTACGGTCTTAGTTCATTTGAAAATAATAGTCACACAAGCTTAGCGGTGGTTAGTTGAGAGCCCGACCAAGTCTTAAAACTTTGTACCGAGAACACCTTCCAGTATAAAATGGTTTGTAAAAAACTATGCACTCTCTATAACTAATTCTGAAGCTCTTAAACTTTGAAAAAACCTTTTTTTCAAGGCCCTTCCTGAATGAGTCTGTTCAAGAAGCCTCTCATTTTAGCGTTAGTTTAGTAAGCCCACTATAAAAAATGAAACAAGAAACAGGTTTTGTGGTCTAGTTGGTTATGGCATCTGCTTAACACGCAGAACGTCCCCAGTTCGATCCTGGGCAAAATCATGATTCTTTTTTTTCGCTCTTTTCCAAGAGTCATTTCAGGTTATGCGAGGGCTTTTTTTTCCGAAAAATTGAGCCATACTAATAACCAATACCAGTATACCAACACAACAACCACAACCAAACACCTAATAAGCCAATAAGGGATAACCGGTAAACCCTCTAACAAAACAGAACCACCCCATCAGATATACTACAAGCCGAAATTGCGCATGTCAAAAGACGAAAAATTTCAATTGAAGTCATTTGACTCAAAAATGTGGGGATTCCTCAATTTTTCCAGCACATTGTGAGACCACCAATGGAATATCCTGCATACTTCCCGGTGCTTTTTAGTAAACTTCCTGCTTACGTTACCCAGTGAAAAACTTGGATGGCTACTTCTATTTTTTACAAGCAGAACCATCATAGTCACTCGATAGCCAGTTGGCAAGACCACCGGCCAGGAGTGAATGGCTCTTGTAGATGGGCCAGTTGGGCTCGAAAAGTTAGCTGGTTATAAAACAATAAAGTACAAATGGGAAAGAATGAGGAATAGCTCGGGATAAGGAATTTTACGGGATTGGTTAAAAATATCTACAGTTACCAAACAGTTACGGGTTTTCCTTTTCGTGGAAAGCGAAAATACCAAATAGGTTGACCCGTATATGATTTCTTTGATGTAGTTGTAGTTTTGTCGACATATTCGCCTGCTTACGGTCATTTCGCTATAGATTTACTTCATTAGAGATTCACTTCGTTATAGACTCACCAGGATCTTTATTTTACCACGTTTTATTGTGAGTGTCTTACTGTCTGACTTTTTTCCGTTGGTTAACCCTGAAGTATTGACTCGCAATCTTCTTATTTTCCCCAGTCTGTTTTCCATCGTGTCCCATCGTCAACCCCCTCCAAATTGCGGTTTCTTTTAATCCATACTTCCCAATTGGACTTTTCATTACTTTAGTCTTACATCTCTTATCAATAATTGTATTGATAAATTGATATTTTGATTGAAATTTCTTTGTGCTTTTTTATTAGCAATTTTAATTTTTGTCTCTTCCTTCTGTTACTTCTTTTTTTTTTTTTTTTTGTTTGAATTTTTTTTTTCTCTCTTACTGCTTCTTCTCTCTTTTCTTGTACTTTTAATATCTCTATTCATTCATTATCCAATATTAGCAATACTTTCAAATTACGCTTGTCTAATCACCTCCTGGTTATATTGAATTGATTAAGTATTTGATTGTTTGTATTATTTGGTTTGATCTTTCCCCTTTTTTTTTCTTTTTCTTCTTCTTTTCTTCTTTCCTTTTATAATGTCATCTACTAATAATTTGGGTGACGTATTCACTGGTGGTGCTACAACATCTCAGCATGTGGACGCTGAGGATGATGACCATTTTGAGAATACCACTTTTAAATTAAAGAGAACCAGATCTTTGGGATTATTAGATGAATTCATCGATCCTTCAGAACAAGAAAAAATTATTCAACAGCAAAATAATACAAAATCAGAGCCAGCAGTTGATGATAGTGATGAAAATGAAATTGATGAACGATATACCATTATAGATGATACGGAATCACCATTATCATCAGTTCAATCAACAACTTCTGCATCTAATTCATCAAAATCCCCATCTCCAGTTACTACAATAAAATCACCAGAAATTTTACCCCATGACGATACTGATCTAACATCGGAGCCCTCCAGGCACGTTGATTATTTATCTCATCAATGGGATGTGAGTGATATATCAAAAAGTTGGAGATATGTTATTAGCAAACGTAAAGACGTGGCAAACTCAGCTCGTTTAGAAAACGCTTCGTGGAGAACTTGGGCTCAAAGAAGATCTAATTTGAAAACAATTAGTCCGGAAGTTGTTAATTGGTCAAAAGATTCTGATGTGACTTGGTTATATGGTCCAATTTTAAATGATGATGAAAGTAATAACAATAACAATAATAATAATAATAAAGATGATAATAACCATCACCATCATCAAACAACTGCAACAAGTGCAGTTGCTGGGGATATTTCAATTCCAAATAAGAGTAAAAAGGGTCCAAAACCGATTTTGAAAAGAAGAACAGTTCAAGATATGATGATCAGTCATCTGAATTTATTAAAATTACAATTAGCAACTAATCGATTGCAAGATCGTGATAGAAGAAGAAGTCAACGTGAAAGGATTGAAGCAGCTAACTCGAATTATGATGAAACTCATCCTTTCACTAATGATGATGATCATGATAAATCTTCCAATGAAAAACCTCCGGAATATTTTGATTATGATGCTATATCGGCTAAATTAAACAGTCAATATAAAAATTATTCGAATCCAACTTCAAATCTTAATAGTTCTACTGATTTAACTGGTTTAAATAATTCAAATTCATCTAACACTTCTTTAAAAGATCGTCTTAACCAATTAGCCGCTGATAATAATCAAAAAGCTATATTTCCATCCAATTCAGATAATTCTTCTCCCAATAATGACACTAATTTTAATGATAATGATAATTCTAATGTTAAATATAATAATGATTTAACTGATAATTCAATCAATGATAACACTAATCAAAATAATATTAATGATAATAATGATAATTCTACTTCAATTCCAAAAAATGAACGTAGAATTCATTTCAATGATGAAGTTCAACAATGTATTGCCATTGATGATTATGATGATGAAGATGGTGATTATGATGATGAATATGATGATGATTCTCAAGATGATGATAGCTATTATTATGATGATGAAAGTGAAGATAGTTATATTTATGAAACTCCTAATCGTAATGAAAATGATGATACCGTCAACGATTTGGAAAATGATGATGATGAAGATGAAGAAGAAGATGATGAAGGTGGATTTTTCTTAAATGTTAAATCCTCAAACATTCAAAATGTCCCCGGCTTGGGTTCTTCAACTTCAAAAGATAGTACAAATAGTAATAGTGATAGCTTGTCAACTCCAAATGCTAATGATAACACTGAAGATACTGATCTGATTTCAACAAACAATAGTAAATTTTATCGTACTATTCAATTATTACCTCCTACAAGTTTAAATTATGGTTCTTCTGATGAAGAAAGTGATGAAGAAAATCCTTATACTTCTTCCTTGTCTCATAACGTTAATAACAATAGTAGTAGAGGTTACGACTATTATTATGATTATAATACAGTTTACACTGTTGATCCAAATCATGCTATTTATGGTTCAAATGCGGCTAACAAGACTCCAGACGTTGTTGATGTACCTGATAATATTACTATGGGTCTGAATTTTGATTATGATATCATTGAGAACGAAGAATTTGATCATAAAAATTCAAATATTCAAAATAATGATTATTCACAAAACGATGAAAGAAATAGCATCAATGTTCCTGTTATTAATCCTGCAGTGGTTAATAATAACAACATCAATTATTCTTCACAATTTCCCCAACATTCAATGAATAATGATCAGGCTCAAAAGGAACGTTTGCCTATTTCAGCTCTTGATGATTCAGCTGCAAATAGATTATCACCTAAAAATTCTAATAGTGATGACGAAGAAGAGTCAGATTCTGATAGTGATGATGAAGGTGGATTATCTATAAGCGCTAGAAATTCAAGTCAATCATTGGCACAGCTGATTTTTGGTAATTCAAATATGACGAGTACAAATGATGATAAAGAAAGACATTTTCCGGCTTCATTTGAAGAACCAAGCCCAATTCATGGTCACATGTCTTCAATGAATCCTAATCATTCATCTACTGAACTTAGTAAACAGCCTCACTCATCGCACTCCTTAAGCGAATCATTTTTCGTTGGTGGTACTAATGAACTAACTAAAAAGAGAAGATCCAGTAGCGCTTTGGCAGACCAATTCTTTAACCTGAGCCTGCCAAGTCAGGATAATGATAATGAAAATAATTATAAATTAGACTCATCAGACTATAAATCCTCTTCCCCATCCGAAGTTCAGAAAAAATCATCTCCTTTACCACCTTATATGAATTCTGCAAATGCATTTTCAGGTCGCTCAACCAGCCCAAATTCAAATTCTGATCAAATCTCAAGTGCAAACTCAAGTTTTAGAAGTGCTCACTCAACTTTACCCCCACGTCATAATACTTTTATGTTTGATTCTGACAGTGATTCAGAAGATGAATATGTGGAAGATGCTTCTCCTCCACCAACTGATGCATCCCCTCAAAGTGAAAATATAAGACCTCCTAATCTGGATAATCCCTCTAGCTACTCATCGCTTGCTCAAGTAGCTGATAGAAATGGCATCAAAAGCCCTTCTCCAGATAATTCTCATATCTCAGATAATCTTAATGAAGCAGAAAAACGTAATTTTGTTGGCCAGGCTCGAGGATTAGCTAGCCAGTTTTTAGAAAATTGGAAACATCATGAATAACATTGCACTGTCCAATAGCAAAAGCCCATACAATTTACATAAAACTTACACGATTTACACTTTTTTTTCTTTATTTTTCTATTTCATTCTCAAGGTGATGGTTAGTATCACCATGCCATTATTGCCCTTTCTTCTCTTGTGTTTATAATTTTTGGAAACTGTTATGATAATCAGTTAGTATTCATTCATCTGCAAATTTAATTTCATAAAATCCGTACCTTTTTGTTTCTGTAATTTTGTGTGCAGTCAGCCTCTTCTATCGAGCAACTGATATCTTCTACTTTACTTGATTTTTTTTTTTTTGGGACATGTATAGTATACACTGGATAAACACCGTTCTTCCTTTTCTAATCCTCCCTAATCAGTACAGGATATACTAAAGCCCTCAGCTCGATATTGCAGATCCAATATTACTTTCTTTATTGAAAGAACAGTGAAAAACGTGTGCCGTCTATCGAACATCCGGTTATTGCAATTGAGATAGAATATAACCTTTGACAATGCAATTTGGATGCCAATCGATATCCCATGAGCTTCTAGCACTACCGGGGTTTTTACTATCATTGGTGCTCCCAATAACGTTTTATTCAGATCATAGTCCAATCAATCTGCCAGCTCTGGAAGATGATGACGGGAAATGTGAATTAATCGGCACTTTTTCATTGTTAACTCAAGCATTTTTAGGACTTCTATGTCTTTCTTCGTTGATAGTGAAAAGATTTTATGAGTATCCATTGAGACGATCCTGGTCTGTATGGTCATTTGATGTTTCCAAACAATTAATTGGAGCATTCGGTGTACATATTTTCAATGTACTTCTTTCAATTTTCAAGACACAAGATTATAAGGATCCTGGTTTAAGTTTAAATGGTGATGATTGCACTGGTAGCGACTGTAATGATGACTCCTCAGAAGATCCATGTGACTGGTATTTTCTCAATATTGTGTTTGATTGTACTATTGGTGTTTACATATTATATCTTGTTTTCAAATACGTCAACCGATTATGTAAAGAATATTTACATTTCACTCAAATAGAATCTGGACAGTATGGACCAGATCCAAAAAATCCTTCTTTCAGGGCTTTTTTGAAACAGTTATCAATTTATTTCACTAGTTTAATGATTACAAAGTTCATTCTTTATGGTATAGTCGAATGTTTTGAAACCCAGCTATTATGGTTTACCGGACATGTTCTCTTGGTCTGGCTTAATGAATATCCAGACGAATTTGAAATTTTCATTGTCATGTTCGTTGTTCCAGTGGTGATGAATTGTTTACAACTTGTTTTGATTGATAATTTCATTCAAAACCAGATAGTACACCGAACTAATCTTCAGGCTCATCATTCATCCAACTCAATACCCCGTCTCAGTTTAGCAGAAGAAGAAATAACTAGATTACTCACTAATTCTGAGTTAGATCAAGGAATCAAAGACCATAGAACATCAAAGAAACTGCAATTAGAAAACGACCTTGATAAGACTGGTAATTCTAGTTTTGATAATGATGACCCAAAGTTTCAAAATTATGGTTCACTTAATGACGATAATGTATAGTTTCTCCACGATTAATAATTACTACACACTTCCAGTATTTCAATTCTTCAGATAGTTTTATATTTATAAATACATTTATTTCATAAAGAAAACATAGAACAGTGTAAATGGTAACTCTTTATCTGAGCTGATCTTATATATTAAAATCTTTTGTTATTTACAAGATGAAGAACAATATAGTCATTATTTACAATTAGCCACCAATCGATCAATGTTGAAAACGTCGAGTTGGTATAGTTCTGAAATAGTTTAACGAGTCTCAAATCCGAAGCCTTTCATGCAAGTCTTATATTTTTGGATCAAATCATCACATTTACCACCTTCTTGTCCATTGAATAATAAGCACTCATCTCTTTGCTTCTTTTCATCCAAGCAAACACAACAAGGTTTTGGTTTTGGCTCTTCTTTTTTTGGTGCACAAGAAGTACAGTTCTTTTCGTCTCCCCCACAGGCCATCTTCGGGTTCTCTAGTTATTTGATATAGTTAAAAAGAAAGTATTGATGGTCTTTAAATTTTCATCAGACGTTTTTCTTAGTAATCTTATAAAGTGCTTATGAGAAAGATCCATACACCAAGTAGAATACGGTACACGACAACAAAAATATAGTGTTGATTCGACATTCGACATTGATTGATGTTTAAATAAGCGTACATCAATAGCACAATTGAGATATTTTCCATATAACAGCTTTGAAACTGATTCAGGATCAATTGCACATAACGCTAATTTAATAATTAAAGTTGAAATCCTTGTCATCTCCTGTATTAGGTAAAGTGCAAGCTAATCTTACCCTCATAAAGCTCAGACCAATATAAGGTAAATCACATTTGCGTTCTCTTTAAGTTCATCTACATGTTGTTTTGAAATATTAGTAATCCCATTAGCGACAAAACGATATCATCAATTTTCCATAAACTGCTTGCGCTATTGTCAATTGAATAAAGCATGTCTTTAGAATCTTCAAAATCAAATCTTTCGATCAATGGTCATGATTTACCGCCTCCAGGGCCTTCATTTTTAAATGATCTGACTCCAGGAAGCCGAAATTCATTAGAAGGAAGTATCAACTTGAACGATGATCTTGCAGATGGCTCTGAATATTCATCAAGCATAGTCTCACAACCGTACGGGGCTAGTAGTGGTGGGCCCAGTAGTTTCAAAAGAAGATCAGGGTCTTACATATCCTATAAAAATAGTATAGATGGAGGTGAAAGTACATTCCTGTCTTCCGCATATTTCAATATATTTCAGAATCAAAATAATGGTGAGTCTTCAAAACAAAATAATGATTTTTCACCCTTGGGTCCTAACTCAATCTACGAGTTGACCATAGGGTCAGATACTGCAAGGTCAAGAAGAAATAGATCTTCAAAAACGTCACTTACCTTACATGGTGGCTCAACTGTTGTAAATAACATAAAGACTCCGACCACCAAAGACATTCCTCAAATTCAATTGCTGAAACTATCGAAGAAGGTCAGTAACAATGAATTAGATAGCAAGCTTGTAAATGATTCTGTTGATGAATATAAAAACTTCGAGCTGAGCTACAAGCTTCTCACAGAAGACACTTTACAAAAATTTGTGGAGCAAGACAGATCCCACCATAATCATGAAGTTACACTATCATCAGGCGCAGCTTCGCCAACCTCTTCAGTATCTAACTTGAAAGATCTAATAGAAAGTAATATGGATACAGACGATAAAGATCTATCAGAATTAATTCCTGACGTGTATCTCGATCCCGAGTTTAGATTGGATGACCCTAGGATTTTCAAACAAGTCATTGAAGGTTGCAAAATTTTACCCGACGAAGATGAAGAAGAAGGATTGAACGATCTGTCTTATTTAGCAAGCAATACTGACCTTCAAGATAAACTATCTCATTATCTTGATTTGGTGGAAGTCAAATTGATCAAAGAAATTTCTAAATCTTCAGATTCATTCTTCAATACCCTTGGTGATATCCAAGCTGTCCTGAGCCAATCGGAATCTTGTATCGGAAAGTTTAGAGAAATCACAAAAAAACTAGAATCTTTAGAATTAAATGAAGCTCAAACTGGGTTGGAAATATTAAATACGTTGAATGAACGTAAAAATATTGAACAATTGGAAACCGGTATTGTTCAGTTACAATATGTTTTATCTATATTTGAGTTAGCAAAAAAGTCGTTTCAGAATGGTTTGCATAATAAATGTTTAAGTGAAATAATTGTGGTGGAGAATTTGATTAATGGAACTAATCCTAAAGATTTAGATACGGACGAAAACGAGAGCTTCTATCCCTCTTTTGATTATCCATTAGCAGATCTTTCTAGTGTGCCAGCATTGCGAGAATTGAAGTATGAATTGTCGGAGCTAAAAAACCATTGTTCTAAAGGTTACATTAACGATTTTATCCAGCTCTTATTGAAGGATTTACGAGACCACTACAATTCTGTTGCCACCCAAGATACATTAAATAGAATATATGTTTCTGTTGACAATTCCAAAAAGTACCATACTTCAAAGATTAATACTTCATATCAAAAAATCGATGAACAGAAGAAAGGAAAGTTGCGAGACTTTGTTGAAAACTTATCAAAAGCTGGCCACATTGGGAATGCATATTCAGAATATCAAAATAAGATAATTATAGAAATAAAAGAAATCATAAAGTTGAATCTTCCAAGCAGCAGACAGGGATATTCTCTGACCGACGTGTCTGAAGCTCCTTCGCGTGCCTCTCCTTTCCCAGAATCGGCAAATAATTCTTCTACAGCTCTTTCTACCAATGCCTCGGGCTCTAATATCAATTCATTATCCACCAACATCAGGGGTTTGTCGCCCAAAGAATTTGAGACCATGATGGCTAAAATTTATACAACTTTAGCAGAGTGCTTGCGTCGCTTAACAGCCCACCAGAAAATATTATTGGACTTGGCTTTGACTGCTATTCCTCCTAGCGCATCGCAGGATATAGATGTTATGTCTCTTGATATAACTGTTGCTATAAATAAGGCTATTGAGCTAACCCAAATTAGGTTGAGTAAAGTGATTAATGTAAGATCTGAGCAGATTGCCGATCTTTCAGTTCCCTTCTACTTGAAAATGTATTCCCTTTCGTCTGCATATTTACAGGAATGCGAATTCATCAACCCTGGTTACGTTGCGAGTGGACCAGGATCGTCATTGAATGATTGGGTTAAAAACCACGTTGGATACTTCATTCATCGTCTTCACCTGAATTCAATGAGAAATATTGCACTGGACTGTGATCGCGAAACATGGAAGGAAATAGTCAATTCGAAAATACTAACTGAAAATCAAGCTGTTCTCAATGAGCTTCTTGACCATTCGGAATACATTGATTCAAATGGAAAACTGGGTTACTCTGGAGAAAATTGGCTCAAGCCTCTTGATCTTTTTATAGAGGAGAGCAAAGAGGAATCAGAACAAAAACCGGATAACATTTCAAATGATAATGATGAGTCCCAAAAAGATAAAGAAGAGAACGGCTTAAAAATTCATGGTGAAAATTTTATGATTCCTAGTCTTGCAGTGAAAGTGTTGGGACGAGTAAGAGATTACGTCATCATAGCAAAAGTCTTCCCTAGCAAAAGTCATATAATTGAAGTAAATTTATTAAATTTATTCAAGTTGATAAATTCCAAATCTGCGCAGTCAGTTCTTAATGCAGGTGCTACTCGAACGGCAGGTTTGAAACATATAACTACTAAACATTTGGCCCTTTGTATTCAATTTATAGAGTACAACATTGAATTTTTACTAAATCTTCAAAAAATATTCAAATATTCCAAGTCAAGTCCACCTCCCCATCCTCAGCAGAATGCCCACATAGAAGAACCTACTTTTAATGGTATAATCAGTAATTACAGGGATCATGAAAACGAGCTTTTTTCTAAATTAGTGTCAATTATGTACGATCGTACGTTGATCCATTGCCAAAATATTGTCAATATTGATTGGTCGCAACCACTCACTCACCCTCAACAGTGCCACACATATATGGAAACTTTGGTGAAAGAAACAAGTACAGTTATAAAAGTATTGAGTAAATATTTACCAGAATTAAAATGTTCAATGGTAATGCTGCAGATATTTGAAAATTATAAAAAATTATTGGTTGATTGCTTCTGCACACAGTTGACCCAATTCAAGGACTTCAATGAAAAGCATTCCCTCTTGAAAGATATTGACTATTTCCGTGTCAAATTGTGTGATTTACCTGGTTATGGAAACTCTGGTCAAGTGATATGGGAAAATGTCAATTCCCTTCCAACTATTGAAGATGCCAAAATGGAGGAAGTGATGAGAAACAATATTGCCGGTGAAAAGCGCAGCCAAATAGAGCGAGTTAGAAATTCAACTTCTTTAGAGTTGGCAAGAGACAGCAAGAATCTGTCAAAAGAGTCACTTGTAGAAACCAAGGCTGAATCCAACGAACCTCCGGAGGTACCATTTACCAAGACCGATCTGACTGATAACTAAATCTTTAATGGTTAATAATCTCTTTCGACAATGTTTCAGAAATTAATTTTATTTACTGAAATTTTACTTTAATAGAATACAAAAAGTCATAGCTACACGGTTATTTTAATGATAATAAATAATGTATATTTTAATTACTACTTAAATCAAATTCACCTTTAGGGTTCTTGGTATGCACTGGGAGTTCTTCAGTAACAATGCTATCAATAAGATTATGAGGAGTAACATCGAAACTAGGGTTCCAAACACTGATGTTTGGGGTAGATATTCCAACGGTAACTTTATCTCCTATGGAGTTATTAGAGAGGATTGGACCTTTCAAAGTGGTCAATTCATTTGGGGGTCTTTCTTCAATTATGATGTCATCGCCAGTCTTAGTTTTCAAGTCGATAGTAGTTCTTGGAGCAGCGACAATGAATTTGATTTTTTTAGATTCATCTTGAAAAGCATGATTAAAAGCATTTGCAATAACGGACAATTGAAAAGTACCAATTTTGTTGGCAGTATCACCATTTTCTACAATTCTATCAGCACCAACGATTATAAATTTGACTGGAGCAGACAGGTTTTTAACCACCTTTTCCTTCGCTAAAGAGGAAATCAACGACGAGGCCATATTATCACATATTAATGTGAAGGGGATTTTTTCATAATCTAGCTCGAAAGTGGTCAACTTAGCTCCTTGATTATAAGGTCTTGTCTCAAGAGGGTAAACATGATCTAACCAAAAGTCTTGACCGCATGATTTGGATAATTTTTCGTGAACGGTTCTTATGATCCCTAATGCAGTTCCATGACCTGAGGTAGCCAAAGAACCAGTATTGCAAATAGTCATGATTGAAAAAGGTCCCTTGAAGTTTTGAGATTTAAGAGTTTCAGTGATATAGTTTAAACCATTATCACCAAGTTTGAAGTTATTGGATAAATCGTCTTCATACAATGCTACAGAGTAGTCATAAATATCATTTAACACACTCTTATTAACCAACGTTTGAGCTTTGTATGATTTAGTCAAGATAGACTTGATGTCATTAAGAGCATTAGAAAGGTTAACTGCGGTCGGTCTTGAAGTTATCAAGTAGTCAATTGATGAAATCAAATCTTGGATGGATTTATCTCTGAGTGATTCTTCTTTGGAGTTTAAGTATCTATGAGTATCGACAACAACAGAGAAAACACCTACAATAGCAATTGCAGGAGCTCCTCTAACCTTCATTGATTTGATAGCTTCAAAAGCATCGTTTATTGACTCGATTGGAATATAGGTCGTTGAATATGGAAGCAAAAGTTGGTCCAATATTTCCAAAGTTATGTTTTCTTTATCAAACTTTATAGCTTGAAGGCCGGTAGTGGTCATTTTGAAATCTCTCGTGGTATGAAGTAGTTGGTATTAGACCACGTTTGAATCAGTTTCGCTCTTATAAGTAATAGTTTTTTTTCTCACGTCTTTTTTTTTTTTTTAGTTGTGTTCGCTCTTTGACCCTCTTCTACATATTGCAGCCACATTAATCATATTAAATACGTATTAAATGGGTAAATAAATATAACCAGAGCACTAAAAAATCAATCTTCTTAGGCCTTCGACCTCGAATTCTTCAGTTAAGGGGTTCCATTTACATCCTAAGAGTTTTTTACCAGTGATTGGGCATCTTCCTCCTTTGCTAACATCGTAGTTAGGTTGAGTTGGAACGTTTTCAGGGTGATCTTCAGCTTCGTCGTCCTCGGAATCACTATCAGAATCAGTATCGTTGTGGGTGTTATGTTTTGCCGACTCTTTGGCTCGTTTCCCTACTATTTTATGCGATTCAGTAAGGTAGTTGTAAATGCACTTATAACAGAACACATACCCGGTCTCAATGATAGCAGGATTGTTAATTTCCTCTTTACACAAGGGGCATTTATCACCCGACTTGTACAGTTTTTCAAGTTTGTTTTCCAAAGAGGAGTTTCTATTCAAGGTAGAAGGAGGAGGAATTAGGGACTGCAAGACATCACCTTCATTTTTAGCGATTTTCAGGGAAAAATCAGAGTTGTTCCACCATTCCAAAAACTTCAAGGTGAAGATTGCAACCGGGAAGAAGGTGCCCAATACAAGCCTTATAGCTTTCCAGGAGGGCCTTGTGAAATTGTTAGTGATAAGACGCAATATGTATTCTATGGTGGTGGGAGGAGATATACGGTTTGGTTTTTCTTTATCGCCTTTGAGAGGTGACGGTTCATTCTTTTGATAGTCGTATTGATTCAAACGGGAATAATTCATTTTGAAGAGTGCAGTTAGTAAGGTTGGAGATTTAGATCCTCCACTTAAATATAGTAAGGTAGTTATGAGATTCCCTGCCCGCAATATACTCTGAACAGTAGGGAATATTTCAACAAACTTCCTCTTGAACAAAGTCTGAAAGTACTGTTTCTTATCCGTATACTCTGGTAAGTCCAATTGGCCGGTTATATACTTTGAGTACCATACTTCATGCCAATAATTGAATTTTTCACTTAGATAGGAAACCCCCGTTATCTCAAAGATCGAGATTATGGTCTGTAATCCAGATAAACTCCTTCGAGCTTCAACCATAGATGGAACCAACTGCGTCAACTTACTGCTGTTGTATTTCTTATCCGATAACGGTGTTTGACGAACCCTTTTCAACCCGTAGAAATTCTCGGTAAACGATCCTTGCCAATACTTCAAAAAATACCATTCTATGAACGATCTAAACACCAAATTAAGCTCATCAAACCGATTGGTGATCTTAAGCAAGTAGTTGGGGTATCTTTGGGTATAATGAACCAAAATGTACCGAAGTGATGGCGATAGAAGGGACTCTAATTGACTGGCCGAGATTAGCTCAAATAAAGTGGGGGTTTCAGAATCTAGCTGAGATGCGTCCAAAGACGAATAGTACTCCATGTTGGCTAGTGTACTTTCTTCTACTCTCCTGCCAGTTCGACCTGTTGATATATCTAGAAACAACTAATTGTAGTATCCCCACAATAAACCGAGGAGTCATAAAACAAAAAAAAAAAAATAGACAATCGCTAGAGTGTGGGAGTCGTGTTTTGCCCAATGCTAATCACTCGATTGTGAAAAGAAACCTGCTACAATCAAATTTCAAGAGGGACCAGCAACACCAACAAGGTGACTCCAGAGAGTTTAAACAGATTTCCAGAGAGCTTTCAGTGGCATAGCTATAGCAGGGTATCAAAAAGTTATTCAAGTTTAGTTGGTCGCTTTGGGTACAGCCAGTGAGATTAGCTAAACAAGATAGTGGTTAGTTTGCAGCCGGGGATTGGAAACACAAGGTTTTTTTCAAAAATATGGAGGATTTTGAAAGTCTTCATTCAATTGTGGAAGAGTTTGGAATCAAGGTAGTAAGCTTAAGTATGTTTGATCTTGGTCATTTTATAGGTTGCGAATATGTCCAATTGGACGAGGTTCCGATTGGATTTGGAAATATGGGGCAGATGCCGGTGTTAACTGATGCCCAGGGTAATGTTATTGAAGGGTTGAATTCGAAGCAAGGAATTGATGAGGATATGCACTGTGAAAGCACCAACTCGAGTGAGATGGCTCCTATGGGGGTTGCTAGTGTTTCGACTGATCCATTTTCGAACTTGGAGATTATAACAAGCAGTAATGACGGAGAGCCAATACCGAGCTCACCACCCCAGATTATTAGTAGTGTTAATAATCAGCTTTCTTCTCAATTTATTGATTTTAGTTCAGATAAGTTGAATTCGTTTTATGCCATGAATTCGGAACCGTTTGACTTATGAGGACTTGTATATAAGACTACATAGTTATGATGATGATAATAGTAATAATATGATGATTAAGATTAGTGATAACAGTAAAAAACAGAGTCAGTAAGGGCAAATAAAGAGAGAACGAATCAACAAATGCTTATTGAGGGATTTAATTGACATAGACTAATGTCAAATCTGAAATTATATTTGATACGAATATCCCAAGCAAATAAGTCAAATACTTGATAATCACCGTATTCAACGTTTTCAATTTGATTGTCAATTGGCATCATTGAAGGATTTGGATGATTCTTAATACATTTAAACCAATAATAATAGTGTCTTGGTTGATGAGTAGACTTATCAAAAGCTGATAATTTAGTAGGGCTTTGGTTATTGTTATTATTATTGGAAGTAGTATTCTCACTTAATTGATCTGGTAATGCAATTTTAGTACCATAAGGTTTCCAACCCAACAAAAACAAACAAGTTTCAGCAATCAAGTTTTCTAAAGGAGTTAACCCGTAATATAAACCGTAAAACAATACTAGAGTCAATTCATTAACAAAATTCAAATTTTCTGGATTATTTTGATTTATAATTGACTTGATTTCTTCAACAAATCTATCAAACTGATTTTGAGCTCTAATACTATTCCAACTATTTTGCAATTTTAGTAATTGTAACGGTGGTTTAATTAATTGACTGAAATCATAATTGTTTAGGCTGGAACTTAATTGAACAATGTCTGGTAAATAAGGTTTATGAATTGGAATTTTAAAATGATTGTACTTTTTCTCTTTGATTAAAAGTTTAGAATTATCTTCCGTTGATGGCCCCACTTTTCTAGTGGAAGTAAAAGATATTATCAAATCTTGAATCCCTGGTGGTAATTTAATGAGATATAAATCACTAAACAATTCTAATTCAGTATTTGACAAGGATGAATTTTTCAATATCTCAACAAATTTAAAATTTGGATCATCTTCTGGTTTAGTTGATTTAGTGGGAGGAGTGGAAGCGTTTATATCGTTTATTATTTGGCTAGCTGGACTAGGTTGGTTCAAGTCATTCTTGATATCACTTCTCTTATCCTTTTCTGTTTGATGTATACCATTACTTATCGATCCATTGAGATGGCCATTGCTAACTGCATCATTCTTAGGCACTTGATGAGATACTGTTTCATTATTGGTATTGATATCATTACCTGCAGCTGCAGCTGCCCATTTCAAAGTACCAACTGGTTTGGGAGGAGCAGTGGCCGGTTTTAGCGTTTTGATTATAGCCGGACTAGAGAGCTCTGGAGTAGCTGGTATAGATGACGTCGATTGAAGTTGAGCCGGTTTCGTTTTAGGAGTGGTAACCCCAGAGGAACCGAGTTTCTGTTTCGGGAGTTCTGGTTGAGGAGATTGCTTTGAAGATGAAGAAGATGGTCTTGTTATTGATGGAGGAAGTGTATTACTATTAGAAGGCGAAGACGAAGAACTTTGAAGGTCATTTGATTTTTTAGATTTTAGGAGTATGATATCATCTTCATTTATAGAATTTTCTTCTCTTTGCTGTTTTTGTCGTCTTTCATGTTCGATTTCACTATTGATACGGTCAGTGTTTTGTTTTGCTTCTTTTATTATTTCATCGTATAAAGTTTCATCGTCGATAAAATCAGGATCTTGATTAGACTCCACATAAAAATTTAAATCATCTTGAATCAACCATATTGAATCAGGACTTAATTTACCGTTCTTTAAATATTGAATGATGGTTTCAATTTTATCGATATGAAAATTATCATTATTTTGAAATTTTTCAATCTCTTGCTTTCTTTCTTCAATAGCACTTAAATTATTTTTCCGAATTTTTTTAGCGGAAATTTTGTCATATTCTTCATTTAAGTTTTCAACTTGTTCATTTAAACTTTCAATTATATCGTTTAAATAATGAACCGCATCCAAAACCTCTTCACTTAAGTCATTATCACCACTTTCCAAAGCTGCCAACATTATCGATTGATTTGAGAATGATTTCATTTTAGAGTTTTTTTCAACTTCTTTGTAACATTCCATGGCTTCTTCTACCAACTTTCGATGATCTTGTAGTTTAGAAGGTGCTATTATAGCTTCCATTTGATCATTCAGTTGCCACGTCTTAATTTGATCTCTAAATTTCTGTAGTTTTTTGATTTCTTTCTTTAAATCATTCTCTAACTTTTCTCGTTGGGAATCGTTAGTAGAATTTTCATGACGGGTGAAATGATAATTGAAAAGGTCTATCCCTTCATGAATTTTCTTGAAAACGGCATCCACCTCTCTATAAATTTATGTTAGTATATCTTTCTTAAGTAGTTGACAACTTCACTCCGCAAAAAAAACCCAACTTCCAAGGGGACAAAACTAGATAAAAGTCCTAGTAGAGCCTGTTGCAACATGCTTGAAACTTCCATGGTACATACTTCTGTAGTTTCCTATGGGACATCCTGTTCTTCTAGAGTTAAAGATAACCTTCCTAACCTAACTAGAGATTTTTTGTACTAGAGAAGGGTTTTTCAAGACCGAAAAAAAAAATTTTTTTCGTTCTTTCAATGAAGAAGTTATACTGGAAAAAACAAAGAACAAAAAAAAAAAGGAAGTGAAAGAACAAAAACTGAGAAGACTCGATAATCAGTACTACTGGTATGCTTACCATCTATTCTTCACAGTCAGCTTGAAGCTTTGATGGTGGTTTCTAGGGATTTTGGCACTCGGGTTTGGTGGCAGAGGATGAAGTTGTTTTAGCCGAAGCTCAATTGGGGAAAGCGGCCCAAGCAGTGATCAAAACTAAGACTTAAACAATTGGCTATTGTGGACCTCCCTCCAAAGAAGGCCCTACAAATTAGCGGAGTGATATTTCAGACAGGGGTGGGGTGATTCTCTGCAAAAGGAAAGCTTCTTTAGTGTCAATACTGGCAATATTGATGGCATGATCCAACTCCGTTGGAACAGGGCAGTTTGAAACAGGGCAGTTGAAAAACTGCAAAAACTCGTTGTAGGGCAGGGATGTACGGGTTTGCAACCTGGAAGAATGCAACATTATATACAACATTATGCAACTAATTAATGTATTGGCATTATTATAAACAGTTTTTTTTTTGTTTTATATATATATATATATTAGATAAATCTATTTATATAGTAGATTACAATTCATCGTGATCAAAGTCATCATCAGAATCGGCATCACCAAATTGGGCACCGGCATCACCACCACCGTATAGTTTTGAAGTGATTGGGTTAGCAACATCGATTAATTTTTGTTTTTGTTCTTCGAATTCTTCAGAAGTAGCGGTATCATAATTATCTTCGATGAATTCTAAGGTTTCTTTAACTGCGTCATCCAAGGTTTCTTTATCGTCATCATCTAATTTAGAACCTAATCCATTTTCAGATTGATCACTTAATTGACCTTTTAATAAATGAGCGTAATTTTCTAATGAATTTCTTGATTCGATTTTAGCTTTAACTTCAGCATCTTGTTGAGCGAATTTTTCACCTTCTTCAACCATTCTATCGATATCTTCTTTAGATAATCTACCTTTATCATTGGTGATGGTAATAGATTCTGATTTACCAGTACCTTTATCCATTGCTTCAACTTTCAAGATACCATTTGCATCTAAGGAGAAAGTAACTTCAATTTGAGGAACACCTCTTGGAGCAGGAGGAATACCGGTCAATTCGAATTTACCTAATCTATTGTTATCTTTAGCCATTGCTCTTTCACCTTCGAAAACTTGAATTAAAACAGTTGGTTGGTTATCAGCAGCAGTAGAGAAGATTTGAGATTTTTTAGTTGGAATAGCGGTATTTCTGTTAATAAGAGTAGTCATAACACCACCAGTAGTTTCAATACCTAAAGTTAAAGGATTAACATCCAATAAAACGATATCATCAACCCCTTCTTCACCAGATAAAACACCGGCTTGAACGGCAGCACCATAAGCAACTGCTTCATCTGGGTTAATACCTTTAGAAGCTTTTTTACCATCAAAGAATTTTTCTAATAACTCTTGAACTTTTGGAATTCTAGTGGAACCACCAACTAAAACAATATCGTCAATTTCAGATTTTTTAACACCAGCGTCTTTCAAGACTTGTTCGACTGGTTTTAAAGTTTTCTTGAAAGCTTCAACGTTTAATTCTTCGAATTTAGCTCTGGATAAAGTTTCTGAAAAATCAATACCATCAACAAAAGAATCAATTTCAATTCTAGCACTCATTTGAGAGGATAAAGTTCTCTTAGCCTTTTCAGCTTCTCTTTTCAATTTGGAAATAGCTTTTGAATTTGAAGTAATATCAATTTTATGTTTTTTTTGGAAAACTTTAGTTAAATGTCTAACAATTTTAAAATCGAAATCTTCCCCACCTAAATGAGTATCACCAGCGGTGGCTAAAACTTCAAAGACACCACCTTCAATAGATAATAAGGAAACATCGAAAGTACCCCCACCTAAATCATAAACGATAATTTGTTTTTCATCATCTGATTTATCTAAACCATAAGCAATGGCAGCGGCAGTTGGTTCATTGACAATTCTCAAGACATTTAAACCAGAAATGGTACCAGCATCTTTAGTAGCTTGTCTTTGAGCATCATTAAAATAAGCAGGAACAGTGACAACTGCATGGGTAACTTTTTTACCCAAATAATCTTCAGCAATTGATTTCATTTTACCTAAAATCATCCCACTAATTTCTTCGGGAGTGAAAGTTTTCAAATCGTTTTGATATTCAACTTTAACAACGGGTTTACCATCTTTCTTTTCAATAGTATAAGGTAAATGCTTAATTTCTTTTTGAACGGTTTTATCGTTGTATTTTAAACCAATTAAACGTTTAATATCGAAAACAGTGTTTTGAACATTGGAAGGAGCTTGATTTTTAGCAGCATCACCAATTAATCTTTCTTCTGGAGTGAATGCAACATAAGAAGGAGTGATTCTATTACCTTGATCATTAGCCAAAATTTCAACCTTACCATTTTTCATCACACCAACACATGAATAAGTAGTACCTAAATCAATACCAATCACGGTACCATAATTTTCAGTATCGTTTGAATCATCTGCCAAAACTAAAGAGCTTTTACCATGATTATTTAAAAATGGTAAAATAATTGCCAAAAGAACATAAAAAAGGGTAATACCCGATATCCAATTACGATTGGAAATATTTAACATGTTGACTATTCTATTATATCAACAAATAAACAATCAGTAAGAAAATCAACTAAACGACTCTGTACCAAAGTTATGGACTTTTGGGAATTTGAAAAGAAGTGGGCGCTAATTGTAGTTATATAAACTGAAAAAAATCAAAAAAATTCAATAAATCAACAACTTGCTAACAAAACAAAAAAAAACTCCACTATTAGCTTAAACACTAATTAACTAGAAGGTTCTTTGGCGTTCGGTGCGTTTCTAATCTTGACACGTACACAAGTGCACTCGCTGAGGTGTTAACAACGTTGTGCTCGTAAATCGCTGACGTGTTCACTTACTCTTCTTACTCTTACTCTTCTTACTCTTACTCTTACTACTCTTACTCTTCTTACTCTTACTCTTACTACTCTTACTCTTACTACTCTTTCTGCTGTACTCTAGCACTATTGCACGTTGCACATTGCACTCACTCTCGTTCTGTGCTCACATCTTACTCATTACTCGTAGTATTCTATACTTTATACTCGTACTAAATACGCTTACTAAATACTCTTACTAAATACTCTTACTAAATACTCTTCCTACTCAAATACTTATACTTACATGTAGGCATATTCACTCTGTAACTTACTTGCTCTTGTCAGCTTCCTGTTAGATTCTACTCTTCCATCTATTCTATGCTTTCGTAACGCGGACTCGATGTAGACCTACAACATTGGCTTAGTGTTATGGCTTATCTTTCGCATCAAGAGCTGGCATCAACTTGCAATCGATCACTTTTCCTTTTAAGAACCGACCGTGGTGGCGATTTCCGGGGGAAAGGTTGGCAAAATGTCGCGACTCCCGGTCACTGGCCAATCGGGAATCCGAGTGCGACATTTTTCTCTTTTTCTCTTTGGGTTTTTGTTTTTTTTTCATAAAAATGTTTGGTGTACGGGTCGGTGATTGCTGGGGCAAGCGCAATTTCTAATCTGCAAAAAAACAGCAACACCATAAGCGCAGGTTGGCCTCCGGGAGTTTGCAGGTTGGCGCCCGCAGTGTCATTTCAGGGATTTTTAACGAAAAAGTGAGTGAAAGATCTCATTAGAATTGCACTTGCTCCTATTAACTACTCTTCTTCTTATCACTTTATCTATTAGAATAGCTTATTTTTAATAGACCTTCCTCACCCGGGTAATCAATCCATTTTCCATTTTTCAACTCAATTACTCAATTGCCACTTGTGTCTTATAGTGGCTATATTTTCACTTTCATTTTTTACTTTTTCTTTTTTTTTTTTTTTGTCTTTCTTTGTCTGTGATTAGGTTTGCTCATTTAATTAATTCAATCCTTCATTAGAATTAGCATTTTTAACCAAAATGACTCCAACTGCTAATCAAGAATTCATAACTAATGAATTAAACCAATTACAAAAAGAAATTATTGGTAAAAATCCTGTTGATGTTTTACAATTTTGTGCTAATTACTTTAACGCTAAATTAGAATTACAAAGATCTCAATTATGGTCTCAACAAATAAAAGCTAAAGCTGCGGGTATTAACTTGTTCCCTCAAGTTGATAACATTAACGTTAATGGTACTGGTAATGGAGTAACGGTTAATTCAAGACAACCTAGCTTTAAATCTCCTTTTGGTGATAATGATCCTCATTCAATACAGCATGAAAATAACTCCAAGAATGACGGTGAAAAGCAAGAAGATAAAGCTGGCTTATTCAAAGGGGGGTTTGGCGTTGGTCAAGAAACCCTCTCAAAACCACTTCAAGAATTAGATCCAAATGATCCTTCTGCAAATTCTCATTCTAACACTTCTACTAATTCAAATCCAAACCCAATACCTGCTAAAATCCCCGTGGCCTTCAATGCTAACAGAAGAACTTCTGTTTCCGCTGAGGCTCTTAATCCTGATAAATTTAAATCGGATTCTTGGAAACCTCCAACTAACGATTTAACTGCTTCGCAAAAATCAGAATTACAAAAAACTTTAACTTCAAACTTTTTATTCAAACAATTAGACGAAAACCTGAAAAAAACCGTTATTGATGTTTTAACTCGTAAACAATTTAAAAAAAATGATGAAATTATTAAACAAGGTGATGAAGGTGATTTTTTCTATATTATTGAAAATGGTACCGTTGATTTCTATGTTAATGGTACTAAAGTTAATTCAAGTGGTGAAGGCTCTTCCTTTGGTGAATTGGCTTTAATGTATAATTCTCCAAGAGCTGCAACCGCTATTGCTGCTTCAGATGATGGGGTAAATTGTTGGGCTTTGGATCGCTTAACTTTCCGTCGTATCTTATTAGAAGGTACTTTTAATAAAAGAATAATGTATGAAAATTTCTTAAAAGATGTTAAAGTCTTATCAAGTTTATCAAGTCATGAAAGATCAAAATTGGCCGATGCCTTGAGTACTGAAATTTATCATAAAGGTGATAAAATTGTTAAAGAAGGTGAACAAGGTGAAAATTTCTATTTTATCGAAAGTGGTACTTGTCAAATTTCAAAGGAAAATGCTGGTGTTGTGGCCAAAATTAGTAAAGGTGATTATTTTGGTGAAGTTGCTCTTTTAAATGATTTACCAAGACAAGCTACCGTTGAAGCATTGGATACCGTCATTGTTGCTACCTTAGGTAAATCTGGTTTTTCAAGATTATTAGGTCCTGCCGTTGATGTATTAAAATCTCAAGATCCTACCGCTATTCCTGATGCAACCACTGCTGTTAATTAATGTATCATTTACAATCAAATCATTTTACGCCAGCATGTGTCGCTGTATTCATTTCAAACTATTTCTCCATACCTTTTAATTGGCAATCGTTCATACTACTTTTTTTTTTTTATTATTATCTCATGTCTTTTTAATTCAATTTTTACTAAACGTATGGATTATTCCATCTATTTGTATTCTTTTTTTTTTTTTGTATCTTTCAATCGAACATTAACGTTTGTATATACATCTTTACTTTTCTTTGCGTTTTTAGATATAATGTTTCATGATTTAATCTCTCGATAATAAAACAGTATTGTAAACCGTGTGAATATACAATAAGGTCGTCCTACTTTCTACAGGTGTATTCTATTTTCCTTTTATCATTAGTTTACACAATTTTAATCAAACTTAAAAAAAGAGAAAATGCTATTTCACAATTACACCTTGATCTTACTAATGTGATCGTCAAGTTTGTGTCTTGCTACATCAATTAATTTTCCTTCTTCTTGTAACCACGTTTTGAGCTTAGTGAGATCCTGACTTAAGCGTAATCTTTGAAGTCTTCTACTCAATTCATCATCCTCTGTCTCCAGTTTAGTTTCTCCACTTTGTTGGGCCTTAACCGATTCCAATTGTCCGTTGAGAGATTTGACCTTATCCATCAAGCTGAGGTCTTCTGAGTTGTCTTTGTTTATCTTAATGTTCAATGAATTGATTTCTTTAAACCAAAACCTTTCTTCTTTTGAAAGTGGGGATGAACTTTTGTTTCTAAGTCTATGTATTGAATCTATGAGCTTTTTCTTTAAAGCCTCTTGTTTCTCATTGATAGTCTTTTGTTTCTTTTTCAATTCTTCAATTCGTTTTTCATTTGTCTCATAATATTCTTGTTTTTCAATCTTTTTGTTATCTTCATTGAGAGTTTCAATTTGTTGTCTTAAATCACTTGTTTGCAACTCAAGTCTGGACGTAACACCAAAAATTGCTTTGGAAAATACTTGAACCAGTTGTAAGAAAAAGCGAGAAGCATCGTTCATACTTTGTAAAACTTGAGTATCTTCCGAATTCAATTTTTTCGTCAATACTGCATTATCAACTCCCTTGTAGCTATCACTGTAATTTTGATTTTTCAAGTCTTTTAAATAGGTATCAAGCTCAGCGATTGGAGCTTTACTGACTAGGGAAATATTAGAAGGATAAATAACCTTCTGCATATGTAATTGCGGATTTTTGATTTCCTTCTTTTCTTCTTCCTTCTTTTCTTCTTCCTTCTTTTCTTCTTCCTTCTTTTCTTCTTCCTTCTTTTTCTCTTCTTTTCCGAGCTTTCTGATTTCAATACTAATTCTGTAATTATAGAATAAAACGAGGAAATCTCCTGTATTAGTAGTGTTATCAGTTAATAGTAGTACTTTGGGATTAGGATGTTTGGAGTTGAATTTATCATACTGGATGAAATCAATATCACTTGACTGAGCCTCGAGAATCTTATCACTCCAAGCTTGAGTATCTATGAAAAGCACTTTGTCACCAGAAATTATAGCTATTTTGGATGCATCATTAGAAAGTTTTCTAAAACAACCCTTTAACTCTTTTGTAAAATTACCAATATTATCATGACCAGCAATCTTTAAGGATAATAAAGACTCTTCAACGAATTTCTTTTCGTTTAGCTTTTTATCGAACTTAGTTAATGCGTTCTCTTCTTTCGAGTCGTGATTTCTAGTACCACTCGATTCGGGAATGGCAACAAATCCAAAACCTCTCTTAGGTTTAGCATAACCAAGCTTATTCTTGTTTTCAAGGGACGCTTTGGCTTTTTCTTCTTCAGCTTGAACAAGTTCTTCCTCGTCTTCTTCATCGGATTTCCAACTCATCATGAGAGGGGAGTCTTGGATGAAATAACGAACGAAAGTTTCACCAGAACTATTCGAACATAAAGCAGAGAGAAATATTGTATCATCATTACTGGAGATTTCTATTAAATCAATAATGCTAGGCTTGCGTTCTGCTTCTGGTATGTTTTCGGCTCCCGCGATATTCAATGGCCCTTGAAGGCTAACGTCGTCACCCTTTTGATTGACTTCGATTATAGGAGTGAAGCCCGGGTTTGAATCCTCCAACTTCATGACTTTATCAGCTGCTTTCTTCATGTGTGAAATATATTGATAATGTTTTATAGCACGAGCTTTCAAGCCAGTGTCTGTAGCAACTTCCATAATACTGGTAGAAGGAAATTTATTATTGATTGTGCCTAATATCTTCGAAGCATTTTCATGCAACTGCTCAACTTGTTGATGAGTACATCTGACTTTTCCTTTCTCTGCTAAAAAGGGATAAATTGCAAAAATATCACCATTAGTCGAAGCGACATAGAGAGTCAAGTACCCGGCTAAGTTGTCGGCAGAACCAAAAGAAATCGAACTAGCTTGACTTTTAAAATTCAGAAATTTTTTCAAATCAATTGATAATTGTGGAACTTCGGTGGATGTTGTGACATTATACAATATGATACGAGAGTCTTCGGTCAAAATGACTAATCCTGCGTCCAATGGCATTGCAGGATGCCATAAAACCTTCTTGATCTTACTTCCTTCGAGGCCCTCTATTCCATAAATATGACTTTGGTTAACAAGGTTGTTATCGATGGTTTGAGGTAAAGTAAATAAACAAATTGATGAATCACCTACTGCCGCAAGCATGGTCCCAGATGGGTTCAACACCATCGACTTTATGTTGAACACAGTATTAAGATCAATGTTAAGAATACCGTAGTTTCCTGATTCGTTAGAAAGCTGACATGCTCTAATAAGGTTACCGATAGAGATGAATATATCGAACCCGTTCCTAACACATACATGGCATTCTGCATTCGAAAACGTTGGAGTACTAAAAATTTTCTGTTTCTCTATTTGAGCAAGGAACCTGTTATTGAGATCGTCGGTAACCGTCATCTTCCCAATGCTTCGAGTTTGGCTTATAGGGATAAGAGGACTCTTCAATCCTTATATTTCTTAAGGAGGAAAAAAAAAGTTCTACAGAAGTAAACGGTAGACACACATTTTTTTTTTTTCAGTACGCAGAAATACAATTAACTTACAACATATGCGTTTACTTTATATATTAGAAAGCTCAGGTCTAAATAGATAACTTTAGCAGCTTGAAAGATCAGAGGTCCATCAGTTTTGATATGGCCTATGCGTCAGCATGTTCAATTTTTTTCTCATTTTCTCCAAGTAGCTGAAGTCAAGACTAGCCATGATCTTTGGATCAGAGCTCTCGGAGAGAAGTCTGAGCCTGGGTTTATGACGCTTTCGAGTGTTTGGTGTAGCTTCATTAATTTTGTAGATACCTGACATGGTGGGTGCGTTTGTTACGGCAACACCCGAAGATTTGATATCACTGACCTGGGTAGTGGCTTTCAAAAGATCTCTAGACGTTTTTGGAATCAAGTCGACTGGATTTAATCTAGTAGAAAGAGCTTTGGTTTCGTTAGCAGATGTGGTTAGTTCAGAGACCTTCCTTCTACTATTAATGTTTTCAAGGCTCTTGCTAGAAACTAGCAGAAGCTTGGATTGTGACCTGGAAGCTGCTCTTCTGAGTTTTTGACTTCTCTCCCATTTTTTATGCTGGTTTTCTGGAAGCTCTTTTGGTAACTCTGGTAAAGCACAGGAATGATCATAGTGTGATTCGTAAAGAGCAGATGACATTTCCAATAAGGTGTTATTTGGATCACGTTCACATTTTAATAAACTAGGGTCATTTAGGATAATACCATCGAAAACGGTGTTGGTGGAATTTTGCACTTTTTGCGTTTCTTCTTTAGTACTGGTCAAAATCTTTGGTTCGTCTGCCTCAATCTCCTTGTTTTGTTCCCCATATATCTTTTGTCTGATATTCGTCAAGAATGATTTTTTTCTAGCAATGGTAGCACCAGTGCTGAGGTTGTTTTTCATTGGAACTTGAAAATCTGTATAGCTTTGACTGGATGACATACTTGAAACGTTGCAACTTGCGATTCGGACTAGAGTTGTTGTATCCGAAACCATGGGAGAGTCAGTTCCAAGGCCTCTGGAATCTTTTGCTTGGTTTGGGGTTACACCTCTGAAAATAGTCTTAATCCATTCATGCTTTGATGTGAACTTGGCTCTTGAAGAACTCCATTTAGCCTTGAAGTTCACCGGTTTTGGTAAAATAAAGTCTTGCAACCTCCTCTTTGGAAAGGTAAAATATCCAGCTTCGCCTTTCAACCCTGGAGACGACTGAAAGGCATCTGACATTCTTTGTATATCCGGTAAAGAAGATCTTGCTAATGAAGAAATTAGAATACCTTTTATATGTATCCATCAACCACAAAAAAATGCTGCGAAATAATTTACAAAATAACACAAACATACGTGATTGCAAATACTAAACAACTATGCTAATTAACTTATATAACTACCCAGCAAAGTCATTTCAAGGACTTTTTGTTGGGATGTTTTTTACGGCCAATCTTCTGTAAGTCCAAAACAAGTGTTGTATATTTCTCTAAGAGGCTTTCGAAATATCTTTGTTTGTCTTCGACTTCGAATCCCAATCTCTGTTCAACCTCTTTGTACTGGCTTAGTATTTGCTTAAGACAGTTCCTCAAAAAATTCGTAATTGCTGAAATGAGTTGTGAGTCATTTGTGTCGAATGCTGTGATCTTTATGAACTCGTAGTAGCGTAAAGAGAAATCTTCTATAGGTTTTTCAGTTAAAACTGGATGTAAGCACTCAAATATATCCTTCACTAGTCTTTTAAAGCTGTATGAGAGGATATCATTGGATATTTCCAAGCAGGTTTTATCCAAAGTGATTTTCTTCAAACTTGAACTTGAATTCTGTTGATACTCAGTAAACTCTTGTTCTCTTTTTTGTAAGGCCTTATTTTTTTGATCATTTTCAGCTTCAAGCTTGCAAATAAGCTCTTGACTGTTTTTGAAATCTTTCTCTAAACTTTCGGTTTCTTTATTGAATATATCCAAGTTTTTCTTAAGAGCTTCGTCACTCTCTTCAATCATTTGGGTCATTCTCTTTAATTGTATGTTTTTTTCGTCTTTTTCCTTCATTGTTTCCGTTAACTTCAAGTTTATTGAAGCGTTGTTTTCCTTGAGCTCCTTAATTTCATATTTGAGGTCTTCAATAACTTTATTATTTGTAAAGATCGATTTTGAAATGAGTTTTTCAAATTTAGAGTATAGCTCTTTTTCCTGCAGTGAATTCATTCTATCTTCTTGTAATTGATTTTCCAAAATGATTTGCTGTGCCTTCAATTTTTCCAATTCTTCCGTATAAGCTTTATTTTTGTCTTCTGAAACTTTGATTTTGTCAAGAACAGCTTTATTTTTCTCGATTTGATCTTTTAATTCTTCTTTTAAATTTGTATTCTCTGTTTCCAAGTCTTTTATTTGCAGGGTTTTAGAAGAATTGGAATCTTGTAGAAAGGTAATTTTAGTTCGTAAATTATCTGTCAATAGTTCTTTTTCTTTCAAGCTTTTTACTGAGTTCAGTAATTTCCTTGTTTCTGACTCGCTTGAAGTAAGAGAATCATTTGACTTCTTTAATTCTACTTTGAGTTTTTCAATCTCGGAATTGAGCTCTTGGATCTGTATTATAGAAGCTGTTTCCTTCTCTTTTACATTCTGAATATGATGCGATAGCTCTTCATTAGACAAGGTCTTGTTGATTTCGAATGATTTCTTATAAACTGTTACGATTTCATTCAATTGAGCAAGTTGGACTTCATTTTCTTCTTCTTTCATTTCAAAATTTTTCATACGTTGATTTAATTGACTAATGACCAGAAGCTGATTATCATTCTCTTTTTCAAATTCCTTGAGCTCATTTTTCATTTCATTGACTGCCAAATTTTTTCCATCTAATTCTTCTTGAAGTTTCTGGTTTGAATGCTGTAAGCTGGTGGTTATCTCTTTTTCCGTGGCTAACTTTTCTGCAGTTAATTTTATTTCACTTTTCAAAAGTCGGTTCTCTTTTTCTAAGTCATTTTGAATATTTACCCTTTTCCCCAAGTATTCCAATAAGTCCCCTTTATTCTCTTTGTCATTTTTCCAATAGAGATATATTTGGCAACTGATTTCTCTTACTGAACTAGATATTCGAAGATTATTCTCCAAGTCTAAATCTTCAATCCCCAAGGAGTTGTCTAACACTTTTGTTAACGTGGCCGTTATTTGTGGATCACACTCACCACCTTGGCTTCCGTTTTTTGATGATTCAAATAACCCTTCTAAGCTTTCATTCTCAAAATTTTCAGATAAATCAGATCCCAGAAAAGTGGGGGACTCTGGAGCTTTCAGCAACGTGCAATCTAACTCTGTTGGAAAGAGCTCGTTGATTTGGTTCAGATTCAACCTCACAATAGGTTTCTTTGAAGCAGTAGAATGAAAAGACTTCGTTGTTGCAAAAGTTTCGGACCCAGAAAGCATTTCGTCGTCTTTATCGTGCGTCGACTCGGATTCCAATACTAATCTTAAATCTTTAACACGGTTTGTCACCACTGGCTCGAAATTGCCAGACTCTCTTGTTCTTGGAGACTTTGGCTCTTCTCTGTGAAGAATTTGTGAAATTTTTCCTAAGGATTCCTCTTCCGTTCCCATCTTTGATTCTGCGGAGCAATTCCTTGAGTTATTAGAATCAATCAATGAGGTGTTGAAATGAACAATTTTATTAGAGCTAACTTTGGCTCGATGGATTGTGATCTCTTCTTTTTCCGTAAAAACTGCAAAGCTTTTACTTCTTTTGAGAGAATGTTGGGCATCAAAAGGATCAAAACTTTGATTGAAGGAAGAATCATTTAGCATAGAATCGTCAAGAAGTACACTCTCGTGATACGGGTGACTAAAAGTATGTCTTCTAGTAGTCAAAGGAGGAACCTGGTCCTCAGATATCTCTTCAGTCAATTCCTCAGCATCAGAAGTTGAAGAAGAATCGTTACGAAGCAATGGGGCCCTTTCCGGCTGGCTTGAATCAGCATTATTTGCAGAAAATAGTCTTGTAAACATTTGTAACTTCCGCTTGTTAATCCTTACTTGGTTGCAAAAGAGTTGGTTAAAAAAAACTCCTACTTTTTTACTCATTTTGTTTTAATTTTGCAATATATCCACAAAGGATTGCTACAAAGTGCTTACAAACTCAACTGGTTTTTCTCTATAAAACTTAATTATTCACAAGCATTAACCACAATAGGTACAAGCTATCTCCTACTTATGGTACAGACTCTAGATAAGGTAAGTGTTGTTGGTCTAATGTAGAAGTAGTCGTTACCAAACCTCCGTACCACGAATAGAGGAGTATTGCTTATTCAATGAGAAGTACTCTATGAAAAAATCAGAACTCTTTTCGGCGGCGTACAACCAAACTAATCATCGTTTACAAGGCCAGCTCTGAAACAGTCAATCCTTCAAGTAATGGGGAAGCAATATATATCCACAGTGAGTGCGGCAAAGGCTCATGAACTGGACGTCCTGGGATTAGCAATTACGAATAAGTACACAGTTACTGTATCTAGCGATGGATATGCAAATTTTTGGGATAACAAGCAAGACGAAGCCCATGACCCAAATGCTTTCGTTGTTAAGAAGTTTATAAGCAAATATGGAGTGCATCACGTAAGTGTTTACGAAAACATAATGCCTTCTACTAAAGTTAAAGTTGTTCTTTTAGCATTTGCCAATTTTGATGGGTCAATTGTCGTAAAATCTTTTGTTAATGATGATTTATCAACTTTTGCAGATGTGGATACTGGCAATGAATTCAAAGCATCTTTCTGGTGTCCAGGCTTCTATAAGAATCCATTGGGCCAACAAGATTTTTTATTTGCCACTCATGCCTCAGGATCAACTTCGGTATATGATTTGAAGATAAATTCCACAGAAAATAGTATTGACATATCGGTTTCCATTGAGTTAGCAGGTAAACTAAATGCCAATGGTACTGATAATTCATTTCCTAATTCTCTTTCTGTATCTAAGAAAGACAAACAAGTGGCTATTGGTTATACAAACGGAGATGTGATTTTATATGATTTTGCCGCCATGAAACCAGTGTACACCTTTCATTCAACCGACTTACAGCAAACTGGTAAAGGCTCTGCATCTAGCTCAATTCCAAGAGTAGTTGAATTTTCACCGGGTGGATCTATACTTGCGGTGGCTCGTGATAATCAATCCTCCGGTACAATCACATTGTACGATGTCGAATATGGTGAAAACATTGGTTCTTTAACCACTCCTTCTCATAGCTCTAAAAACAAAATCGGTGGTTTCGCTCATGATGGATGGGTAATGGGATTGAGTTTTGATTCTGAAGGTAAATTATTGGCAAGTTGTGGTTTTGATAAATGCGTAAGAATATGGAATTTGGAGTCAAGAGAGAGAGAAGCCACCATAAAAGTCTCTATATCCGATCTAGAAGATACTGAACACGACGAATCAGTGGACCAGAGTGTTGTTAGTGGTGTCCAGTTTATAGAACGAGGTATAAGAGGTGGAGCAGGTGGTGACTCGAACGAGGGGCTTTGTATTATCAGTTTTGATAGAGCTATCAGATGGTATAGAGAAGCCGGAGGTATTTGATAGAGAAATGTATAGAAAAGTCAATGTATATTAGCTAAACTTCATTTAGTCAATTATTGCAAAAATATATAGTCTTGTATTGCATAGCAAAAGCAGGTGTACGGGTCCTCTACTACCAAAGAAAAATGAAAACAAATAGCTGAAGATATAAACATCTTAGACATGCATAGGGTACGTGGAACTATATATAACACTCCTATCTTACATTTAAAACTTGCATACTATGGATAATAATGTCTCCAGATATAAATGAACAATCCAGGCAGAAGGAACAGGCGAAAACTATTCATAATCTCATCAAACAATTGGAATTTAAGGAAGATCAACCAACAATTGCAAAAGAGCTTCATTCGCTTGTCAGTGTTTCAGGGCTAGACAAGAAAGAGTTTGATGGATTGATAGAATTAATCTTCAAAGATGTTACTGCCACTACAACCAAAAATATTTTGATCATGTCCTTGTTGCCCAATGGGTTATATATACTTCCACATGAAGTAATATATCTAATACTCAGTAGCATCGGAACACCAGAAGTTTATTACAAAGACGGCGGAAAACAAAAGCTGAAACATTTGGCTAAATCTAATCAACAGAATTTACTAGAATGGCTTATTTGCTCCTTACATTTGTTTGGTCCTAAGGTGTTCAAGACTTTAAATAGGTTATTACCGATTCTTTTCAATCTTCTTCCTTTCGAATTCCTGAGACCATTCATAGCAAACTTGATTTTCATTACTATATTGAATAGCAATAAATCGGTTAAAATAGACTCCATTCAGCTAAGAAGCCACACTCTTTACTCATTCAAACCTTGGCATGCTCAACTTGTAGTTGAATTATTCCTCAAGTTTCCATTAGATAACAGCTTGAAAAGTTTACTAGTATTTTTCAAGACTATAAATCCAAATTTGGATTACAATAAACTTGCACCAAATAACACGGAGTATGATTTAAACTCTATTTCCCTAGTCGATCTTCGAACTTTCAGTTACCCAGATCCTAGATTTTTAGAAAAATTAAATGATATCAAGATTATTAATGGATTGAGAGGTGAACCAAGGCTAAAAGAAGTCGAGAATATTATGCATTCGAATATTAAACAATATGACGATTTCTCTCGTTCGATTAAAAGACGAAGACGAAATATAAGCAACAGATATAATTCAGAAACTGCTGACTTAGATTTCCTAGAATTCAATGGGTCTCTGACCTCTACAGCTGTTTCAATTAATGACTGTAATGATTGCAGAACATTTATAAACAACTTGAACAATATCAGGTTCATCAACATCAATTCTTTAGTTAGCCCTTCTACCAATGCTCCTTTATCTATTGCAAACAAATTCAAAGTATACTTTCTTGTCACACAAGGCTTGTTGGCTAATAATAATTTTTCAGAATCGATAACTAAGCTTGAATACTTTATTCGATTAAGCATTCTCGATGACAATTTATCTTTCAAAGACTTCCAAGAACTTTTTGACAAAATCGAACGGCTTATGGCTTCCAGCTCTGGGACCTTGACACTAAAACTGATGATTGATTTCTTATGCTATAAATTCGGCACCCATTTAAACAATTGCACTTCGAACTCAGAAAAGCATGAAATTATTAAGCTAAGAATCAAACTACTAAAATACTTGCCTGTAATTAATCCATCAGTCTTCAAGGATGAACTATTGAGTAATCTCTTAAATGAAATTGATTTCAAAGTACTAACTGAAAGTCACAAGCTTCGCAAAGCTGAGATAACATCACTTCTATTAAAAGAGCTTAGCTATTTATTTTCGACATGGTACTCCAAAGTAAAAAATCCGAACTGCAATCAGGAGACAAAGTTCAACTTTTTCAAGATAATTAACTCATCAATTCCAATGATATACGCCTTTATTATTGAAAAGTCGTTATTGACTTTGGAAGTTAAGTTTTCTCTTTTAAAGCTATTCAGGTTCATTAAAACATTTGATAATAACCACTTCCAAGAGTTTTTAGAACCGACAGGAGTATTTATTCCTCCCCCTTTAATTTATAATTTATTATTTACTTTTAATCCTCTTGTCATTTCCGAAGTCTGTGGATATATCGCCTACATAAAAACTTATAGGTATCCTGAAACTAAAAAAAATTTACAGACAATTCAAAACACATATGTTATGGATACTTTGAACTTTCTTTGGAGAGACAAGGCTTTCTACTACTATCCATCAAAAGAATCTTCGAACAAGTCATTTTTACTACCGCCAGAATTCTTGCATAAGTTAGGAACTTTGCCTGCGTTCAGTTTCTCAAACCTTGTAAGTGTTACTTCGGCCGGCAATATTTTTCATAACCCCAGCTTTTCTCTAATTGCAGCCGAAATTGTTTGGAACTTTGAGGATGAAACTGAAAGGCTAACCCAAAGACACCCAGGCCCATTGAAAGAAACTACTGCGACTCAGTTATACAGGGATCCAAATAGTGAATGGCTAGGTATTCCTTATGACGAGGTGAGACTTAGGGTATTAAGAAAACTTGATAGGTTAGGCTATAAAGGCCTTTGCGACTTGTTATTCACTTCCTTGAAAACTTTGATGAACCAGAGAAATGAACCTGCTTATGATAGGTAGTTAGCTGGTCACCTAGGGCATCATATTTGTATTTTTATGTATTTTATAATTGTATAATATTTACTTAATTTGTATCTTTATGTTGTAGCATTGGTTTCGCATTCATCTGAAGTTCTAAATTTTTCACTTTTTTCAGGTTTAAATTTTCTTTTTAAAACGCGAGAAGTCGAGATAAATCAAGCTCAGAATCTAAACTTCACCATATCTAAGGCAATATCAGAACCTTTAGGATGTTTACTCAAAAATGTGTCGGGAAGGTGTCTCGAATAAAAAAGTCTCTTCAGAGGCTGTTTTCTTTATCGACAAACTGTCTCCAAGTTCAGAAGAGTCAGGAAATTGAACTCAATAAACTTGATGCTAAATGGTCAGCCATATGGAGACAACTTTCTCCAGATAATTCCTTACATCCCACCAAGCATTTGGTTAATGAAAAAGCCGAACCTTTTTATTCACTCTCCATGTTCCCTTATCCTTCAGGTTTGTTGCATATGGGCCATTTAAGAGTGTATACCATAAGTGATGTGGTTGCAAGATTTAAAAGACTTAAAGGTTACAATGTTGTCCATCCAATGGGGTGGGATGCTTTTGGTCTTCCAGCCGAAAATGCCGCAGTAGAAAGAGGAATGGACCCAGCCATATGGACCGAAAGTAATATCAAGAAAATGAAAGAACAAATGAGTTTAATGCTTGCCGATTTTGATTGGGACCGAGAGATTTCAACATGTTCCCCAGAATTTTACAAGTGGACCCAAAAGATATTTTTATTATTATTAGAGCATGATTTGGTTTATCGTAAAGACGCAGAAATTAATTGGGATCCAATAGATCAAACTGTTTTAGCTAATGAACAAGTGGATGCCGAAGGCAGATCATGGAGATCTGGTGCTATTGTAGAAAAAAGGAACCTTGAGCAGTGGTTCATCAAGATCACCAAATATGCATCTAGCTTGAACAAAGACTTAAATGTTTTGGACCAATGGCCGGAAAAAGTGAAGACCATGCAGCGTCATTGGATTGGCCAATCCAATGGGGCTCAAATAACATTCAATACTGATGCCTCCGCAAAATCACAGATTAAAGTTTTCACCACCAGACCAGATACCTTGTTCAGTGTACAGTTTGTTGCTTTAGCTTTAAACCATCCTATTGTTTTGAAAGCAGCAGAATCAGATCTTGAATTACAGAAATTCATTGAAGAAGCAGCAGATGCCCCTGCAGATTCCAAAGATGGATATATGTTGAAAAGTATACGTACTTCTATACCTATAGATACTAATAACAAGAAGTACACAAATTTTGATGTTCCAATATATGCGGCTCCTTATGTTATTGGCTCTTACGGTCATGGGGCCGTCATGGGTTGTCCTGCTCACGATGAAAGGGATGCAGAATTCTGGAAACTTCAAAATCCTGAAATTCCACCGATTCCTACTGTTGGGCCTTCAAAAATTAAATCCAAATTAGCTAAGGTTTTTACATCCAAAAATGGAGTTTTATACGACAGTTCCAAGCTTGAAAATGGCCGTGCAGACATGGGAGAATATAATGGAAAGACCTGCAAACAAGCTGCTGAGGAAATAGTTAATGCCTTGGAGTTGCAACAATTGGGTTCAAAGTCTACCCAACTTAGATTAAGGGACTGGCTTATAAGTCGTCAAAGGTATTGGGGTGCTCCGATACCGATAGTTCATTGTAATGATTGCGGTATTGTCCCAGTTCCAGATGAACAGTTGCCTGTTTTGTTACCAAAAGTTGAACGTGCTACTTTCGATAAAGGAAATCCTTTGGGCCAAATGGAGTCGTTTGTGAACACTAAATGCCCTTCATGCGGTGGTGATGCTAAGAGAGATACTGATACAATGGATACATTCATGGACTCTTCATGGTACTTTTTCCGTTATTTAGACCCCCGCAATACCAAAAAGCCCTTTGAAGCTAGTAAGGTGAACAGTCATTTGCCTGTTGACATGTATATCGGTGGTGTGGAACACGCTATCTTACATTTACTTTATTCTAGATTTATTGGAAAATTTTTGGCTGATGCAAACTTATGGGACGGTCTGTCACTCAAAAATGAGCCAATTAAACAGTTGGTCACACAAGGTATGGTACATGGTAAAACCTATACTGATCCAACAAATGGACGCTTCTTGAAACCAAATGAATTGGATTTATCGAATCCCTCTGAACCAAAAATTATTGAATCAGGGTTGAAACCATTGATTTCGTATGAAAAGATGTCTAAATCGAAGTACAACGGCGCTGACCCTGCTGAATGCATTAGAAAGTATGGAGCTGACGCGACTAGAGCACATATGCTTTTTCAAGCTCCATTACATGATGTTTTAAACTGGAACGAAGAGCAGATACAAGGCGTTGATCGTTGGTTACGTAAAGTTTTAGCCATGGAGAAAAACATTGTTAAACTTGTGAGAGAACAGCCAACTCGCCCTTCTAATGAAAAAGTATCAGAAATTAAAGACGTTGAGTTAGATGGTGTAAAATTTGCTTCCATAAATTTTAATGACCATGAATTTGAACTCTATAACAACATATCAACTCTCGTGAATTCTGTTTCTAAATCGATAGAGGAAGACTTAACTTTCAACACAATTATTTCTGATTATATGAAAGCTACCAATAGCATATATAACTCTTTAAAAAACAATGTTTATATAAATCCATTATTATATTTGGATGCATACAAAAAGCTTCTTAAGGTAATGTCTCCAGTGACTCCTTGTGTGTCTGAAGAGGCTTGGGAAATGCTTCATAAGTCTTTGGGCCAAGATTGGAACACTATTTTTGCTGAATCATATCCTGTTTCTGAAATTATTGAATCTCCCTATACTACCTTCAATATTTTCGTTAATGGGAAAGCAAGAGCACTGTTTAAAGGTCTCAAAAATCTCATATCAAAGACAGAAACAGAAATCTTAAACGAAGCTTTACTGCATGGTATTGAAAAATATATTGGAAACAGCGATATAAAAAGAATTATCGTAAAAAGTGGACTTATAAGTATTCTCACAAACTCCAAGAAGTGATTAACAACTAACAAACTAATCACTTTTCTGTACATAGAATTAAATATTACGTTATCATTACTATATAGACTATATACATATTTACAAGTTTTAAAATTTTTGAGGGCTTAAATTAATAGCTTCTTTCCAACACATACCTTCTAAAGTCTTTCGGTCTAATTTTACCTTCATAATTGATTTGAGCCCTTTTAGTTATACCTCTAATTGGTCTTGTGATATTACTATCACCAATTTCAACTGCTGCTCTATATAATTCAGTCAATTCCTTCCAGGTCCATTTAAATTGATATTCAGTACTAAGCAAAATTGCCAAAGCATCGTTCAAAAGATTCATTTTTGTTAAACAAGAAACCATGGCACTTGCAAATTCAAAATCTAAAGCATCTTTTTCTTCTCTTGGTAAGTTCTTAAATGCATCTGTCTTACGGTAAATCCCTCTTTCAGTCCATATTTCTTGAGCAAATTTATAGTTTCTGTATTTTCCTGCAACCTTTAAGGCTATGACATAAGTTAAAGAGGAACGTGGAAGCTTATGGTCCTTGACAGTTTCCATTTCATTCAAGATCGGTGCTTTTGTTTTCTCAGATCCTTCGAATAGATCAGACGAATTACTTTTGATAGCTTCTTCTGGTTCTTCAATTATTATTTCGTTAGTGGTATAACCTTTTTTATCAAGGTAAGTGAACGTTCTATACCTATCGATGAAATCGCTCAAAGACCCCATTTCGGCCGCGATATTAAGAAATGAAGTACAAGTCTGACGATTGAGAAATTCCGGCGAGAACATCAAAGCTTGTGCCCAAACGGCACTCGATTCGGCCATAATTTGAGATGGATCAGTGAGTTCAGGAACAGGTAAAAATGGAATAAACGATTCAGGAGTGTCACCAGAAGGATTTGTATTATTGCTTGCAAGTAAATTAGTTCTAAAATTTCTTCCTGTCTCAAGCGAGGTGATTGGGAATGGAACCCAATCTTTCCTTGGTTTATTCAATTGACTTTTAGAGTATGCAAGGAGTAAAAATCCAAATGAACGTGGAGTGATAGCTTTAGCAGCATGAAGTTTTTTATAAAAAATTCTTGCAAGAGAGACATCTCCTTCTTTGGCGGATAAATAAAGAATGTAATCAAATGTTTGCAAAGATGGTTCCCAGCCTAGATTGTAAATTTCAAACATGAACTCCCAAGATTTGTTCCTCAATAAAGGTCTTGAACTACAACCTCTTGCCAAAGTAACTAGAATTTGCTGATTAAGTGGAATCTTTTCAACAAGCATTTCTTGGTAAAGATCTAAAGCCTTTTCGATATTATCATCATTAACATAAGACACAATTATATCTTGATAAGCTCTAGTTCCAGGTTTTGTCATACTGGAAATGAACTTCATAGAATCGAAAATTTCAACTGCTTGTTTATGATTCTTCAACTTGTAAACACAAGTTGATAAAATGTTCGTGTAAACATAATCTGAAGGTTGCAAATTAAATTTTTTCATCTCCTCAAGATAACCATTCATTTTATCTAAATCACCACACCTTCCGTATGCTTCGATTATAGTTTCATATGCATTTAGAGATAGCTTGCTCTTGCCCTTATGTTTTCTTAAGTATTTAATATAGCTTTTAACTTTCTTCATAGTGGGACCATCTATTGACCTACCATGTATTATTCCTTTCATGAATCTAACAGCAACCGCACTGGGGATTCCGACTTTCAGTTTATGCATCATCTTTTCTAAAGCTGGAACCACATCTCCAAGTTGGTTCAAAGGGATTTGGTCTATAAGTTTTCTAATGTCCCTTTTATTGATGCCTTCCAATCCACCAGACTCTTTCAATTGCGAGACAACCAAGACCCAGTTTTGATTCCTTTTAGAAGTCAAGTACTTAATAGCAAGACCCAATCTGTCAGAAATCGATTTAGGGAGATCCACAACCGGTGCTATCAAAGAAGAATTACCAGGATCAATTTTGGCGAAAGCAACTTCTTTACTCCCTGATGCAAGCTGCGAATTCATGACACTTCCATCACTCGATCGAGCATCGGGCTCCAAAGACCGGTAAAGTTGTTCAGACTCTTTCTCAAGGTCCGATGGCATCTTCAAATTCTTTATTTCTTGAACTTTTTCTTCTCTTTTCTTTGATGCTTGCAATATTTTAGATACATCTTTGGTCAAGGATTTCAAACTTTCTAACTTCTTGTTATACTGGTTTTCTTTCTCAGCAATCTTTCTTTGCTTATCTTTAACCAAGAACTCATTCAACTTCTTTTGCGATGCTTGGTAATTTGGTTTCTTCGATCTTAACCTTTTATCTGTAGAAGTCACAAATATATATCGTCTGCTCCTCCAAAGATAGCCCCCCAAAGGATATATCCTCCCAAAAGGCGCTCGTGAAGAGCTTATTATGGTATACATTTATCCAAATTTCTTGAAACAAGTATGGAAAAACAAATCTAATTTACTTCAAATCTTAATGTTGCAGCTCATCTTTCAAGCTAGATCACAAGATGTAGCACATAATAATAGAAGCGAGAAAAAAAAAAAAAAAAAAAAAAAAAAAGCCGACATTCGGGCAGCCCAAATAATGCGACATTTGAAAGTTGTAGCCGAATACGACATTAAGCTCACAATATCGAAGAACTCAGCAGGAGTGAAATAGTTTAGATCGATATCAAGATCGTTGATTTGGATCTGTCAACGTCTAAGTAAAGCCCAAAGAACTCAAGGCAATTGCTGCTCATACCTGAATCCTTGATCAGACATGTCTTCTTCGAAAACATCAGGGTCTGTTCCAAACAGAACTCGAGCAGTTTCATCAGTGTCACTTCATCCTGATATTGGAGCAGTCTCAGCTACTGATGCAAACACTACAACATCAACTACTGATATAGGCGCTTCACCGGTTACAGCAACGCCAGCCAGTGCCACTGCTCCATTCAGTGGAGGTGGGATTCCTCATGATATCCCTCCCGATATGGTATTATTACTTCAAAAATTAGATGAAGATTTCACTGTGAATAAAACAATTGACCAATGGACCTATATTAATAGACGAGAGGAAATCATGCAGTCGGTGAGTAAGCTTCACGAGTACCAAAGAAATAATATAGACCTTGATTCATCCAATCTAGAGAAACCGTTACACCCTCGTAAGTCGACTGAATTTCTGGACAGCGATTTCAGATTTTCCCAAGATTATTTACTAGGAATTTTATCTAAAAGAGCTATTACATATAGAGGGGAAGCTGCGTTTGTTGTTCTTGATAATAAGGGTAAAGAGACTTCTTCTATATCATGGGAGAAATTATATCTAAAAGCAGTTAAAGTGGCTTATGAAATCAAGCACAAATTAGCACTCAAAAAAAGTGACACAGTTGTTCTTTTATATAAAGATGGTGAAGTTAGTGAATTTGCTGTTGCGTTGTTTGGATGTTTTATGGCAGATGTCACTGCAATTCCAATTCATCAAGATATATCTCTTCATGAAGTTTTCGATATAATTAATTTAACATCTTCCAAACTTGTTTTATACTCTGAAGTGATTGCAAAAGAGCTAGAGAAACTTAATACCCCAAATTCAAAAATTGCATGGCCATCGAAGTTAATACGATGGAAAACAACTGAATTTGGTTCAGCTAAGAAATCTGAGTTGGCAAATTGGAATTCCAAGGCTTCTCAACGACAGCATGAAGCTGCCAATTCATCAAAAGCAGATCTTGCCTACGTTGAATTCTCTAGATCACCTGTTGGTGAATTGCGTGGAATTGCTCTAAGCCATAGAACTATAATGCATCAGATGAATTGTTTGAACATGACATTATCGAGTTTGCCTGATTCAGGAGGTGGTCTTCAACGAAGTGCACAAGAGTTCAAGCGTAATAAAAAAGTTGTATTGGCCACTCTAGATATAAGATTCTCTATTGGTTTAATTTTGGGGATTTTATTCACTGTATATTCGGGTAATGTACTTATTTGGGCCCCTCAAAAAGTGATGGAAATTCAAGGCTTATACGCCAATATAATATCTAGATGTAAAGCATCTTTACTTCTCGCTGATTATATTGGTTTAAAAAGAGTCACATATGATTATCAACAGTCACCAAATGCAACTCGGTACTTCTCCAAGACCCAACGTGTTGATTTTTCGACTGTTAAATGGGTTTTGGTCAATGCATTGACAATTGATGGTGAATTTATGCTGATTCTATCACAAAGATACTTGAGACCCTTGGGATGTCAGCAACCTGATAATGCTATCATCCCTATGTTAACCCTTAGTGAATACGGTGGTATGGTAATTTCTTTAAGAGATTGGTTAGGTGGATATGAAAAGTTTGGTGTCGAGGATGATGGAAAAGCAAATGAACTTTCATCAGTTTTGATAGATAAAGAGGCCCTTTCAAGAAACATAGTGAAAGTGGTCGAGATGGACCCTTCCGCAACTGATGATACTGGTCTGGATACATTGAGAGTTGATGCTTTCGGATTTCCTCTTCCAGATGCAACCTTTGCTGTGGTGAACCCTGAGCTGTCTACTCTTGTATGTAAAGGTGAACTTGGTGAAATATGGATAGACAGTCCATGTCTTTCTGGTGGTTTTTATGGTCTTAGGAAAGAGTCTAAACTGATCTTCCACGCAAAATGTCGTGATGCCAATGGAATATTAGAAATGGACTTTTTAAGAACAGGTTTGTTAGGCTTTACCTATAGGGGAAAAGTGTATATTCTAGGCTTATATGAAGACAGGATTCGTCAACGTGTCAGTTGGATGGATCAGAAAGTCTATAAAAAGCTTAACAGAGACCTAGTCATTGGAAACGGTACAAGATATCATTACTCTGCGCATTTATTAGCAACATTGGCAAGCGAGGTCAGGCAGATATACGATTGTACGATATTCGATGTTTTTATCGGTAATGAATACTTACCTGTGGCAATAGTCGAGGCGGAAGTTATTAGAAAAGTCCTTGATGACAATAATGATAATAATGGACCTAATGGTGGAAATGGAAAGTCAAAAGGTGGTGCTGATAATGGCCCAGTATACAGTCCAATTCCTTTAAATGAACCTGTTTTGAACTCAATTGCCCAAAAGTGTTTTGACACTTTATACAAACACCATTTTATAAGATTGTATTGTGTTTTAGTTGTTGATTGTGATACTTTACCTAAAATCATGAGAAGTGGTGGGAGAGAAATCGCTAACATGCTTTGTAAGAAGAAGTTTTTAGAAGGTACTTTAAAATCCGATTTTGTTAAATTTTTCGTCAGAAATTCAATTAGTATGATCCCTCATGGTGAGGATGTGATAGGTGGAATTTGGTCTCCGTATGTTTCTGAATTACGGAATTTGGCTCTACAAAGATTTCCTTGTCAGTTCTCTACTATTGATTATCGTGAAAAATCCATTGATGATAAGACCGGAGCCCCGTTGACAGATTTCAAGACAATCATTGATATTTTGAAGTTTAGAGTAGCAAGCTCAGGTGATTCCATTGCATTTCAAAATATTGATAATAGTGGTAAAAGTAGCTCGAAACCTTTAACATGGAAAAAGTTTGAGAATAGGGTTTATGCAGTTTGCAATTATTTCATTGAAAAAGCCTTAATTAAACCGGGCCAGCATGTTATTTTGATGTATTCCTTATCCGAGGAGTTTGTCATTGCCATATACGCATGTTTAATATGTGGTATAATTCCTATTCCAATGTTACCATTTGATTCCAATAGAATAGGTGAAGATTTTCCTGCATTCGTTGGTGTTATAAGAGATTTTGATGTACTGGATATCTTTGTCAATGATGAAGTTGAAAAATTTTTAAAGACAGGTCCTGTGGGTGATGCCTTGAAAAAGATGAATCATAAGAGATCGAAAGCTCAGAGAATTAAGAACACCGCAAAATTGACTAAAGTTTCAAATATTGCATCTTTAAATTCAAAAATTGCCAAATACCAAGCCGCAAGTAATTTTAGAGATGAATCAACTGTTGCATTAGTATGGTTGAATTTCACTTCTGATCATTACAGAGTTGGTGCTACGTTAAGTCACAAGAATATTATGGGTGTTTGCAAAGTCTTCAAAGAAACTTGTAATTTGTCATCATCATCGTCTATTGTTGGTTGTGTTCGTCACTCAGCCGGTATTGGATTTGTCCAAGCTGCTTTATTGGGAGTATATTTGGGAACCACTACGTATTTAAGCTCTCCAGTTAACTATGCAGAAAATCCTCTTGCATTCTTCTTGTCGTTGGCTCGCTACAAAGTAAAAGATGTTTTCGTGACGGAACAGATGCTTAAGTATGCTGCTATAAAATTTACACCAAAAGGATTTGGATTGACTAATTTGAAAAATATGATGATTAGTACTGAAAGTAGAGTTGAAATTGATTTATTAAGAAAAATTGCTAGAGTTTTCCAACCAACTAAGTTGAGTGCTGCATCTATGTCAACTGTATATAACCATTGTTTCAATCCTATGATTTCTACAAGATCTTATATGACAGTTGCGCCAGTTGATTTGTTTTTGGATCCTATTGCTTTGAGACAAGGTTATGTATCAGTGGTCAATCAAGCTGAAGTTCCAAATGCCTTGCACATCCAAGACTCAGGAATGGTTCCTGTTTGCACTGAGATAGCAATTGTTAATCCAGAGACAAATAAAGTTTGTCGTGAAGGTGAATTTGGTGAGATTTGGGTATGCTCAGAAGCTAACTTAGCCTCTTTCACCAATGGACCTAAGGGACCAGCTGACAATTTCAGTAAACGTCAATTCTTGGGTAAGATCGTAGACGGAAATCCCGATATGACGTACTTGAGAACTGGGGATCTTGGATTCTTACATAACATTTCTATATCCAAAAACCAAAGTGATCCGAAATCAACTGAAGCTCCAGCAACAACCACATTCCAACCATTGTTCGTGCTAGGAAAGATTGGAGATACTTTTGAGGTTATGGGGTTGCATCATTTCCCAATTGATATTGAAAACACAATCGAGTCTTGTCACGTTGACATTTACAAAAACGGTTCCTGTATTTTCAAATGCTCCGACTACACCATTATAGTCTGTGAATCTAAAAGATCAAGAGACTTTTCCTCGTTGGTTCCTTTGATTGTAAACACAGTCTTGAGTAAACACCATTTGATTGTTGATATTGTCTCATTCATCAAGAAGGGTGAGTTCCCAATATCCAGACTAGGAACTAAACAGAGGGCCAGAATCATCGACGCTTGGGTTCAAGGTGTAATTCCAATTGCCGCTCTGTATGGTGTGAACCACGGTGAAAATAGTATGATTAAATTAGTCAAAGAAATCGATAACGTCGCCAGAGATCACCCGATTACCGGCTTGAAGAATCCTGCATTATCGTATTACGATATCGACTTGGCCGATGCCAATGGTGATTTCTTCGATAATAATGACAATGTCCTAACTTTGAATGATGATTATCAACCAGATGCTGACTACCATCGAGAAAGAAAAGCAGTGTTCTCGGTTTCCAGTAAAGACTCGCTTGACTCGTTTAACCCCACATCATCTACATAATCCTACGGATTTCCTCTGATTAACTCTGATAAACTTGTATATTAGTTATTAATTTATAAAGTATATGATATTTTGCAGACGTAGCAAGAAAAGACGTGTATTCCTCAATGCTGAAGGTATGCATCTTCGATAGAAGAAAAATCGAAAAAAAAGCGAACAATCGCGCTCAAAATGAGAAGAGGTTGAAGCAAAGAAATTAATCTTCTGTTTCATAAATAAACAGCTCCATTAAAGCTTTGCAAAAGGATAGTCCAATAATGGTCCAGCCGGGAAAATCAATCAGCCCGCTTTCTCGGGAAGCTTCTGGCTCAGCTCAGAAGAAACAGAAGACTACTTTTGGTTTATCCAGGTTCCTTAACTTTTTCAAACTTAACCAATCTATTTCCGACTCATCACAGCACAATCAAGTATCAACAAAACCAACTGATGAATTTGTGAACAAATCTCCTGACATCACTTCAGAGATTGATATTGTTGACTCAATTCCCTTCCAGAATGATTTTTCATCGAGCAAAAAGAAGCGCCTATCAATACAAGGCCATTTAAGCAATAACAGTGATCATGTACCTCGATCATCAGTGGTCACCAACAATCTGGGATTTTATAAATCATATTATGACAATTTACAGACCGAGAGACAAGAGTCAAGCAATGACCTCGAGAGAAGAATGAGTACCATATATGACGATGCCATCATGAAGGATGGCGTTGGCAATGAAGTATCCGTTTCCAATGAAAATGCTAAGTTCACCCCTTTATTAGCAAAAGTCAAAAATACCGAACCTTCTTTGAGTCGAGATGGATCTCCTCTGTTATCAGAAGTTAAGCAAAATAGCTTGATCCCTTTTCAATTCAATGCAGCACATGAAGACCAAAGCAGATCTAGATCACCAGCCGAGCATGAATTCGCTCCTCTATATAAGGATACAGAAGGAAATTTGGTTAGACCACCATTCATAAATTTGGATCCTCGTGAACGTTATCATCTCCTTCAATTGAAGAGAACCGTTGAAGCATCGGATGCAGCAAGAAGAAGATTAAAATACATGATTAATCCGAATGAGACAAAATCACAACCAATTGCGAATAACAAGGTTGAAACTTCTACTCAGACCCATGATGTAACTTATGTTTCTAATAAGTTGAACTTTAGTAATACAAAAAAGCAACTTGCAGCTTCTGAAAAATATAGGATTACAAAAAAACCAAAGAATACTCGTGGTGGTTTCTGCAATGAGATATTTTATGATTTAGATGAAGTGAAATCTAAAATTCAAAAACGTAAAAATAAGTTGGATGGTTACTTGGGCAATATCAATAAACCAGACTTTAAGAAGAATGACAAAAGCTCAGAACGAAAAACCCAAATGGAAATTGGTAATGATGATGATGAAATTTCGAGTACTTTAAATTCAAGACATGTCAAAACCACAAATGATAGGTTTGGTCTCGAGGATTCCTTACTCAATAATAAAAAACCCTCTTTTAAATTGGATGAGAACTACGTCGCACAAACCTCCAAATTATCCAATATTATTAAATTGAAAGAAGATGAAAAAACCGACCATTCAAAAGACAATGCATCAAACGCTGACCAATCGAAGGACCGTGTTCAACCTAGTTCCGGTTTCAACTTCCAACTCAATAAGAGCGATATGGAATCTATTGTTAGTAAACACAATAAAGACGAAGAATCAATAACGAATCACGAAAAAGCAAGTACATCGAGTGGAAAGCCAACCTTTAGCTTTAAACCTTCTAAAGATAATACCTTGCCCACCCCAGCATCACTGAATTCTTCGTCTAAACCTTTATTCTCCTTTGGAGATGATTCCAATAAGAAAAACCAGGATGTTTCGACACTGGCTCCAACTTTTGCTTTTGGAAAGCAAGAGCCAGAAAAGAAAAATGCCACCCCAAGCTTTGCTTTTGGTAAAACAGAAAATAAAGACGAGCCTAAACCAGCTTTTAGCTTCGGTAAAACTGACAAAGATAATAAATCAGCACCAACTTTTTCATTTGGAAATACTGCAAAGAAGTCAGACGGGCCCACATCTTTGTTTAGTGCCAAAAATACTGAAGATAAACCGGATGAGTCAGCAAGTAAAAGAAAGCGCAGCCTAACAAATGATGATTCTGAAAATGCAGCTACAGCATCCAAACCTCTATTTTCTTTTGGGAAGAGTGAAAAGTCAAAAAATGAATCTACTCCTACTCCATTTTCATTTGGTGAGAAATCGGAAGCACCTAAACCACTATTCTCATTTGGATCAAAAGATTCTTCAACGTCCGCACCTTTGTTAGGAAGTGGTGAGAAGAAGAGCGAGACTCCTCAACCACTTTTTGGTGGTAAAACCGACACTAAGGAAGATGAGTCCAAGCCTTCATTTGGTGGTACCTCAGATAAAGACAGCTTGCCCAAGCCGGTTTTCGGAAGTAATGCTAACAAGAATGTTGAAAGTGCCAAACCATTATTTTCCGCTAACTCGGAACTGAAAGATCAAACATCAAAACCATTATTTGGTGGGGAACTGAAGGAACCAAAACCACTTTTCGGCGAGAGCAAGGAGGCTGCCAAACCTTTATTTGGTGGACTTGGAAGTTTTGGTGGTCCAACAAAAACTTCACTGGAAGAGAAGAAAGAGGAGCCGCAAAAACCTTTATTCGGTGGTAATATCGAGAAGAAAGACGAAGTGTCAAGACCTCTTTTTGGCAACATATCTGAAAAGAAGGACGAACCAAGCAAACCTTCATTTTCATTTTCGCAACCATCCAAAGCTACTACCGATGGATTTTCCTTTGGGGCTAAAAATGAGAAGCCTTCCTTTTCAATTGGTGGATCCCAAAACAATACGAAGGATACACCAGCGTTTGGTGGGGCTAAACCAGCATTTAATATCACCGATGACAAACAAAATGATGAACCTCCAGCCAAAAGACCGATGTTCTCATTCGGTAACACTAGTAAACCTTCATTGTTCGGTGGTAACACACCTCAACCTAATCCATCTAGTAGTGGTCCAAAGCCCCCAGCTTTCTCGTTTGGTGCCAAAGATTCTACTCCTGGAGTTGGAAGCAAGCCTAGCACGCCTCCAATATTTGGATTAAATAATAATACTGGATCAGGGAACGCGTTCAACAACCAAGCTGTTGGATCTAATCCAGCTGTTCCAACCAAACCATCTTTCGAGTTCAATTTCGGTGCTACGACATTACCATCTATTAATCCTGCTCCCCCATCCAATCCACCAGCATCAGCACCAGCTTTCTCATTTGGAGGTCCGAGTCGTTCGAATACCCCACAAGCTCCAGCCTTTGGAGGCATGTCTACAAATAACATTGTTGCACCTCAACCGTCGTTCGGAGGTTTTGGGCAACAACAACTGCAGGCAAATCTTTTCAAACCTAACCAATCTGCACCACCTCCGGCTTTTCTGTTCGGTGGGGCAAGCAGAGGTGGCACGCCTGTTTCTATGATGGGCCAAGGTCAGCCGCAACCGAACGTGTTTGGTAATCCTTCCAATGGAGGAACTCCAACTCCCCCAATATTTGGTTCAATGCAACAACCAGCACAGCAGCAGGGAATGATGAATGGTATGGGTGGTGCTCCTCAGCAACCTTACACACCACCTCTGGTGGCAAATAGAAAGATTCTTCCAGTTAGAACTAGAAGAAGATAAGCAAGCTCTAGAATTTTTGATTCCTGTTTCATTTTGCAACGCTTTTTGACTCACGGGCCCAGTATATTCATTGTTTGACAGTTTTTTTGCACCCGAGCGAATGGTCATCTTCGCAATTTCCATACTTGGATATACAGACATGTGATCATATGTTCAAGACCTACCATTTTGCATGTGAATCCAAGGTTTAGGATCAGGCCATATCGAAATACCAGGGGAAGACCCAAATGACCATCCTCCACAACACATTAGTAGATAGCCTTTACTTCGTACTTTATATTCCATACATTTAAATTTAATTACACTGTTAATATAATTTTCATTCGTGATCTATGGACTATTCATTTTCACAATAGAGTTATTCAATATCGTAAAGTATTAATTAATGCAAGTTCGGTTAAAAATAAAGAGTTCTGTACTCAAATTGCTTTAACTCGAAAAGGGAAAATACGAGCCTAACAATTATGCCCTTTACAGATGATCAAGTTACAGCTGGGATTTTTCATATGTATATTTGGTACCTTGGATCAAGATAAAACTGGAAACAAAAGAAAAAAGAGGAAAAAAGAGACAGTCGCTTATATCAAAACAACAGCGAACATTCTCGTTTTCCTCGCTGATAGCTTTTCCATTTTTAAAACCGACTATTTATATATAGATTTCAATTCCCAAGGCATCCTCTTTTCCCAAAGTATCGTGTTTTCTTGATTAATAGGGTAAATTGAAATCTTAACTGTTTTTTCCACATATTCCGGCATGTCCAGCATCTCCGAATCTTTGAAACTTCCCCTGGGGGAAGTCAAATATAGACCTGGCAGAATACAATCCCTCACCCCGGAGCAAGAAATATCAGTTAAACAAACATGGGCTTATTTGTTGAAGTATTGGGGCTACGATGTCAAGATTCCGATTGAAGATTTAACTTTCCGAGAAAGTTTTATAGCATCAACCCCAAGTATCTTTTCATCTACTCCGTTAAAGCGAAGTCAAACCAGAGACTCGTTTGCGTCAGGCACTTCGAGTATCAACCATACCCCGAAAAGAAGGAGTAAACTCTTTGGAAGGAAAAAGGCTTGTGCCACTCAGTCAGTCAATTCTAAAAGATTGAAAGAAATTCAACTGCTTGGCCACGAAAACAGATACCAGAAGCTAACTGCTCCAACAGATACCACTAGATATATTTATACCCATCATTACCGCCAGGGGTTTGAATATTCACCGGAGTATGCCACAAGCTCCTTTGAAGAATCGAAAGAATCTTTCCCCGATTCTGATATCGATTCATTTGAATCTTATACTACTGCATGTACCTCCATAAATGAGCCGTTATCCAGACCTACCTCGACGATAAGAACTGGGAACCCACCAGATCCAAATTCAAAAGACACTCAGAAAGCTCCTAAAAAGATACCATCCATCATCAAGGGCAACATGAATTGCCATGCTCCGGATTTTCCTCAGCTAAACAAATACAAACCAGGTGATCTTCATAATGCATTTTATCAATCTTGTAGACAGGATTGTATAGATAATTACTTGTTGAGATTCATTCGTGCTCGTAAATGGAATACTCACGATGCTTTGGCCATGTTCTCCAACTCCTTGAATTGGCGTCAAAATGTCTATCCATCTTACGATTGGCTTTTAGAAGGTGATGCTAAATCTTACTTGAACGATACAAATCCTGGATTTGTCAAGAATTACACTGCTGAAAAATGCAGAATTAGAGGTAAAGATCGTCAAGGTAATCCAGTATTTTACTTTGAATCCCGAAAACATTTTGCATCCGATGCAACCCCACAAGAAATGGAACGTTTTGCACTCACCACCATTGAGTGGTTTAGGTTATACTTACGTGATATTACTGAATCAACCGATACAGCAACCGTGGTTTTTGACCTATCAGGATTCTCGCTTAAGAATGCCGATAACCCAACCACCAAATTTTTGGCTGAAGTCTTTGAAGCTCATTATCCAGAATTTTTGAACAATATCGTTATTCACAAAGCTCCCTGGATTTTCTCTACTATTTGGAATATCATCAAAAATTGGTTGGATCCGGTTGTTTCTTCCAAAATACATTTCACCAAAGATATCAACGAGATTGGTGTTTTTATAGATCGAAAACATTTACCCTCCCGTATCGATGGTGAAGATGTTGACGAAATTGAGTATACTCCTCCATCGAAAAATGGGGATAAACCTCCATTGGCTAAAAATATGAACTATCACAATTTGCGTATCGAACGAGACGAATTGCTCATGCTATTCTTCGATACAACCATTAAGTGGATTGAAGCCGTCAATCCAGATGAAAGTGCTGCTTATTATAAAGATAAATTAGATCTTAACTATAGATTGGCTCACAATTATGTCCAATTAGATTCTTATACTAGAATTCCCGGGGTTTTCGATAGAGATGGTCATCTCAAACTTGGATACTGATATTCGTTTCCCACCCGTTTTAATTCTCATTCACCTATATATACCAATTCATTTGCATCTTGTATTAACTTCATTTCTATTGAACTTCAATGTAGAGACGTGCTTTGTGCGTGCACGCAAACCAAAAAAAAAAAATACAACATGAAAAAAAGCATTCTAAAATAGAATCTGATAACAAGCAAGAGAAGACCAAGAATACCTTTAATTTACAATATAAAAGATTTACTATTACAATGTCACGTCGCTCGGTAAGGTCCTCGAGATCTTACTTTGATAAAGAAGAAGATGATGTCAACAATTATGAAGCTGAGCCAGAAGATGAATTAGAAGATGACGAAGGTGAAGAACAAGAAGTTACTAGATGTATATGTGGACAAGACGAATTGAGTTCAGATACAATAAACGAAAGTTTGAGCACCCTCCTTCTTAATGAGTATGATATCAAAATTGATCAGGGCTTGTTTATTCAGTGTGATAAGTGCTCTGTTTGGCAACATGGATACTGTGTTGGTCTTTTCATAAATGAAGATGTCCCTGATAAGTATTGGTGTGAATTGTGTAAACCAGACTTACACGTATTCGTTTATGAACACAATGAAAGTGTAAGAACTCTATATAAGCCTGTCAATGATAAAAGAAAAAAGCTACAGTTAGAAAATGTGGAAAACAATGAAAATAATTCTGCATCAAGTACTAGACTGAGGACTTCTAAGAGGCTCACCCCTTCATCTTCAAGTGGCCTGAATAACGATAAAAAAGAAAACCAAGATCATTCTAATGGAAGCAGCAATCAAAATAAAAATCAAAAAGGACACCGTAAGGAAAGACGGCACTTTGATGATAATTATGATGAACAACTTCAAAAAGCATTGCGAGAAAGTGCAAAAGAGAGTGGGATCAACTTCTCAGAAGACCAATCTAAAAAGGAAGAAGTCAGTGATGATGGAAAGAAAGAGTTTGTTGCACCTGGCTTGAAAACAAGACCTAAAAGGAAGTCAAGCAAAGATATCTCTGATAATGACTCTTCTCCCTCAAAAAAGGTCAAAACAGAAGCTGAAAAATCTGGCTCTGATATGAATGATGTTGATGAGTCAAATCTAGAGGAAGACAACGAAAGTTCGTCATATACCAAGCTGAAGGCACGCTCGAAGCTGCGAGTAAAATCGACGAAATCCAAATCAACCAGAAAAGCCACTCCTAAATCTGAATCTAAAAATACCAATTCTTCCGGTAATAATTCTAATAATCCACCATTAAGCAAAGAAGAACTAATAAATCAAAGCTCCAAGCCAAGATATGTTCACGATAAATCAACCATTTATGAGTTACGCAAACGCACAGGTGCCATACTAGAATGGCTCGGGCGCTCTCAACTAGAACTAGAGGAAGAAAAAGATTCCAAGATCCAACTATTCAATTATAAAGAAAAACCTGATAATGAAACTGATCAAAGAAAGCTTATGGAAGAAAATTTAAAAATCGTCAATAGCTTCAATGAAAATCTAAGTCTAATGGAAAAACTTACTGAAAGCATACTACTTTGGGAACAAAAATTTGGCAAGTATGCACCATAATTTCTAACATGTTTATATATATTGATTATCTAAACTATAAAATTTCTCTCAATTGAGTTCTTCTGGCTTGGGCATTCATATTATTAGGAACTACTTCTGAGGAGTCGTTGACGATATCGTATAGTTTTTCAAGCCAAGTTGAACTATTAAGAACGCTATCCCCACCAATCACTAAGTTGACCTTTGGATTGGCAGCTCCTAATTCATGAATTAATCTTGATTCTTCATATGTAACACCACCTTTAATATATATAATAATGTCTTGAATTGGACTGTCATTAGAAATATTTCCGTATTGATTGGTCACGTTGTCTGGAATTAAAGTACTGAGCTCTGAGGGTTGATTTTGGGATTGTTGAGAAGGATTGATCAAGTTATTTAAAGTTTCATTTAGTTTAGGGATATATTGCATATAAATATTGTCTGTTTTTGGAACATTTGATCTATTATTATTATTATTACCACTGAATAATTGGTTGATATTTATTTTATTCTTGTTAAATATGCTTCCGATATTATTAGTATTATTATTTGTGCTTTTTAAGACTTTATTCCCGAATAACTTGTTAAAACTCTTTATTAATGATACCTGAGAAACAGTTGGCGAGGGCTGGGTGACAGAAGTATCATTCAATTTATTGATGAAATTCGATAACTCGCTAGTTTGTTCCGGGAATTTGATCACGTAAAGTAACAAAATCTTGATTTTACTTTCGGTTGAAACAGATGGGTCGCTGAATGCTTCCATAATTTTAGTTTTTATAGCTTGATGATTCTCTAAATCACATATAATTGTTTGTTGTATTTCACCAATAACCCACAAGTTTTGAGCCGAAATTTCTTTATCCAAATTACTGATTAAATTAAGATGCTTCAATATATTATTCGATAATTTTTTAAACTCAGGAAATCTTGTTAAAACTTTTTTCAATTCGGCCAAGTTTTGAGTTTTTAAATTCGAGATGGAAGATTGTTTAGTTTGTTTTTTATAATCTTCAACATATCTTTGGAACTTATCAGTTAAGTCCCCATAGTTCAAATAGATCGATTCCTTGTAAAATTTATCCTGTGATTCAGACAATAATATTTGTTCTTTAGATTCTTTCAAATCAACGATGTTTTTACTGATACCAATTAATTCATGGATCATTGATTGATATGTCCATGGTGTAAGCAAGGGGGTAATTGGATCATTTTTTCGATCTAAAAGCAACAACAATGGAGGTGTATCAGAACTCTTATTCAAATCATCAAAGAGGTTGTTATTGGAGTTCGAATTGATGTTATATAATACTTCAGATCCAAGTTTTCTTAATTCAAGAGAATTCGACTCAAACTTTATGATAGGACATTTCTTCAAAGATAACAACAAGCTTGATAAGCTATTCGCTTCTTCGACAACTAAGTTTGTTCTATTAGTGTCTTCAAGCTCAATTGGCTTGGGTATATTTATAGTAAATAAATTATTATTAACGATGAAATAGTCTTGAAACAATTCAGTGACTTGGTTTATCACTTCGAATTCATCTGCTTCTGCGATCTTCTCTAATTGCATTTTGTTGACCGTATTATTAAAAAACAATTGATAGTTGTTAAAGTGTGGAGATCTCAATTCATTCATTAAGAAAATAACTGATTCTTTTGTAGGCTTTATGTACACAATGCAGTTAAGGTGTTTCATCAGAGCCAAACTGTGTTGATTTTCCAATAATTCCACCAAGATTACATCATTCTGAAGTAGTTGGGATTGAGTATAACACATCGAGATGATTGGTGTCGTATACTTGTCAACTAATAGTACTTTAGCCTTTATTCCCGAGCTTAATGCGGTATTATTCTTGGAGACAAATAGCTTGTCAAAGTAAGATTCCGTTACTTTACTAAGGTTTAACGTCATGATGGTGCTGCTGTAAGTCGGGCGAAGAAGTATGGACAATTCAAAGAAATCGTTTTGGATACAACATTTATCTCCTCGTTTTGTTACTTATTTGCAAACGAAACAACCGTACCTCACTGGTTCTTTTGCTGCGAAAATACTTACAGTTTATTCCTTTAGTAGGAATTCTATACATTGACTCTTTTTATGTATTCTATTAGAGTGTATTAAATCTAAATTGTAAAAATCCATTTTTATAATGCTAATGACAATTATAAGTGGGCGTGTTCTTCCAGTTTATAATAAAACTTAGACAATGGTTCCACTGGTTTAGGAATGTCTGCGATTTGGTTATTTCTTCTGAACGATCCGATATCAGTGAAAACCTTTCCTCTTGGATAAATCGATGGTACAGGATTGACTAAGGCTTGTCTGACATATGAAGCGAATTCATTCTTGAAGGAGTCGATATCTGGACTAATATGTTTGGTTGGTTCAGGGTTTTTCAACAATTCACTGGTAACTTCATCAATAATGTTTTCGACAGATTCACCCTGCTTTTCAAGAATTGAATCCACAATATCTGACTCAAGAACAAAGTCTTTATTGTAAAGAAAGTTATTTACCGAGCTCAAGAGCTCTTTTGACGTTGCTAATTTAGGCGTGCATTGAGATTTCAAATAAAGGACCAATCTACCTGATTTGCTTTGAGAGTTGGAAACATTAATATAGTCATCATAAAAATTAATGAATTCATCCTTTGTAATAGTAGTCAAAATGTCGACGTGTCTTTGTCTTTGATTAAAGTCGAAGTAGCCTGTGGAGATTTGTCCCGAGAGTCTGTTGAACTCTTCTGATAAATTCTTGAGCTTGGATAATTTTTTATCGGTGAGAGCTTCCTTGAATTTATTGAAATTTTCATCGGTTAATTCCTTTGCTATAAAGTTTGTTCTAAACTTATGCAAAAATTCTTCTATTCTGTATTCCAAATAATCACAAGGTCTTTCAGATTGAATTAAAACTCTAAATCCAAATCTGCTCTTTGTCAATCTAACGCCTGAGAAAACAACATACCCCAATTGTTCTTTTGTTCTTAATTGATTGAAACAAGCTTCGTTTATTGTTGTGCTCATCAAATCTGCTAAAACAAGTAGACGATCGTGCTTCAACTTATCTTCGATTTGAATGTAGTACTCAATGCAAGAGTTAACATTGTTAGCATCTTGTAAAGGTGATTCAAACGTAGCTCTTTCATTTGGACTCACAAAGTAAGATCTATATTGTAAAGCTTTGCTAACTTCTTCTTTGTTTTCTGCGATTGGCTTGAGATGGCTTAAATGCTTTTGAAGAAGAGAATTAATCTTCATTGAACGTTCATAGTCAAAATTACCATGGATTAAAGTGCTAGCAAAGACTCCATTTGACCACATTTCTCTATTGAATGTAACTAATTCTTCGAAGCTTAATTCATTGCTGTTTAATGCAGCAAGCTTTTCTTCTCTTGTATAAATCTTGTCGTTAAACAATGACTGTATATATCTACCGGCTTGACTATAAGGAACGTCGTAACCGGAATTTTTCAATTGCTGAATGGTTTTTTCTTTCAATGTTGAATATTTTTCTTTGTTCGGAGTGAAGTTGGTAACTTTGTGAATTACATGTTCTAATAAGACGGGCATTTTATCACTATAACCGTCAAAATCCAATCCAAATCCGTCAACTTGTCTATGAAAATTGAAAGCTAATCCAACTAATGAAGCTAAATATGCCATATCATTCAATTCATCATTTACTAATTTCACTATTAATGAACAGTAGAGAAATGATTTCACGGATTCGGTAGTAGATGGTAAGTGCAAAGAAGTGGAAACAAGACCCTTTGGAACTTCGAAACGATCATCTTTTTTAAACCACACTTGAGACTTCTCATCATTGTGAATGATATAAGGGTGCAACAAGGGGTTTTCTGATTTTTTCCCAACAATGGTGAAGTCATCGGGGATGAATTCATTCTTAACTGGAAGATGGAATGCAGTATTTGTAGAGACATTTTTCAACTGGGAAAGGAAACTTTGAGAAATTGGTTCAGTCAGATGTTCTGTGCCATACCATTTCTCAGTTAGTGGTAAATTTTCAAGTTTTTGTGATGAAAGGAGAATACGAATATTATCGGGATTAAAATAAGAGCCGTATTCTTTTATAGCAACTGGATCAAATTCACGAGTGATTGTTGAATTCAATAAATAATTTGGTGGAACATGCGAATCCTCAGTAAATTTATATAAAATACTACTTTGTCTGGACACAGTTGATGAAGCCCCTTTCTTTTGAGTAAATTTAAAGTTCACCTTGGACATGTTACTTATTTCTTCCCAGATCCATTGTTGTGGATCTTTGTTCGAAATGAGTTTCAAATATTCAAATAGATGAACAATCACTGATTGCCAATTTTCTAAACCTTTTTCAGTTAGTTCGAGTTCTAATACGAAAATGGAGTTACCCTGACAGACCTTCATGTTACCAGCAGATAAGTCGTTGACCCAGTGTTTTTCATTTAAGTAGTAATACAAAGAGCCTTTACTTTCGTGACCAAGTAAATGAGAAAAATAAGAAGCAGGTCTAGATTTCCAATTATCTTCTTGATCATCTGGGATCAAAAATGATACTTCTAGCTTATGGGAATCTTTTATGGGCTTAGCTTTTATCAACTTCCCTAAATGCTCTGGGTTATAAATAACTTCTCCATTATAGTTAGGGCGAGGCAAATTAACATTTGGAATAGATTCAAATTTTTCAATTGCCCAATATGTGAGTTGATCCAAATTTTCTTTCCCCAAGATAACGAGACTCATAATATTTGAAGAGTATTCCTTGTGATAGAAATCAAGTAAAACATCACGAACATTTACATTGTCACTAGTAGGCTGTTCATGTAAAGTTTGGTAATTACCAGTTGAAAATCCATTGAAAGGATGATTAGGATTACTAGTCAGTTTATCCAATTGATAAAATCTCCACATATCATTCTGTAAATTTTTCTTATTTTCAGAGTCAACTGCTTTAATTTCACGATCTTTACAACTTTTGGAAAATAAAGGACTAATGAAAAATTGGGCAAATCTATCTAATGCACCATCCAAGTAATTAGAGCTTACTTCGAAATAGTAATTGGTATGTTCAGCAGCAGTGTAGGCATTAGAATATCCTGAATGTTTGGATAAGTAACTAGAGTATTCATTTTCTTCTGGGTATTTTTCGGTACCCATGAAGAGTAAATGTTCACAAAAATGAGCCAATCCAGAAACGTTATACTTCTTATCGGCAAATGAGCCTACGTTTACATCCAAAGCAGCAGCTGATTTATCTGTTGATGGATCATTGATAAGTAATACATGTAAATCATTATTGTTCAATTTGATAAAACGGTAAGAACGATCGTCTAAAATTGGTCTTTCGATATTATCATTATCTGCCAAAATTGTATATTTATCAGCAACCATTTTCAATTTGAATGGGGTGATTGTATTTTGATGGAACTGACGAGTGAAGTGGGTGAAAAAATTACGATTTGAAACAAGTTCTTGTAAAAGACGTGGCGAATGATTTGACCTGAATAGTAACGGACTTATTAGAATAACTGTTGATAAGCTTTTTTTCAAAAAACTGGCACTTGGGGAAAAAAGCATGAAACAATTAACCCTTATTTATGGAAAAAACGATCTAAAAAGCAATAAGCTGAAAATTTCGTAATTGAACAAAGTAAAAAAACAAGTATGTTGCCGTTATCTTCTTCAGCTGAAAAGATTCTCAGTACTCAAGTAGTTACCATTGAAAAATTCCAAAAAAGACAGCTAAAAAACAACTAACAAAAAAAACCTGAACTGTGAGCATTTGAAATTGCAACTGTGGATTTCAATCTGCTGAATCTTGTAAAGAACTAACTAAATGTATATTAAATAGACATATAGAAAGTATTTACTGCTGGAAGAAGACTAAGTGGAAGATGCATCCATGATTTTATGAATATTTTCAAGAAAGTTGCTGATCAAGTATTCGATTGAATCTAATTTAGTGAACGCACTTACCAAAACTGGGTCTGGGGACGATACTTCAATTTTTTTATTGATCATGACAACCAGATCGTTATAAGTGATGCATTTTGTAATATAATCAACTGGGTCGAATTTTGGGCGGATCAGCAAATGATTCAACATATTATTGAAAAGATTAGATGGGGTTTGTGGTTGAGGATGAGCCAAATCATTTGGGGCCGAAGATGACGAAGAAAGTTGATGTAAACGATGTTGTATATCGGCAATATTCAAAGGTTGAGAGGGAACAGGGGTTGAATTGGACGATGTTGATATGCTTGAGTGGGCAGTAGTTGTAGGTAATTTCATTTCATCTCTAATTTTGTCAACGTAAGACTTACCAGAGTTAGCATCAATCTCACACCAAGGTTTATCTTGCACCCGATGAAGATTTTTCAAATCTATACAAACTTCTGCTTGACTTATGTAGAGATCAATTGCAATATCCGGCGTGAGTTCTGGGTCAAAAGCGTCTGCTGGGGTCACATTTACCGGGAATACTAACGAGGGATTTGTTGGAAGCTGCAAACTGTTTTTAGCGGTTTGTATTTCAATCAACAATTGATTAAACTGTTCGATTAAACTAACGTGCAGATTTTCATGTTCTTCGTGTTGAACCCCCAAGATTGTTTTGGAAGTATTGATTATATCTATTGCATTATCGATGGATCTTTTGGCAGTGATTATTTGCGATAGAAGAATTGGTTTACTAAGATTTAATCGATGTAACACTCTATTAAAATGGCGTTCCTTCAATAATACCGTCAATTGAGTAACGTATGCCCCGTCCCTCACTATAATACCTTTCAATGCTTCCAGCTTGGTAGACGACACCGGTAACTTAATAGAAGGACCTCTTTCTATATGCTTAGCAGCATCTGGATGCTGGGGAGTGTTATATAAAAGTAAATTAGAACATATTTCAAGCGCTTCGATAATTTGAGGAAACTCGGGACTGATTATCGACAGTATCAACCAGTGCAACTCATCATTGGAGGTCTCCTGCTGAATCTCCCGTACGTACTTCTCCACCTCCTGCATTTCTATCTATTCAACTATCCTGGTTTATAGTGTATACTTATCACTTTTACCGCTACTCATAATTTAATTCCCCAGTCGCACCCGTACCTTCGATTTTTTTTTCTTTCGATTCCAGATACAACGCCCGTACACCACATTATTCCTGCCCAACAACCAAGTATCAACGAAATGCTCCAACATGCACAAATGTGGCCGCTAACCTGTAATCTTACGATTGCCCAAAGGTCATTTCCGTCACATAATCTCATCATCATATAAAAAAAGATTTGAACCAGGCACAAAAAAAAAAAACAAACAAAAACCTCCACTTGTGCAGGACTGCTGTTTATATTCACAACCCATATTTACGGTAAACTAGTCTTAATATCAATCTTATCATATTCAGAAACATACCTTGGGTGAAAGAACGGTGTGGGAAAGGAATTGATTGAATTTGCTAGAAGAAAAGGGTGTAATTTGAGTTAAATAAAGGAATTGAATAAACAACAGAAGTTACTCTTTGAATAAATCTGCCATAATGCTGGGTCCTTCTACGTCTAATGAAAGAACAAGAGCAACATCTCGCCAACAACAACAACAGCAGCAGCAGCAGCAGCAGCAGCAGCAGCAGTACCAACAGTATCAGCAACAACAACAACAGGCTCCACCGCAATACCAAGCTCAATATCAACAATACCCGCCACCAACTCACCATCAACAGCAACAACCACAACAACATCAAATAGCCCACGATCCAATTTCGGCAGCCACAGCTATAGCCATGGCCAATGCCCGACACCAAGAGTATAATGCAGCAGCGGCCACCGCTGCTGCTGCTGTTTCAGCCTTAAGTCATCATCCAGACGACCCTAACCAGTTCAGCTCACATAGTCACCACTTGAATCCTCAGATATCACCAGCGGAGGCAGCTGCTCAAGCGGCTCAGTTGCAACAACATCAATTGAGCAGTAACCCACAATTACAGCAGTTTCAGCAAGTTCAAGCCCAACAACTTGCCGCTGCCCAACAACAACAACAACATCACCAACAACAGCAGCATCAACAACAACATCCGCTTCATCAGGCACAAGATCCGTATCTGATAACACCCAGCTCTGCTGAGCAACCAGATTTTAATGGCGGTAGCGTGTTGGTTTCTCGTTATGCCGATAATGAAGTTATCAAAACATTTGGTTCAAAACCTGACTTGGTTAAATATGTTAAGAATATTTTAAGTGATCAAGAACAATGTAAAATCGTTATAAATTCTTCTAAACCAAAAGCCGTTTATTTCCAATGTGAAAGGTCGGGATCTTTCAGAACCACTGTTAAAGAACCTTCGAAGAGACAAAGAGTTGCTTATACCAAAAGAAATAAATGCGGTTATAGATTAGTTGCCAATTTATATCCTCCTAAAACTAAAAGAATTCCTAAAAAACCTCAAAGTCCAGGTATTCAACCTGATTTTAGTGATGGTAATATTGACGCTAAAATAGATACTTATGAACATCAAATTCATCACCCTGTTCAACATCAACATCAACAACAAAATCCTGATTACGATGATGGTGAAGATGAAATTTGGGTTTTGCGAATGATTCATCCTGCTCATAATCATCCTTTGGAACCAGGTTTAGCCACTGGTCAAGCTAAGAAAAAGAGATCGAAATTTAGTAGAACTCTAGTTGAAAAACCTTTAAACAGAACTAATGGAACTGCTGCCGCTGCCGCCGCTGCTGTGGCACAAGCTTACAATCCAAATGAATTACTTGATCCTCAACATCAATTGGCTCAACACCACTTGGCCCAACAGCAATTGCAGCAACATCAATACCAACAGCAATTGGCCCAACAAGCCCAACATCATGGATTAACCGCCACGGTGCCTCATACTCAGCACCATACTCACCATGACTCTACTGCTCATGGCGGTGGGCCATCAGTTCAAGATGTTGCTGTTATTGCCGCCATGGGCGGTGATGCGTCTTCTGCTGCTGCTGCTGCTGCGTTACATGAACAGCATGTTGATCCAAACATTGATCCTAATGTTGACCCTAGTGTTCAAGAACATGATCATTCACATAGGTTGAGATGATTTTTTTGAAGAACAATAAAAAAAGTTTGAATGAAATTCTATACTGAATTACCTCATATGAAACTTCAAATTATCTCCAATCTATGATCCAATTATGAATGAAAATCTCAAGCCCATAGAAATGACACTTGTTCTGAGTTTATGTTTCTGCTTTTTCTGTTCCTTTTTTTTTTTCAAAAACTGTCTTATTTATCTATGCTTATGTCTTACCTGTATATGTGCTACTTTGTCTTATGTACTAACCTTTTAATCTTTTATTCAAAACTTTTGAAAGAAACTGTTTATTTGAAAACTAAAAATTTGAAAAATTAAAAAAAAAAAAAAAAAAATACTTTTCTTCTAATCTGTGTTTAAAAATGTTCAAAGGACAATAATTTGTCTTGTTGATGTGACTTTTTACCCTTTGTCGTCTAATATGCTTACTCTATCGTTAATCTTGCCATTTTAATATTTCTTCTCTTAATTATTTTTATTTTATTACTCCCTTGTTATGATAGCGTCTTCTTCGCTACTCTTTTGTATTTGTATATCGTCTATTGACTGATCTTGAAAAGAATCTTCTGGACCTAATGTACTATTAACACCTTCCCACTTTTGATTTTGCAATCATTGTAAGTCACAAAAACCGTTTAATAGAAAGGCTGAAACATGCAACCTAAACTTAATGTGTGTGCAGTATAACGCGTTCGAATGCTAAAGTTTTGGTAGCCTTGTATAGATTTTTTTTTTCTCTTTTTTATCTTATCGCGAGTTATTGGGGTCGAACTCGTTTTTACCCTTGGAATTGAGTAAAAAAGTATCCTTCATTAATTAATTGTTTGTTACTTCAACTACTTGTCAACCACGGCTAGTAATTCATTGATTCACTTCACAACCAAGATATAGTGCTAGACAACAGCCAGCCAACCAACCTCAAGGGCCATTCCCAATTTCATCTTGTTTGTTATCATTGGTATCTAATTGAAATCTGTATCAATTGCCGCTTCGAAATCAATTCATAAGCCAAACTTGGTGTTTGTGTTCTGTGTTGATAATAAGATCAATCATCATTCATTGCATTCACAGTGGCTTTCGGGCTCCTTGTTAGTTCCCTTTGACTTTTTTTGATTCATTTTCTCTCTTTTTTTTTTGAATCAAATACTATTTGCTCTTAGTATAACTCATCTTCTAATAAATTCGTCCAGGAGGTTCAACAAGTTTTTTCGGTAACTAGGAGGGTTTCCAAGTTTTGTTCACGTTTATTTTATCCCATCGTTTTGACCATCTCAGTGACTTGAACCCCGTTGACAATATCAATCTTAAATCGCTCAATTCACAACATTGAATAGATACTTATATAAATCGATATATTCTTGTCTTACATTACCCATAGTGGCTTGCTCGAGGATTTCCTCCGTTCTTTCTGTGCTTATTTCTATATCGCTCCATTCATCCAGTTGGTATAGTACCAATAAAGTACAATAGTCATGTCTTCCATTTATAGAAAGGCAAAAGATAAGGTTTCTCCTTCTCCTTCAATTAGAAGAAAGAAGAACGCTTCTACTGGTCCAAATCTTGAACAACCTGATGATGAGAGTCTAGCATCCGTTAAGACATCCAATTCCCTTAGGTCATCAATCTCTCGTCGTCTTTCTAGAAAAAATAAGAATCAAGAAGGCGCTTCTAAAAATCCCAATGCTACTCGGGGTAACAAGAAGAGCAAGCGTCCTGTTTCCTTGATCGAACCTCTCAATTCTGAAGAATTAGCCAATTCCAGTTCTTTGAGACCAACTCAGTCAAATCCAAATGAAGAATCAGACTCTCAAGTCCAAATTCACGCTCCAGATCGTCAAGATTATGAACCAATAACTGAACAACCCTCAATTGCAAAGTCTCCTTTGAAAGAAGATCCAGAAGAAGATCAACCAGAGCCAACAAATTATCCACCTGCTTCTAATCTGGTATCCGAACTGAAGCAAAATTCTCCTGCTACTGTAAAAGAATTAGAAACATCGCCGCCCAGGTCACCTTACGGGAATTCTGCTTCTACTAAATCGGACTCAAGCTTAGTTCCTGGGTATCAGCAACAAGTACCACTAAAACCTTTCGGTCCATTTGATTCCAATAATTATGGTTCCATGTCTACAGTGTCATCGCCTCTTCCTCCCCCTCCACCAATGTCACAAATAGCAAGTACTGGTCACTTGCCAGTTAATGAGAGTGTTGGTAATTCGAATCGAATGTCTAGAGGTTCAATATCTTCCAGATTATCGGATCCTAATGTGGCTAATAAGCAGCATAATTATCCTGCAAGTGTTGGACCTGGCCCAGCTTATGCAATTGATAATTTAGCATCTGAACCTCCAATCGAACCAAGTGAATTACAGCCACTTTTAAGTCCCAGAAACTCTATCATGTCTCAAGACGTTGCAGTACCAGCAGAAGCCTCGTGGTCTCTTATCTTACTTTTCAGCAAAATATTCGAGATATGTTATTATAAAAATCCTAAAACTTCGGGATTTGTTTTAATCGGGTTAATTTTATTATTTTGCCTTTTTTACTTGACACTCTCGAACCTGGATTCATTGATTATGCAAGCATTGACATCTGATTTTCAAAGTATATCAGTTTTAAATGTAAACGGAGATGGTCTAACATTCCATGTTATTGGTTCGGTGTACTTGCAATATGATAATATTCAAAACCTTTTTTATAGGTATTTTATGAAACTAGGGGCTGTGATAGTTGGAAGTATAAGTGTTATACCAAATAAATCAGTTAAGATTTTTCTTACCCCAAAGGATATATATTCTCCACCCATTCATGTATTAGACATCTACCCTCCAGAAATCAGTATAAATACAGTTGATAAAAGTATACTGGAAATCGACTTTATAAGTAAGGCCGAGCTAGCTGAATTAGGAATAGTAAAATTTGCCAATGACTTCATAGAATTGAGTCATTTCAAAGAAAACATCAACGTTCAAATTCAATCTATCATTGATGCTAAAATCAGTAGTAAATTTTTCAATTTTGAAACTAGCGAATTGAACGTATTCATGGATTATCAAGTTAATCCTAATCAAATATTCCCGAATATAAATGTGGAAGATTTCAGTGTGACAACAAGTAGCTCTTCTGAAAACAAGTTGGAAGCAACTGCAGTAAAAAATGATGAGCTTAAGGTTGATTCTAACATTAAGGTTGATGCACAATTGCCTTTAAATTTCTTTCTTAGTCCCATTGAATGGGACATTTCACTACGTGACTGCAATTCAGACTTTATCAAGTGGGGGGAATGGAAAACCAACGAGATAAATGTTGATCCATACCAGCCAGTGAGTTTTAAATTAGAGAGTTTGATCAAAGAAACACCTAGAGAATTTTTGATACAATGTGAAGATGGGAAGCTGGTCTTGAATCAATTAGCATATAAAATCATTAATCATGAGGATTCCTTTATAGAGTTTAAAATCAATGCCAGTGAAAACAAAAATAATCAGAAAAACTTACCGCCTTGGTTATACTATGTTTTACAAAATGTTAGATCGAGATTCAAGTTTCCATTGAAAGGGATCAAGACTGGTTTCAACTTAGAAGATCTCTTATTAGATTATTTGATTAATGATTTGAGCGTTGATATTCCATATAAGAGTCAAAAAGAACAGGTTGAAAGCCACATTAATGGGAACTTTACCTTACAGATACAATTGCCACCCAATAGTTTCCAGGTTGATATAGGGCAGCCAAAGGTCCGGGCCCATTTTAATATCAGGGATGAAAAAGAGGTATTAATTTATGGAGAGCTGAATCAGGAGAGTGGAATCGCAATCTCCAAGATTGAAAATGATCAACTTTATGAAAACATATTCTTTGATGTGGAACTAGGTAATATGGAGGTCGATCAATTAAATCCAGCTAAGATTGGTCATTTAGTTAATCAAATTATCAACGATGCCCAAGTGGAAGAGCTATTTATTGATGTATTCATTGATGAATTAGAAATTGATTTGCCGTTTTTACAATCTACATTCAAAGACTTGAATTTCAGTAATATCAAAATACCTTACAAGCAAACATCAAAACAAGTTCACGAAATGCGGTATATTGATGGTATACTCAGTGGATTGAATGTGAGCGTCAATGATATACTATACGAAAAGTCTACTGCTGAAGAGCTTACATTCAAGATGGATGTTGATATCTACAACCCAACCAATATCACTTTGGAAATTCCCAAGGAAACACTTAGCGTTGATGTTATTAGTAATGGAACCCGGATTGGAAGTGTTGGTTGTGCAGATCTTTTCATTTTGAAAAAAGAATGGGTCAACAGCATTCTTGAAATCAGGCTCAATCCCAAAGATGATTTGGATAAAATATCATTGGAAAGACTAGTCAGTGAATTTATTCTGGGGATTAAAGAAATTAAAATCGGAGCTCAAGGAGGGAAAGTTAAGCATAACAAACCCCTTGGCCAATTGCTTAGTCAATTAACTATTGAAGACGTACAAATACCCGACATATATATTGAACCACCTCAATTGAAGGACCCTGAAATTAGCGAAATCTCAAAACACAAATCCCCATTTTTAATCGAAAGCACCATTCACATTTTGAACTCAGAAGTTGAACTCACCATCTACAACCCAATTTCCAATTCAGATATCCTCGTCCATTTACAACAAGCAGAAGCTCAATACAAGGGAGAAATCTTGGGCCATTTGGCCCAACTGCAAACCCTCAAAGTGAGTCCTGGAATCTACAAGACCCCTCGGATGCCCTTAAAAATCAACAACGGAATCGGAATGGACATTCTCCGGAAGGCCATCAACGGCCAGTTGGATGTCGAGGTCATTGCCGTCTTTGATATCACCTTGGATAACTACTCCATGCAATTATTCTACGAGGGACTGGGACTTACTTCCAACATTAAGTTATAACTGCAAAAATAGAAAAGCTACGGGTGTTTTGTCGAGGATTGTTCTAGACCTCCTCCCTGTATGCAGCCCTATTTATAGCACTAACAAACCAAAAAAAAAAGCGAGCGAAAAGAAAAAAAAAAAAAAGAAAAAGAAAAAAAGAATCGAAAAAAGGTGAAAAAAGAATTGTAATTTTGAGATCCGTCAGAATCAGGTAAAAATAAAACAAATTGGATATGGGACAACAGGTTAAAAAGGCTAATTAAAGGACGAAAAAAAAAACTTAATACTTCTTTCTTAACAACCAAGTCTACTTGTTCTTTTCAGTACACTCGTTTAACACTCCATTCACTCGTTCAGGATGCAATCATTTTTATTCAAGGCCACTGCTTTAGTTACTTTAGCCAGTTTATTTCAATCTACTTTAGCCACTCCTCCAGCCTGTTTATTGGCTTGTGTTGCTCAAGTTGAAAAAAAATCCGACTGTTCTGGATTGAATGATTTATCATGTATTTGTTCTAATGAATCAAGCAACATTGAATCATGTTTAGACAGTGCTTGTCCAGATGGTGATGCTGATGCTGCCAAAGAAGCTTTCAAAGATAGTTGTGGTGATGATTACTCCAATAAGAAAGCTTCTTCTTCTAAAGCTTCTTCTTCCACCGCTTCTTCTTCTAAAGCTTCTTCCAGTGCTTCTTCCAGTGCTTCTTCTGCTGAAGATTCCTCTACTGAAGCTGCTTCTTCTACCGAAGCTTCCTCTACCGAAGCTTCCTCTACCGAAGCTTCCTCTACCGAAGCTTCTGCTACTTCATCTGCTTCTGCTCCAGCTTCCACCACCCTTGCTGCTGAATCTTCTGAATATGCTTCTTCCTCGGAAGCTGTTACCTCTGAACCAGCTTCCTCTGCTGCTACCTCTGAAGTTTCCTCTTCTTCCGCCACTTCCTCCGCCCCAGAAATTGGTACTCAATCTGCCGATGGTGCTAACATTGCCAAAGGTGTTTCCGTTGGTGCTGCTTTACTTGGTTTAGCTGGTGCTTTATTATAAGTCTAAACCTCTTGTCTTTTAATTCTTATACCCATAAATTCCTCTTTTGGTCATTCGTTCGATTATTTTCTATAAAAAAAAACACAAAAAATTTTCTTTTTCATTCAAATATTAAATGTTAGGTGTTCTTTTTCTACCTCTTTCTTCCTTTTTCTACATTGGAAAGTTGTTTCCGACTAGCTTGATTAGTTTACATACGTAAATACATATTATCCATAATTCATTAAATTTTGGTGTAATTAATTGCCACCAAATCACTAAATAAGAAAATTTATCACGAACCATCCATTCTCGGTAATCAGACAACGACTTCGAGACAAAAGAAAAAATGGGGGTGCTTCTTTTTTTTGATGTACGGATGTTTTAGCGAGGTAATTTTTACGACTTATTATTGCAAATTTACGAGCACTCACCTTAATTCTCTTTGATTTATATAGGAGGCTTGATTCTTACCTCTCATCTTTCTTATTTCCTGTTCACGTAGTACTAGGAGAATGCAGCAGAGAACCATGGAATCGTCATCCAAGTCGGGGGAATTGGAAGGAACAGCAAACATTTTAATGGAAGCACTTACTTTGCCACCACCTTCATTATCGATACACCAGGCTAAAGGGACATTACCACAGAGAAATCTTTCTTTATTTAGCAACTCAGTAATTTTTTTCTTATTTTGTTTGATGAGCGAATCGAATAGTTCCCCATTTTGTAAGATTTTAAAATTTTTTGGATTTTCAGAGTGTTTAATTTGTAAATCATCGATTAAAGATGGCGAATTCGAAGTCAATGGTTTGATGGATATTAAGCTGTTCCCGAACGTGGAAGAGGAAGTGCCACTGATTCTCAATTTAGTATTTTTATATAATAAATCAATACATGATTTAATACCATTATTATATAAAATTAAAGTATAAGGTAGGGTTTGAAATTGTAAAATATGACAAGTTAAATTATTATTCAATATTTTGAAATAAACTTTACAAAAAATTGACTTATCAGCTGTTGTGATTTGTGATAAGGGACTATTTTTCTTGAATATACTTAATACCGACGTTTGTATGGTTAAAATAGGAGCCTCGTTGAGTTCAAATGATTCAAATGACTTGAATAGCGATATTCCGGGACTTAGGAAATTAGATACAATTGGCAATTCATATAATGAAGTATAACCACTTATTGACTTGCCAAAAATCAACTTATCCAAGGGAAGTAAAGTTTCGTCCGAAGTAGCAGTGAATACCGATACCAAGTCAGACGCGTTGGCCTGAGACGTGGAGATCAACGTGGACAAAGTGTCCTGGGACTCTGAACGAGCTAAGTTCATCTTGTCTTCAAAGTCGGCTGTTCGTCATAAAGTTATTTATTGTTCTGGTATCTGGTCGTTTGATTTAGGTGATGGGGTGGACTCCTGCATACGTTCTTTTTTTTTTTCCAGGTTTTCCAAACTTTTCCAGGTTGCAATTTTGCAGTTTACCTCCCACTCTCCGCTACAACGTTGTATCATTACATAAAGAATACAAATACATCGATAGAACCCCCAAATCCCCTCGCCCTCCGTATCGCATCAATACAATGAACCCTGGGAATTTATAAGAAGCAGGCCCTTTATCGATACCAGCAGTAGACAATAACACCAGACGTTTCTCCTCTCTTGACGTCCAGGAAGAGTGCAGTTTTGGCAAGGAAACTAGTACCGAACCCTTAGATCATGGTTTGTCATGTAAAGTGGAGCATATTCCCATCAGGGCTGAAGCTGGAAGGATGCTATTTTTTCATCGTAGCTAGCACTGGGACCGGGATGTACGGGGGGCTGGGGGAACGGCGAGTTGTGACTGCTAACGGGAAAGCCTCTATAACATGGTGTGTATTTTCCAATGTGACGTAACAGCGGCGATGTATAACAACGAAATATAGCACCGGCGATGTATAACAACGAACTATAGCACCGGCGATGTATAACAACGAACTATAGCACCGGCGATGTATAACAACGAAATATAGCACCGGCGATGTGTATAGCACCGATGTGATGTATAACGCCGGAAATGAGACTGGTAGTTTTTATAATGTGACTGGTCATTTTGATAATGTGACTGGTCATTTTGATAATGTGACTGGTCAATGTGACAATATGACTGGTCAATGTGACAATATGACTGGTCAATGTGACAATATGACTGGTCATTTTGACAATGTGACTGGTCAGTTTATAATGTGACTGGTGGTTTTATAATGTGACTGGTGGTTTTGCAGCAATTGGTGGAGCAAGGAAAAACACCCGTGCCCCACCTCACCTGCAACGCAAAGATACGATTGAAACGAGGGGTCGAATCAGCCGTATATTGGCAGAAAAATTGCGGGGTAAACCAAGCACAATTAGGAGGAGATCGGTGTCGGTGGGGTTTTCCAGCGAAAGTCTGGGGTAGTCAAAGAGATATAAACACAGGCCAGTCTCCTCATTAGGGCAAATGGGCAAATGGTGATATATAAGAGTAGTCAAATAACCCGGAATGATTATAGTATACGAATACTAATTAAAGAATGGCTACTCAGAAAAAATATATTTGTGGGTTTTGCGCTAGAGCGTTTACCCGTTCAGAACATAAACAACGACATGAACGATCCCATACTAACGAAAAACCATTCCACTGTCTTTACTGTACATCAGCATTTGTTAGAAGGGACTTGTTGCAACGTCATTGTAGAACAGTTCATAATATAAAGTTACTCCTGAATAGTCAGGCAAACGGGATTGATCCCGGCACGGTAATTGCAACAGCAGCTAATAAAAGAAAAAGGGAGAAGGAAGTATCACCAACATCACCAGAGACCCGACACTCGTCGGTTGGATCCAATTTGAATTTGAATTTTAGTAAAACAGCCAATGGTTCCTTAAGTTCTTCTGCATCCTCGTCATTATCATCAGCATCTTCAACAACCAGTACATCTTCTCCTTCTGATTTGATTCATTTGCTTTCTATAACGAAGAATCTTTCGACGTTATTAGATGCTCGTGATTATCAAATGACCAATGTTAATGATTCGTTCTTAATTGGATATACAATTTTATTGCATCAACCATATTCATTATTTGGCTCTATTAATAAAGATTTGATTTCATTTCTTAATTCTAATTTAACAACAAACAGTATTGGGAACGAGCATAGTAAATTATTTGATTTTAAGCTTTGTTTAATTTACGCTATATTATCGGTTGGATCATGTAATAACTTTAATGATTTTAGATTGGATGATGATGAATCAGTATCAAATCAATTTTTGAAAAAATCTTGGAATATATTAATTAGTAATTTGATTCCAAATTATACTTCATTGAATTATCAATTAGAAATATTGAAAAATTTGTTTGTTGTTACTTATATTTATTTAAAATTTAATAATAATCATTTGATTGTTGATTATTTGGATGAAACAGTTTATATCATTTTGGAAAATTTAATAAGTAATAATCAACAAGATATTATAAACTCAACAAATAATTCCCAATTATTTTGGAATATTTATATTCTATTATCAAATATTAAAATTAATTCAAAACCCCCAAAATCTTTTAATTTTTTTTTGAAAAATTATTTACCAAATACTCAAATTCCATTATGGCAATCAATGTTTAATTATTCAAAATCAATCAACTTCTTAGAAGATGATTTGATTAATGATATAATCATTTTGACCTTATCAAATGAGTTAAATTCAATAAAGTATAATAATCAATTGATGATTTATGACCTGAATAATTCCTTGCATAATGCAATCATTCTAATCAATAAATCAATTAAAAAAAATGAAAATCATCACATCATTAACGATCATTATGACTTGTTTAAAATTTTTAAAAAAAAAATGATCATTGGTAGTCCAGTTAAATTTAAAGATATTTTAAATTCTTATGTATTTAAAATTTCAAATAAGTATCATTGGAATATCTTGATGATCTCTTTGAGAGAGTATAATTTTCAAGCTCCTGATTCATCAAATTTAAACTTGAATTATAACTTCAATTTCCATCAATTAATTAATTTAAACTTGAATACATCTTTTGCTAATTTTTCAAATTTTTTATTCGAGTTCTTTATTATACCCACGAATACTAAAAATAACAACTTAATCAATTTGAAATCAACATTTAGTCTAATCAACAATAACTTAGGTATTGTTAGTTTCCCATTAATTTTCCAATCACAATTTTTAAAATTTAATAACATGATTGATTCATCGTTTAACTTGAAAAAATTTAATTTGATTGATAAAATTCAATTAAATGACTTATTAATTGAATGGTATCTAACTATTAATAAAATTTTAATAAATTTGATTCAATATAAAAAACAATGTCAATTATCATCAATTCAAATTGATGATGAATTAATTGATAATAATTATATTTTACAATGTTTGCTTTATTTATTGAATAATCAAGAAATAAATTCAATTGATATTAATAGTCTTGATTGGTTATTACTCATTATCAATAAAGTTAATTTGATTTTTGATAATTGGTTAGAATTTATTGATCATCAAAGTTATTTGATTAACTTTAAAATTAATTTGAACAAATTTATTAATGAATATATTGCAATCATTTTAAATAATGATGATTTAATTAATGGTTCTGATTTATTAATCAATGCAAATGATGAATCTTTGAGCTATAGAAACTTCAAGCCAAGATCAAAATCAATTTCTAATTCAATTTTTGATAATGCAAATAATTTTAACTCAATGATGAACTCAAATAATTATGTTCTACAAAAAGATGCAAAATTCTCACCCCCTCAACCTATGAATAGAAAATCTTCTTCCACTTCTTCAACAAATACTACTATTCCTTTACAATTGCCCTTGGGAACTCAGCAACCTTATTTGCCAAGCAGTACTTCAAATAATAATTCAATTAATAATGTTACGCTACCCCCAATTTCTCAACAACCTACAAAAGATACCCAGTTGAAACCAATGTTTCCTTATAAATAACTTTCTTCTTTCTTTTCTGTATTATTATTGTTATTCTAGCTTTTGCTGTGTTTTTTTTTTTTTTTGCTTCTTCTTTGTATTTACAATTTATAATCCCTTTCATTTACCATAACATCATTATGATAACTTTGTAAATTCCAAATCGTATCAATTTTATCATTCAATTTTTCTGGAATCTCATTATCGATGAATTTATAAGCTTCTTTTATCAACTCAGTGGGTAAAGCTAAGCAAAATTTCAGTAATTTCTCTAACTCGCCATTTATTATTTGGCCATCTTCTTTAAAATTGGGTAATCTTACCGTTGCATTTGAACAGATAATTCCAATCAATTCATCATTAGAATTGAATAATCCGCCACCCGAGGAACCATTCCAACATGAAGATGAGGTAATAGATATAACTGGTTTTGGATCTGACTCTGGGAAATATGGTAACGAATATTGAGTTAAAAGTGTACCAGAAGACTGAATGGGTGTAACGGAACGAGGGTTGAAAAAAAGGCCATAACCAATGGTATTGACTTTATCACCAATTTGAGAATGTTTAGAAGGGAAACTTATTGGTCTTACTAATTTTCTAACTCTATTCATGTTTCGAGTTGAAAGTGTGATGAAAGTTAAATCAAGATTTTGGAAAGGAGTTTTCAACACATCATCTGCGGATAGTTTAATCAGGTTATTTAAAGGTAGATGAATGATAGCACTATGGCGTTTAGGATCATCGATTAACGGTTGAATAACGTGGGTATTTGTAATTAAGGTTGAGCTGTTATAGTAGATACAAGACCCCCAATAACCAGACGAATCATTAGAAATAGTTATTGGTAATACTGATTGATTGGATATAGTTTCAACCGCCAAAGTTTTATTCAAGTTAATACTTGATAATAATAGTTTGTTTCTAAATTTATGAACAATCAATGATAAGATTCTCGACCAAGACAATATTAGCAATAAGTCACCGTCACCATTGAGTTTCTTCAAATTACCCATTAATAAGCCAAATGATTGACTCAGATTTGACTTAAAGACAACACTACCAACCATATTTTCCAAATACTTTATATCTGACAAATATGCAACACTTGACAGCTTATCATTTATTACATAATTTAAGTGACCCGAAGTTTGGAAACTCGAGAAAAGCAACGGATTTGTAAAATTGAACGGGAATGATTCAAGGTTTATTTCCTCCAATTTAGAACCATGATCGTTAAACTGAATTTGATTATAATTTTTCAAGCCGACAACCGAATACAATGGATTTTTTAACCTCAATCCCAATAAGTTGATCGAATTGAGATTATTATTTTGTATTAAATCATTTGGCAATAGCTTGAACCCATGCAGCTCAAAATAATGTAAAAAATCGTATAAAACATCTCCGGCCTTCGAAACAATTGGAATATCATAAGAATACTCAGCGGTAAGCCAATTCACATTTACTTGATCAATCAATTGACTCAGAGTTACATAAACTGTAAAGTTATTCTTCAACTGCGTTACGGGAATATGGTTAATTGTCAAACTGTAGTCAACCACCACATTCCCCTGGTTGTCTTGGAGTATTAAATTGATCCCTGAGTAGCTGTGGGTATCATTCTTGGATATGAGTCTTATACAAATAGGGATGTACCGCCATGAATACATCTTTTTGATAAAGAAGAAGAAGTTGAATTCCCCATACTTTCGGTTCTGATTAGCCGCTGGAAATAAAGCTGAAAGAATGTTTTGTGCCGCCGCAAAAGACTTCCTAATAAGGAAGTCTACAGACTGTACGGAGGTTCATTGAATTTTTTGGAACCCGTGCACCATTCAGTTTGTACGGATCTTTCCTTTCCCGTTTTGGGAGACGCGCATTGTTTTCGCAGGTGTCTATTGTTTTGTTTATAAATTATTCAACTTTAGGTATTCAAATTGGATTTCGATGTTTGTTTTTTTTGTGAGTAGTTTTTTTATTACAGAATTAATACCAGGACAACCGATTCATATATTGTTCCTTCAGATTTAAGAAATCCTTTGAAGAGTTTCAAAAGAAGATTTAATCAGAATTCCCAGAACAGATTTCTAGCTGATACTTTAGCAGACTTTTTCATACGCTTAATTTTTTTTCTAGAGATTGGGTTTTAATCTTGAAGTTAAATTTTTGGTTAATTGGACCGAATAAAAAGTAAATTTCGTATATGACTTCAACTATTGAGAGTATTTCCAATCCTTCTGCCAATGGTAGTGTTGGTAATGCCAACAATAACCAAGTAGTATCATCAGAATCACCAACACTTTCAGAATCGTCATTATCATCCATAAATAGTAATAGTTCCACTGGAAAATTAATTAAAAGTTTATCAAAGGATAAATTGTCTAATAATAATAAAAACCAGGGTAAAGAAAATGGTAAAGTTGAACAACCAAAGAGAAAACCCATCAAATTTACCGTTAGGAAAGTATCACATGAACCAATTAAAAGCCCAATATTAGATAGTCATCCATCATATAATCCTAGTCATTACCATACCAAAGTTCAAGTACCAAATACTAAAAATAAAACTACAATATCATTTACTGGTAATAATGTTGAAAAAGACAAATTGAAAGTTACTCAACAATTAGAAGAACAACAATCAAAATATGATCAATATGAAAGTCGTATCAACAAGATTAATAAAGAAATTGATTTTTTGACTAATTTATTACCACCATATAATGTTGAGATCGATTACGCCACAAGGACAAAGATTAATAAAGCTATTGAAAAATTAAAGATGAAACAAGATGAAATTGAAAAGAAAAAATATGGTTTAGGTATTTCAATTAGTAGATTATGGAGAGAACTTGATGGTGATGATATGTGGGTGAGAAGTGTTAGTAATCAATAACTTTGCATAAATGTTTTCAAGATGATCCTTTGATCATAACTTTTTCATTTCCTTCTTAATGTTTTATCTTATTTATAATAATTTTCTACTGTCAATTTTTTTTTTTTGCTTCTTGCTTCATTTCCTTCCTTTATGCTAAATGTCTGGTAACTTTACTTACTTATTTAAATTTTTTTAAATAAATTTTTTCTTCCTATGTTGTATATTATAATAAATAAAGAATTATTTGATTTAAACAAAGAAATAATTAGAACTAAATATCATTATCATTTTTTATCCAATTCTTGATTTAAAGTATGGACAACGCTATCAGAAATTGCATCGGTTGCATCACTAGAACTAGCTTGAGCTCCATCAAACCTACTTACTTCTAGTAGAGAAGAATAGAGGTTGGTTAATTCTAATAAATCTGAAATTGAGTCAGTTCTTAAATCATAAATTAATTGCTGGAATGAATGAGATTTAATCACGTTGATTGCCAATTTGTTATCAGTTAAGAATTTCATTAAATGCTTATGAAACTTCATTGGTGAATAAGGAGTGTTATCGAAATCTGCCGATAAAAATCTTCTTTGAGATGGCATATTAAATTGAAAATTTGGATCAACATTGGAATTAGTATTAGGTAAGGGAGCATTTGGAGTAGAATTTTTATTGATCTTACTTCTTTTCCTTCTTTTAGGTGTTCCGTTTTCATCTAATTGATCATCTGATTTAAGATCACCCTGTTGTGATTGTTGTGAAAGTTGAGATTGGGGAGAGACTTGCGCCTGTGATTGAGGTTGACCTTGAGATGGGCCTTGGCCCTGATTCGAGGCTCCTCCTGGAGTTGGAATATTGACTGAATAATTGGGTATTGATATTGGCTCTCCACTTTGAGTATAAGTATTACCATGACCATCTATTGGAATTGGTCTAGTATTATTGATTGATTCACGGGTTAATTTATGAGTCTTCAAATGTTCACTCAATTTCTTAGGTGATCCTTTATCAGAAGCTAATCTTGTTATAATTCTACCACAATAATCACAAGCTGCAATATTTGGATCTTGAGAATCCTGAGCAAACCAACTCCAAACCCATGATTTCTTTTTTGCGCCAAATTTTTGGCCCGGTCTATTCTTACGCTCCTTTTTAACCTTAGTTTCATTATCAGTAGCTTGTTGACCTCCTTGATTTGAATTATTTTGTTGTGCTTGTTGTTGTGCACTTTGCAGTTGAGCATCTGCTCTTGATGCTGCTGCTGCTGATGCTGCTGCTTGATGTTGATTGATTTCATTTTGTGATAATCCTCCTAATCCCATCTGACGAAGCTGATTAGGATATCCTGGGAAAGATAAACCTCCATAACCGAAATTACTCATATCAATTTGGAAAAAGATTGCAAATAAACAAAAAAATGTAACTCTCTTTGGAATCCGGTCTATGCGAATTAGCACTAATTTTACTTCAATTAACTTATGGACTACTCAAGCAACCAACTATAACCAATATTAACTTAATCAAAGCAATTGATTAAAACCGATTATAACAGTATTTGAAAGAAGTTTAGATAAAACTGATTATCTATCAAGGAGGGTCACCGATAGAAAAAAAAAAAGAATGTAAAAAAAAACAAAACAAGGAAACCGGAATTTGCTGGCCTTTAAGAAAAAAAGTGAGTTTTTGGGTTTTTTGAAACCGGCTTCAAAGTTGGTCGTTGCTCGTCGCACGCCTCGTTACTCGGGGTCCGGTCGGCCGGAATGGGCGAGCCGGATGTTCTGTGGCTACTTCCGGTACCACCGTCTCCCCATTATATCTTTCTAGTATAAGTGGTTCGATGGCCTGCCGGGCTAAATCCTCACTCGGAGGATGGTGCCAGTGGCCCCAGTTCAGTAGCACCAGAATGGAGAGTGGAACGAGATTCGGTCATGTTGTTTGCTATTGGTATTTGCAAGGGTTGTTTTGATTTTCCCCCGAGAATTAAAAACGGCCTGCTCTTTCGGCCGGGGTTCGGTTTATTAGTTTCGAAATTGAAGAACCGGGTGGATGTTGCAAAAAAAAAAAAAAATTCAATATTAAGCTAATACCACAGTCAGGTATTCTATAACATCACATCCTCTCGATCATATGGTAGAAGCTTTTCCAGGTATGATCTCACTTTTTGAAGTCTTAGGTAATTTCCGTCATCAGTTCAATTATGAATACCTTATTCCATTATGTAGATACCTTCGTTTACATGTTCTGCTACATGTGGCCGTTGTTACTGAATATTTTCTAGTTCTCTCAATAGAGAGCCCTTTCTAACATTTCTTCGATTACGTTATGTACAAGAAGGAAATACCCAGGAAATTTCCTAATTTTTATAAATTTTATAACAAATGTTACAAAATCAAGTAACTTTCATCCCGCATTCGTCTTCTGTTGAATTGCTAGCTAGCCTGCCACTGTTTGCCCATTTGTGACAACCCCAACTGGTCATGCCATTCCTAATCGATAGACGTGTGGATTCTTTAAGAGTAGTAGCCAGCAGTAAAGTATGATGGGATTTCATGGGTCGTGTATGCAACTTCCAGGTTAGCTTTAGTGCGACCGTTTCCTTCATCTTTTTTTTTTTTTTTTTTTTTTTTGGTTTCTTTGGCAGCCTTCCGTTTTGGGCATTTCGCAACCAGCACCTTATCCATTCATCTCTAGTAAGGGATTAACAAAAAAATTATGCTGCACCACTCTTCCAATACGTTATGGCATTGATGCAAAGCAACCTCAGTTAAAAAATCGAACCTGGTTGTCAAGCCATTAACAATTTGGCCCTTTCTTTCAACAATTCATCACTTTATTTTTTAATGTAGCAAAAACGACTTACAAGCAGCTTTCAAATATGAGTTAGCAGTGTATATGTCATTGATGGGTTCTTGTTTTGTGATGTCGTTTCATTGGTGTTACTTATTCAGCTCATTCACTCGTAGTATTAACAGCCAGCATCTTGAAGTAGACCTTACCTCTGGGCGAATTTTGTCAATATTGCTTTAATCATTTGCATTTAATAATGCATTACATGAAGTTAAATTAGTAACTTTTGGAGTCAATTATTTTTTTTTTCCTAAATAAGTCCACTTTGCTCCCGTTCCATGTAGCATACAAAGGCTTCCACTGAAGAATCGGGGATTAGCATAATGAAGATTGTCGTTTTTGATACTTTTCTTACCTATAAAAAGATTTTAAACCAGCTCATCGATTTTTGTGGAAATGCATTACCAAAGCTTCTTTAACTGATGAGTTACACGAGTAAATATATAAACCGAGTAATATCTTTGGTATTTGAAGTATTCCAGTAATTAATTTTAAAATTAAATCTCTCTGTGTCCTTTCTTCAATTTAACATCTCTGGAAAATTAAAGTACCCCTAGTCTCTCTCTCCTTCTTCCTCTAATCCAACTTTAGTCAATCCTTTCACTTAGTCGCTCCTTACATTTTCATACTTTTCTTTTTTCACTCTTTTTTAAAATGCAATTCTCTAAATTCTCTTTATCTTTTGCCACTGCCTTTTTAATTGCCCAAGTATTAGCAGCTCCAGCTAAACAACAAGAACAAAAGCGTGACGATGATCCAGTTGTCGTTCATTTAAAAACCACTGTTCAAAACACCAAAACCAATGTTCATACGGTACAAGGTTCCACTTCAACTAAAACTAATACAAACATCAACACTTCTACCGCTACTGTCACTCATTATACCGCCACCGTTACTGAAACAGTGACCGGTGGGGAAAACAAGGTTTATACCGTCACTGATACAACCCCAATCGAAAATACTAACGCTCAAGAACAATCAACTGCTACCGCAACTGCTACCGAAACTGATCTTGGATCTTCAGCTGATGAAGTAGAAACTGAAACTGAAACTGAAACTACATCCTCCTCCTCTATTTCACCAACCAAAACATCATCTACAACTGCTGAAACCACCTCTGATTCTGCTAAAGCAGTTCAAAGTTCGGGTGTTGCAGCAACCACTTCAAGTACTGCTAGTGCCGCAGCAGAAACTTCAACTTCATCAACCCTTGTTGCTGCAAGTTCAAGTGCGGCTGATGCTCCATCAATTACCGATTTATCCAATGTTCCATCTTCTACCGGTGGTTGGATTATCGATGATGTCAGTACTGCTACTAAAAGTGGTGGTGTCTGTGTTGTTGAATATAATTACTATGCAGCTTCTGAATCTGAAGATACCGTTACTTCAACTTCAACAATTTATAAAACTGTTACTCAAAGTTAGAACATACTTTAATTAGTCATTTTCTTCACGAGTTACGATATTTCTTTATAAAATTGTACCATAACTGTATAGTAGTTTTCAGATGTTTGTTTGTTTTTTTTGTTCTTGTTGGTGGTGGCTCTACTAACTAGTTAATATTGAAGACATCTTAGAGCAGAGTCTTTTTTTTTTTTTGCAACTGAGACCAATATTAACTGGACAATGAATAAAGAGATGAATTTGCAATTCTTCTCCTCCTTTTCTCCCTTACTTTTCACTTTCTAGTCGTTCATTCTTTTTTTTTTCTTTTGTTTTACTCACTAGGGTACGTTTGAGATGCTTTAATACTGTTTCGGTTATTCTTTTTCGATTTAGTATACTACTTCTCCTATGATTTCGGTACTTACCTTATTCTTTCCTTATGATCTCTCAATGTTTTACTCTAGTCGCCACTGTGTACACTCTTTAATATATGTTACCTCTTAATATTTTTGTAAAGCTATTTACATATTTATTCGTGGATGTCATACTTCTCTACAGAAGTATTTAATTAGATAAAACAGTTAACAGCCAAATTTTAGCGTCAGCAAAATCTAGGGCTTGTGCCCCAGCTAATGCGTACACGCACGTGATACATTTATTCCCAAAGCACAGAAGAGCGAAAATTTTTTCATCATCTCACTAAAAAAAAAATACTAGCAAGTCTTCTCACTGCAATAGTTACTGTCTAATCGGCACACACCCTGCGAAACTAGTGGAGGAAATTTACACCTTAATTTTTTTAATATACTAATTTTTTTTGAATTTCTTTCCTTTTACTTATACCGTCATATCGAAAACACATTAAGACACAATGGGTATGTTTGGCACCAGTGACCTGAACAGATGAACAAGAAGGAATCATTCATTGAATGGTGGAAGATCCGTTTCCTAAGATGGAGAAGTTAACCAAGCTATTTTGAAATTTTCAAGATGTCGAGCTGGATGAAAAATCAGCCCTCAGTAGTTAGAAAAGTTTAAAGAGAATCAAGTAAGATGAATGATACTACCAACGGGTTTAATGAAGGCATTTGAGGCTGTAACGAAGATCAACAGTGATTACTCCAAATTGTTCATTGCAAATAATACATATACTAACAAATCATATAGTTAACGTTCCAAAGACTAGAAAGACTTACTGTAAAGGTAAGACCTGTCGTAAACACACCCAACACAAAGTTACCCAATATAAAGCTGGTAAAGCTTCTTTATTCGCTCAAGGTAAAAGAAGATATGACCGTAAACAAAAAGGTTATGGTGGTCAAACCAAACCAGTTTTCCACAAGAAAGCTAAGACTACCAAAAAGGTTGTTTTAAGATTAGAATGTGTTGCTTGTAAAACTAAAGCTCAATTAAGTTTGAAAAGATGTAAACACTTCGAATTGGGTGGTGATAAAAAACAAAAAGGTCAAGCCTTACAATTTTAAGAGTATTGTTGGATCTCTCAAAACTTTACTTTTGTTATGTTTATAACTTTTATATGTAAATTATTATATATAAATAAAATATAATTATTGAAACCAGGTATTATATTGTAGAAGAGAGGAGTATTTTCTCTGAAGATGCACGGGTGTCTTTCATTTTTTGTTGTACGGAGCTTTCACTATGTCTAACCACTACAATAACTTCCAGGAATATTGAATCAGTTCGTTAAAGTGTTCCCTTTGTTACAATAGGTAGACTTAATATCGAAAACAGTTAAAATAGGAGTTTTACTAGTAGGAACAATGTACTCCTACACAAAAAATTACATACAAAACAAAAAAAACTTAAAGCGAAAAAACAAAGATCAACAAACAAACCCAGGCAAAAAACGACATTGAGAATTTTTTTGTTTTTGGTAGGAGATTCCTTTGGTATTTTCGTGTTCCATACAAAGACAACACATAATTTATTGGATTTTTATAAGACTTCGTCAAATTTTTTGAGTTTGAGTAGATCCCTTAGGAGAAGATTGATCAGAATTTAAGTCATTTTATCGGTGTCAACACGAAATATCCAAGTTTTTCACCGGTTTCAATTAAAATTACTACCACTGACGAGATCAATCTGGAATTTCCACCCAGTTTGTCCATTTAAATTCTATTGACTTTGCTGTTTTTTTTTTTTGATCCACTTGAATTCCCGTAAACTTTCGTTGATTCCCAGGATTATAAGGTCGAGGCTTTGTTATATCGTTGGACTTAACCATGAATTTTGATTATCTTTCTGAAGAGCAAAAACAGCTTTACTATCAACAACAGCAACAACAACAGCAACAACAACAGCAAGAACAACAGCAACGAGACCCTCAATTATACATGCAAAATGAAAGCTCACAAGCTGAATTACATAATTTGCAACTCCAACAACAGAGATTACAATTAGAACAACAATACATGAATCAACAAGAAGCCAATGCACGTGCGGCCCAAGCACAATCAAATCATCAAAATGATGACGATCACAGCTTCATGGATGAAGATACAAGTGGTGTGATGGAGAATCCACCTGCTCAACATGATTTCACCGGTCCAACTTCTCCATTGGTTAACCCACAAGCAATGTTTCAAGCATCTCCAACTTTCCTGTCATCAAATGAATTTAGTAATGGTCATAATAACGATCAATTATTATTTGGTAATTCAAATGCTAATGGCTCAAATTATAATCAAAGTCCTCAAAATAATATTAATGTAAGCAGTCATAATTATAATAATTTCCAGTCAATCGATTCAAGAAATTCATTAAATTTTAAACCTCCTACTTTTACTACTTTGAATAATAATTCAAATTCCAATTTATCAGAAATTAGTAACTCTAATTCCCTTACTAATTCATTTCATGAGAATTTGGCCTTTAACCATAATAATAATAGTTTGACTCAAGTTGATAAAAACTCTCCTCTTCAACATATTCAGCAACATTCCCCTCAAGGTGATGCTATTCCAATGTCACCAATAGAACAACAAAACCAGGCGCAAGCTCATGCACAGGCACAAGCACCAACCCAAGCACAGGCCCAAGCGCAAGCTCATGCACAGGCACAAGCACAGGCACAAGCACAGGCACAAGCACAGGCCCAAGCACAGGCCCAAGCACAGGCACAAGCACAGGCACAAGCACAGGCCCATGCACAGGCCCATGCACAGGCTCAAGCACAAGCCCAGGCACAAGCTGAAGCCGAAGCTAAGCAAGCAGCACAAGCAGCACAAGCCCAAACTCCACGTCAAGTACATCCAAGTTCTGAGCCATCAAGTAATAAACAACAACAGCCAAAACAACTGGTCTCAGTACAAGGCACTCCAGTGAATCGTGGGAATACTGATCAAGGAAGTCCAGTTAAAAGTAATTATGTTTACTTTAATCGTCAACCAAATCTATTAAATAAAATTACTCAAGATAAAGCATCGTCAGTTAAATTAAAGTTGGAAAATTTCTATCAAATGTCAGTTAGTCATGCGATTGAAAGAAACCAAAGAAGATTAGATTTAGAACATAAATTAATGAATGAAGATTTAGGATCAAGTGAAGAAAGAAAAAATCGTCAATTACAAAACTTAGGTAGAAAAGAATCGCAATTTTTAAGATTGCGTCGTACTAAATTATCATTAGAAGATTTTGTTACGGTTAAAGTGATTGGTAAAGGTGCTTTTGGTGAAGTTAGATTAGTTCAAAAAAGGGATACTGGTAAAATATATGCCATGAAAACATTATTAAAATCTGAAATGTATAAAAAAGATCAATTAGCACATGTTAAAGCAGAAAGAGATGTTTTAGCTGGTAGTGATTCACCATGGGTGGTATCATTATATTATTCATTTCAAGATAGTCAATATTTATATTTAATTATGGAATTTTTACCAGGAGGAGATTTGATGACCATGTTGATTAGATGGCAAATTTTCACTGAGGATATTACTAGATTTTATATGGCAGAATGTGTATTAGCCATTGAAGCAATTCATAAATTAGGGTTTATTCATCGTGATATCAAACCAGATAATATTTTAATTGATATTAGAGGACATATTAAATTATCAGATTTTGGATTATCAACTGGATTTCATAAAACTCATGATTCTAATTATTATAAGAAATTATTAGAAAAAGAACAGCAGCAACAGCAACAGCAAAATTTAGGAGTTCCAGGAGGAAATGGTAATGGAACCATGAAAAGTGGACGTAATTCAATGATGGTGGATGCAATCAATTTAACCATGTCGAATCGTCAACAAATACAAACTTGGAGGAAAAGTAGAAGATTAATGGCATATTCCACGGTTGGTACTCCCGACTATATTGCTCCAGAAATCTTCATTCATCAAGGCTATGGTCAAGAATGTGACTGGTGGTCATTGGGTGCAATTATGTTTGAATGTTTAATTGGTTGGCCTCCATTTTGCAGTGAGACCCCTCATGAAACTTACAGAAAGATTTTAAACTGGCAAGAAACTTTGATCATTCCAGAAGATATCCATTTATCTCCCGAGGCCGAAGATTTAATTAGAAGATTATTAAGCAACGCCGAGGACAGATTAGGTAGATATGGCGGTGCTGAAGAAATCAAAAATCATCCTTTCTTCAGGGGCGTTGATTGGGAAACCATTCGGAAAGTTGATGCTCCCTTCATTCCTAAATTAAGATCAATTACGGATACTAGATTCTTCCCAACTGATGAATTAGAAAATGTTCCCGATAGCCCTGCATTAAGTAAGGCACAGGAACAACGAGAACAAGGTAAAGCGGGTAATGGTAACATTAAAGAAGACTTGCCATTTATCGGCTATACCTATTCTAGATTCGATTATTTAACCAGAAAAAATGCATTATGATCTATTAATAACGAGAAGCGTTACACTTCCATAAACGAAAAAGCATTGGAGCTCTAAATAAATTAACCGATGAAAAAACTGTCTAATTATAGTTGATGAAACAAGCATAAGAGGTCTAAACAAAGAAAATGATGGAAAACCAAGCATTACAGTTCTATAAATAAAAAAATTTCATTCTACATAAAAAAACCCTGTACTTGTAGGAACGGCTATGCAAAAAATATAGCGGGTCTCCGTTGAAGCCTCGAACTTCCGGCTATAATTCGGCCGATACATAAACTGAGACAATAACATTACTAATTAGCTAACTCTCTTGGGTCAAACTTCCGGCACCAACCGAAGCATCCGGTCACATGATCCTACCTAAGTTTAGTGCTCGTCTTACAACCGTTTATTGTCTGACAATGTCCAAAGTCCAGTCATTCCTTTCAGTCATTCAGGGGGCTTTTGGCCCATCCTGGGTATCGGCGTTGCATTGGGAAATTGGAAATTGCAATTGCAATTGCAATTGCAATTGTTGTAATCGATTGTGTCTAGAA